AAAATCAACATACTTTCTTATTTACATGCTCATAATTTTCCAGCTCTTTACAAAAACAAAAAATCCGTAAAATTGCCGCTGTCACTCACTCTGTATATTCAGAGTACCAAGAGTACAAGGTACATGCGGCGCTACCGTATGCTACCGTAATCCGCACCTTCTACAGGTGCGAACAGTATGCCTAGTATGTCTTTGAGTTTAATTATTCTACTTTTCATGGAATTTCTTGGATAAAAAGACCTGCGTTGCCACCTTCACCAATAGTAGGGTGGGATTACGGTAGTGTATACGGTATATGTACATATCACTCGCGGTTTCAAGTGCTCACTTTTCGCGTTTTTCTAGCAAAAATGTTTAGGAAGTACTTATTCGATAATACCCACTTGAGTGAACCTCTAGAACACAGACGTTCTTATTTGCCAAACTACTGTATAATTATTTGTTTTTTCTGAACTTCGAGAAAATTTCTGTTGAAGAGGATATTATTCAACCCCTTTTTGAGCAGAGTTTCTTCTGAGAAGACCTTCTTCAGGATGCCAATTCACCTGAGTAAAAGTTTTGGTTACAGAATTACATCGTCATTTGTCAGAGAGCCTGCACAATTATTTAGTTTTTCTATCGCTCTAAAAATCCCCTACTGGAATGGATATATTTCAACTATCCGCAACTAGTTAGATGTAACAAAACCAGTTGTGCTGTTTTTGAGAGAAAGTTTGTTACAAATGCGGCCTTCCGAAGCCACATCTACCGAGGAAAAACATCTTCTAGAACTGGTCACTTTCAAATGAGAACATTATCAGTAGTTTTCAAGGTCGTCTTGAAAGTTGCACTGTCTTCCTCAGTTTATGTTTTCCGCCAGTCCTGGGTATAGTTTTGAAAACACCTTATGTTCCTAGTTGCCCAAGAGTTATCATGGTAGTAAGGTTAACTTAGTGCAGGTTTCTACAATAAGCCTAACGTATTCGCTATTTGTATGAGTTATTGTATTATTCACATAAGTCCATACTACTCCTGTGCCTCTGCGAAACCTATGATTTGATTTCAGTCATTTCTCTGGTCGTGAATAATGCGATCTCATTTATCCATGGAGCAGAAACTTCTAACCTTTCGAATAGTGAACGATCCCGCTCCCCTCCCTCCCCCCATTCTTCAATTTCGTTCGGCTAGTTGGCCACTGCCTTATAGCTTCGACTGAAAAGGGAAGAAAATGTCAACGTGGTTGTCTTTATAATTAAACTAGCTGGCTTACCCGGCTCCGCCCGGCCCTGTCAAAACACTATTTCAAAGAACACTATCCCTATTCCCGTAAGAACCTTCCCCTGTGCCCACGCCTACATGCCAAATCACTATCCCCGCTGTTTTAATAATCAGCATGCTCGATTACCCCCCTGGGCCAACTCCCAGCCCCGTAGCTCGAACTTTACAAAAAATCGATAAAATCGATAAAAGTAATTGATAATCCTGAAAACTAATATTGTATTCGGAATTCCCATGCTCGATTACCCCCCCCCCCCTATGCAAACTCCCAGCCCCGTAGCTCAAACTTTGCAAAAAAAATCGATAAAATCGATAAATGTAGCGGATAATTCCAAAAATAATATCGTATTTGTAATCAGCATGCTCGATTACCCCACTGTGCCAACTCCCAGCCCCGCAGGTGAACTCAGCAAAAAATCGATAAAAATCGATAAAATCGATATCGATCGATGACGAAAAGTAGCCTATGACACCCGCCGGGGCCCGAAGTGTACGTGTGCCAAGTTTGGTCAGGATAGGTTCAGAAATGGATTCTATCGGAACATACGTACAGACATACATACAGGCAGACAGACAGACAGACATACAACAGACATTCAGTTTTATATATAAGGTAGACATGAGTTTCTGCGCTCCATGGATAACGCAGAGATCGCAGAAATCACAGGATTCACAGAATCCAGGAATCTGATATGTAAAACATCGTAAGGTGCATTCAAAAATCATCACATAGCGAAAAACCGAGCCGGTCCCGAAGCGAGCGCGGATGCAACTAGCATCTTTGAGACTACTCGTTCACTCGTAATCTACTAAACACCATAGAAAAGAATGAAAGTAATCGATAATGAAAAAAGTTTGAAGTATAGCACTGTGATGAAGGGAACTCAGTAATCTATTTCACAGTTCATCTATTTTTAGTCAGAAGCATCCATTTATTTTGTTTTGTAAAAGTTATTTTAAAGGTTGTAGCATGTTTAAAAAGCACCTTGTGAAAAAACTTTTTGGAAGCAAAGACAAAATGAATTCACTATTAATAGCGGTTAAACATTTCAATCCGGCTATACAGAAAAAATTCGAGCACAAAGTTTCTGCCCAAACATGCATTGCCAGATAATACATAATTCAATAAGTAGTATGTTGGTATGTTCTTAATAATGTCAATAAGAAGAAAACAATCTATAATCTCAGTCATATGTATGATTTGATCAATTTTGAACAAGAACTACGCTGTAAGGTCATCTTTTTGAGCTCGAAATAATCGAAGTGACATGAAGAAGTACATGAACAAAAGTGATCATTACAAATCACCTAGGCTCAAGTTATACTAATTAAGAACATCATTTTATTAGTTTTCTTCATAACCTGCTAATTGGTAGTTGATAATGCTCATTATTGGGGTTTCGTTTTTTCCTCACGTTGGAAAACTTATCTCCTTCTATTTTTTGTACTCTTTTATTTATTTTAGTCTACTCACTTCCACTCCTTTCTCAAATTTAAAAAATTCATACTGTGTACGGATATAAATGGAAAAGTGGTTACTCATCCACCTTTGATCTTCCTATCTCTTTGCATGTTTTCCCTCGTTTGTCTAAATTTACAACAAAGGGAAAATTTGAATTCTGCTCAAATTTGTAAGAAACCTCTTGTGTATGACCTTGAAAAAACGTTTCTTTTTTCAATTTCTATGCTGTAAGGAATATGTGTTGAACTCTTAAGAACCCCTTAAGTACCGACAATGATATCTAAACCAGTTAGTTTCCTAATTTATGATGGCCATATAAAGCTCTGATGCATACCCTAGTCATACTGTACCTTCTTTTACTCAATTAACGTTTAAGTTTCTATCAAAGTCAGAAAATGTCCTTGACAAAATTTTGCGATATCCTATGCGATGTTACCTTGAATTATAATTAACAATGCATTTCTTTATTATCACAATGTTGTTGTGGAAATTTTATTTTTGGTTTGGTTTTTTCGTCGTCGCTTATTTGAAAATAGTATGGGCAATTAGAAGTTCGAAAACAGGTACCCTTCCTTTTTTGAATGGAACTTTGACGCTCTGTGATTTCTGACTTCACAGAAAAATTGCGAAAATACACGGACTCTTCAACACCTGCACCTTTCGCGCTCTTCCATAGTGTGAATTTTTGAATTTTTTGATATTAGAATATCATTATTATTGATATTGATATTATTTGATAAATATGCCTTTGGCAAATAGCTAATTTCGAACAACATAATTGGCCAATTATGCTTTTGACCATTTGTTTGAAAAAATTTTGGTGTGGCCTCCCAAAACTCAAGAGCGCAAAACATCTGTTTGTTGGTTGAGAGTCCTTACCCGTGGCTGTAATTCCATGAAAAGGACCATCATTTTTCACGTTGGTTATATTCTCGAGTGCTTTATCACTTAATATGTGTGCTGCACACCATGCAGGGTAAATGACGCCCTGTCAAATCAGAACCTGCTCATTTCTAGCAATTTCTCCTTGTTTTCTTGTTTCTTTGATTGCAGTGGATACGTATTGATTAGTGCCAAACATTTCCACAGCCTGTTACGTTTAAAAATGTTTGCTGAAGAGTTATTACTTGTAAGGGTGTCGTCAGTTGCCGCGCGTAGTGTGCAGGCTCACATATTAAGTGAAATGAACGGTAGCATACCGAACTTCGTCAGTCCAAACGTGCTCAGGTGCTTATATATCGAAAAATATCGAAACCTCGATAAAGAAAGAGCTGTAGGCGGCGCAGAAGGGCTTTTTTTAGCAGTCTCGAAATTATTGTGTCAAGAAGGGGTTGAAGAAAATTAATTTTTGCTTATAGAGGTTACGTTTTGCAAGAAAAACTTTTGAAGGTGGGAGTATATCTCCAATCAGCGGTTGCGCAGAAAGTCACGACAAAATACGGACAGTAAGAATTTACGGTAAAACCCCAATCAGTTTAAATTTTTTACCTTTTAGAGGGGGGAGGGTCGGATATCACGCAGACGCGAGAGATATTTGGGAGAAAAGAATTTTGCAGCAAACATGTTCTGTGATTATTACATTCTTCAGCAAAACAGCAGGAGAAGCGCACAGCTTACCCTAATGATCGTCTCTTGGCCTTCATTTGAAGAAAGAATTTTATAAACACCCGTGGAGATCAAAAATTAGAACGATTATTACAACGAAAATTCGAAGTGCAGCACGGTTGCCCTCAGTTTGTTCAGTTTTTGGTTTTTTACGTAAAAGATTAGGCAATTTTTCTATATAATAAAAGTTAGAGGATTAGATGAAATTTGTAGAAAGTCGTGTGTGAGTTTGTATTATAGGAATTCGAGTTTTCGAGTCGTACGAGTTTGCCTTTGAACGATGATCTGATTTCCTTTAGAGTTTTTTCACTGTTCAAATCGCATCATAGATCGCTCTTTTTCTCATTTTCGAATATTGCTGTTTTTTCTTGGTTTCATGAAATTTCGCCGGGGTCAATTATTGCAATTTGGCGTAATTTTTCACTTGCACTTTTTACATGGCACGTGCAATATCTACTTCGATAGCTACATTTTTTCCTCATTTTTTTGTTCTATCACGTCTCCCCTCCTCCTCCGAATCTAAAAATCAGTTCTATTGAACTATAAAGTTGAAAGAGCAAGTGCTGACAGATCCGACCGCCCTTTTTGACGCCTGACACCCGCACCTGCCCCCCGTTCGCCTATTTGGTCACGATCGTGTTCGCTCAATGGAAAACGTTCTTTGTGTGCATTTTCAGGTGTATTACGTCGTCTGAACTTGTCTGCAGAATCGCGTCTGATCGCGTGTGTACCGTGTGTACCTTGCACGGATTGTGATCCCCCTTTCTGGACGTGATACCTCTGCTGTATTTGGAACACGACAATGTTGCTAAAGAAGCACCTGGAGCGGTTTATGGCCGAATTTTTTGCCGGCTTAGGCCGACTGGTTGGGCGATTTCCGTATCGGGTAATTATCGTCTGCCTGACCGTATCGGTTGTGTTGAGTGTTGGATTTGTACGATTCGAAGAAGTAAACAGTGTTCGAACAGAATATTCACCGATGGATAGTCCAAGTAGAAAAGAATACGATGTGATGAAATCTTTTCTCAAACAGGTAAATTCTCATCTAGAATTTTGATCCAAATTTTTTTCGAGCCTTGATTTTTTAAAAATATTTTTCGACCGTTTTAACCCCAACTCAAATTTCCTAGTATTTTCTTGATCAAGCTAAATCCCCAAGATCAATTTTTCTTCGAATCCCAGTTCCCCAAAGATATTTTTTTTATGAAAGGAGCTAAATCCTTAGAATCGCAAATTTTCTCGAATTTTTGCATAGCAGTTATATCTTTAACGTAGATATTTTCCAAGTTCTGATTTTTCGGGTCATCTCTCAAACAAATTGAAAACCCGAATTCACAGATTTTTTTAGAATTTCAATCTTTGATATTTGTTCTCAGCGTGAACCTCAAAAATCATAGATTTCTTTCAAATTACATATGCTGAAGAGAATTGTTTCATATGATCAAGTTCCCGAAGTCACAGGTTTTTTTTTCAATTTTGAGTTTTCAAAGACATTTTTTTTCATGCCCATGAACGAATCCTTCCAGAATTTTGATTTATTTCTCTTATCTAACCCAGAGTTTGAAATTTGTTTTCAATTTTGGTATTTAAAATACGATTCGGAATTAAATATTCATAATCAAAAATTTCCTTCAAATTTTGATACTCTAGAGATGATTTTTTCAAATAATCGGGTAACGAAAATCAAAGATTCTCAAATTGTGGTTTATTGGATATTTTAGGCATAAGAGTCCTAAAATCATAGATTCTTTCGATTTACTGTATAATTTATTATTATCAAGTAAATGACTTTCCCAAAATAGCACATTTTTTCGAATCTCGATATTTTGGAGATTATTTTGAGTAAGAATTCATGTGTTCACAGATTTTATTAGAATTTCATTACTCTAAACATATTCTCTCAAGAACTTAATTCTTCAAAATTACAGTTATTTCGAATTTTTATTTCTTGAAGATATTTCTCTGGCACCAAACATCACAAATTCTTTGCTCAAGCAGTCTTTTCCGAACCATTTCTTTAGGTAACAAATACAAATTTTCTGAACTCTGATAAGCTCTGAATAATACTCTGGATAATTTTCTTAAGCTATTCTGTCCCAAAAACGGGTTTTTCAAGCTTGATTTTCCGAAAACATGAGCAAAACTTGTTTTTACTATGAAAATTTTTGCAGAATGGAACTTTGGATCCATCGTATGTGATGGTAATGGCCACCGATGGTGGATCATTGCTTCGCGAGACACATCGACAACGCCTCATTGCACTGACAAAAACGATGCAAGACAACGTTACGGTCGAGTTCAAGGGGAAAACGTACGAGTTTCGCGATCTCTGTGAACCGTACTGTGAACTCAACACTGCGTTCTTGGCTTTCTTGAAGCTCTACAATCCGGAAAATCCATCGACATTTACCTATCCTCAAGTCGAGATATTTGGCACACAAGCAATCATTGGTAGGTTGTAGATTATTTGGAGACTAGCTGGCTTACCCGGCTCCGCCGTATCCGGATCAAACTTGGCACACATACACTACGGGCCCCGGCGGGTGTCATAGGCTACTCTTCGTCATCGATCGATATCGATTTTATCGATTTTTTTGCTGAGTTCACCTACGGGGCTGGGAGTTGGCACAGGGGGGTAATCGAGCATGGGGATTCCGAATACAATATTAGTTTTCAGAATTATCGATTACTTTTATTGATTTTATCGATTTTTTGTAAATTTTGACATGCGAGGCTGGGATTATGCACAGGGGGGTAATCGAGCATGCTGATTACGAACACAATATTAGTTTTCAAGATCGTCCATTACTTTTATCGATTTTATCGATTTTTTGAAAATTTGAGCTAGGGGGCTGGAATTTGGCACAGGGGTGTAATCGAGCATGCTGATCACCCCCCTTGGGGGTGATCAGCATGCTCGATTACCCCCCTGTGCCAACTCCCAGCCCCCTAACTCAAACTTTGCAAAAAAAATCGATAAAATCGATAAAAGTAATCGATAATCCTGAAAACCAATATTGTATTCGGAATCCCCATGCTCGATTACCCCCCTGTGCCAACTCCCAGCCCCGTAGCTCAAACTTTGCAAAAAATCGATAAAATCGATAAAAGTAATCGATAATCCTGAAAACTAATATTGTATTCCGAATCCCCATGCTCGATTACCCCCCTGTGCCAACTCCCAGCCCCGTAGGTGAACTCAGCAAAAAAATCGATAAAAATCGATAAAATCGATATCGATCGATGACGAAGAGTAGCCTATGACACCCGCCGGGGCCCGTAGTGTATGTGTGCCAAGTTTGGTCCGGATCGGTTCAGAAATGGAATTTTCTATTCGGAACATACGTACACACAGACAGACAGACAGACAGACAGACATACAGACAGACAAACAGACATTCAGCTTTATATATAAGATGTAGAAAAAGTAACAGAATTTTTTGTAAAATAAACTACACCGTGGTCGAGTGATCCTGACACGGTATGTATTAACATGTCAGAAAGGGACAGTGGTCCGGAATGGAGCTCTATTGGCGAAGTTATTTGTACCCTACAGAAAAATCGGAAGATTTTTTTGGTTTTTTGTTACCAGAAATACTCTTCCCAAGAAGTTATAGTTAGCTCATTATAAGTGAATATAGCATAAGTAACAGGCGTACGGTGACAGTATAACTACAATAATATGGTTTAATAGACACGTTAGATCAAAAAGTGATCAAAAAATCTTTTATCAAACGAACCCCTCCTCGATCCCCTTCTTTGCTCGTCCTTACTGTTTTGATCTATTTCTGATCTACTCTATTCAGTAACACATGTTACCGTAATAATACCATAAACAGTGAACATTGATGCTGTCGGCGTACCGTAATCACTAGCGCATAAATATGTCTGAAATGATTCATCATACCTTAAAGGAATCATTTGAGCAAGAACTGCAGGTTTTTGTCCTGAAAATCTAGGCGCAAGCTTTTTTTGGGGGGAGAAGGGGGGTGAGGGGAGGTGGTGACAAAGAGTAAGAAGGAAAGAGAGTGTGTGCTGTTCCTGAACACTATCGATATTTTTGTCAAAACTGACATTCTATGAATCGTAGAAAATTTACCCTTTTTAGGTAATAATGTCTATGGTGTAACGTTTTTCAATGGAACAAATCAAATCAAATCGTTTACGACGGCCATTCTTGGTTTTTATCTGGTCTCTTCATATGAAGATAGCGAAGTTTTGTACAAGTGGTTGGTTGCGGCAAGGGAAACATTCAAGGAGGAGCGCTTCAACATTTTCAAGGTAGGTCAAGTCCGACTGCAATTCCATTTTTCACTCTTCTTTTCGTCTAGAAGGGGTTCTGAAAAAGTAACTGATTGCTTAATTTTCTGCAAATTTTTTTAGTGCGAGGTCACTGGCGATTCTATGGTCTCAGCCGAGGTTCGACGTCTGGGCTTAGAAACTGCGCCAATGATTGGTTTATCTGTAGTGGCTATGATTCTATTCGTAGTTTGCTTCTCGTTCAGGTAAGCAGAATTTTTTCATATTTATCAGAAGGTTCAAGTGCATTTTTCAAAAATTATTTCAAATTTACGACCATGATTGGTGAACCAGTAATTCAAAGGTGCTAAATCTGGGAGCGTTCGCTTCGGGACCCGCCGCGGTTTCCCGCTGTTTGATATTTTTGAATCGGCGTTACGTTCTTTACAAATTAGATATATTAGGTCGTTCCGAAAGTAATGTCGCTTTTTTCAAACGTATGCCACATCTCGTAGAACAAAGATTTGTAAGAGATTCTGGCAGCATTTGGTGCAGCGTTTCATTCTCTTTCTAAAGGGTATGAAGATGTTGCAATACAATCAATGAGCTTCCAGAAATGAGTCAAAATTTGCGACCTATGCTTTTTGAGATGGTCAAGTTTCACAATTTTTCTAAAATTCTATAACAAACCTCAGAAGGAGTCCAAGTAATGGATGGATGGAGCAAACCCTACAGGAAACAGCACAACTTTTTTCTACTTTCCAGAGCTCGTCATAATTTTTTTACAGATTTTTTGATGGAACCACCGAATTTTAGTAAGCTCGTCTTAGATACAACTGCATCAAACACCAATAAATCTCCGGATACAAAGATGGATTATGGTATGGCAACAATTTTACGAACCAAACGAGCATTCACCGCTTCGGTTTAGCAACTTTCGAAGATTTCGGGTACACCTTGGGGTGCCTTGGAAAAGTTGAACTTTAATGATTTTATCCCGGAAAACTTGATGAATCGGAAACAAAAAACAACCGCTAGAAAGAGGAGAAAAAACTGCATCGAATGACACCCGAGTCGCTTGCCGGTTGTTTTTCTGTGAGGTTTGACTTAACTAAATATGGAATTTGATGGCATTGAGAAATTGAATGTAGAAACTCTGAGAAGCAAGCTAAGGAAAAGAAAAAATTGCTTTGTGTTCTATAGTGTTTGCTCTATCTACCTGCCACTTGCACTTTTTCGGAGACTAGGTACAAAAAATTTAGAAAAATAGCCGAACATGACTATGGCAAAAAGCATGAGTCGCAGATTTTGGTAATTTTTCGAGAGCTCATTGGACATTATGCAGTGAAATTAGGACCGTTAGAAAGAGAATGAAATGCTGCATCGAATGCTCCTAAGAACTCTTGAAAATGTTGATTCCACGAATAGTGGCGTTCATTCGAAAAAAGTGACATTACTTTCGGAACGACCTAATATAATCTACAAAATTTCCGCCAAAAGCGTCCCGTTAAGCCGCACTTTTAAAAAGAGATTTAGAGTGCTTCAGAATCTTCGCTGCCCTACGACCTCCAATTTTCCAAAAGGGGAGCCTAAGAGCCACACCTCCAAAAAAAATTTTTACACAGCCAATCTGAACTCTTCAAAAATTTTAAAATTCCCGCTTATAGTAAAAACAAGTTATTTGCAAATTTTTATACGATGAACCTCATGAACCAAATTTATACAAAGCAGCAATCGCCAAAAATTGCAAAAACCTCAATTCGCGAATTTTTTCGCCTTCCGAAGCAAAAATCTCTTGTAGTAGTGGTCAAAACAGATCGAGTCCGAGCGCAATACATCTGATTTTTTTCTTCAATCTGCCAACAACCGTTCACAATTTTTTTTAGGAGAACTAACAAAAAATTGATTGAGCTAGCCAAACAACCGGAAATCGATCAATCATAAAGGTTATTTTGTTCTTTCCCAACATATCACGTGCGATCACTTCTATCATAGCAATCACTAGCCAGTTCGATGACTCAAGAACGCTCAAACCCTGATTTCGAGCAATTGTAGTTCTTAATAGTGGGAATTACTTCCTTGTACGGAAGGAATGTGCAGTTGCAACAATTGATTAATGACATTTGAAATGTTGAGTAACGAAAGTGTAAATAAGACTGATCTGTCATATGTTGTCGGACCGTTGTGAAACATTGAAGTTCAATTTGGGTACATTTGGTCTGAACCGTTAATATAGTGCCATTGCGGTACGGACGTCTTTTGCGCGGGAAGAAATGCCAACTTGTAAATACAGATTTGCTTGGCGCGCAGAAAACGGCTAGAGAGCACAAAATTGCCTTTTTTATGCTGAAAAATTTTGTTAAAATGCTAGAACACTATGCCAGTGGACAAAACTACTAATCTAATGGTTTGTTATAGCAATTGGCGCGCTAAGCACTTTAAAAGTGCTAATCATATCATATATTTACCAGTTGCGATCCCAGCATTTTCGTCGGGGGGGGGGCAAAAAATATTTCAAATGATGGGCTTGCTTAGCTAGCACTTTGAAATTTTTTTGGAGTCTTCTCGGGGTTATTGCGGCTCATATCCCCTAAAATCTAGAAAAAAAGGGCTGCAGCCATGCACCCAAAAAAAATTTTCTACTAATTTGAATTTTTGAAAAAAAAATATTTCAATAACTTATTGTTAGAAGAATAATCAAGTCACAACCCATGTAAGTAAATTTCGAAAATTTCGCAACTCATACTAGCTCCCCCCCTCGCCCCTCCCCCCTCGGTCCGCCACTGATGTTTACATGTTTGTCATCTACAAGTCTTTGTTTTAATTATTTGTGTTCCTTTTTTAGAATTTTATTTTCCAACATTTTCAAATTTTGTATCTCTCTTCTTGTGTATTAGGTTGATGCATAATTCCTGCACCAAAATAGGTACAGACCGCAATAACTCGGAGTAATTCTATATTCCAAGTAGAATTCGATATATCGTTTGATAGCGCAAACCTAGCTCTACAAGATGGTGCTCAAATATCTACACCAGCTTTGATCCACGGGAAGTTTTGAGCCAAAAACTGAAAAAAACCATGCGTCCGAAAACCTTAAGACAGATCTTAAAAAAATTGTAACTTCGTTCAAAAAGCTCATACAAATTTTCTTTCTTGTTCACGCGTAGACGTTCCACGTAAGACATTTATCTATGCGGTTGCTGTATTTTTTTCTCAACTAGGCGATGAAAAAACGAAGTTTTTTGAAGTTTTTCATGTTTTTGCCAAATTAGTGCTGAGATGTTCTAGTATCAACAGTTGTATAGTACATGCCGTTAGCAGTGAAACTTTACATTTTCAGCCTTCTAGAACTGCTAGTTCGCGAGAAATAACGAATCTAGCTCTCCTTATCCAAATTTTTCTTGCCTAGTTGCTAAAAATCCGATATTTCTCGTAAACCAGCTGCTCTAAAGAGCTGAAAATTCACATTCACGCTTCTAAGGTCCTATAGTATACAACTGTCAGTGCTAGAACATCTCAGCATTGTTTTGGAAAAAACATGAAAAACTTCGTTTTCTCATCGGCTAGTTGAGAAAAAAATACAGCAACCGTATAGATAAATGTCTTACATGGAACGTCTACGCGTGAGCAAGAAATAAAATTTGTATGAGCTTTTTGAACGAAGTTACAATTTTTTTAAGATCTGTCTTAAGGTTTTCGGACGCATGGTTTTTTTCAGTTTTTGGCTCAAAACTTCGCGTGGATTAAAGTTGGTGTAGATATTTGAGCACCATCTTGTAGAGCTAGGTTTGCGCTATCAAATGATATATCGAATCCTACTTGGGATATAGGATTACTTCGAGTTATTGCGGTCTGTACCTATTTTGGTGCAGGAATTATGCATCAACCTAATAGAATATTAGGAAGCTCTGAATTACATGTATGATCAGGAAAATTCTTGTTTCCCAAATGACATGCAATACGTGCGAGAAATACGGCGCAAAAGCAGCACAGTATTTCAGAAAAAACAGTGCAATTGCGTACCGTAATCCTACAGTACTCGTACGGCAGTTACTGAAATTGCTAAATTAATGCACTTTATGAAAGCCGCCAACGCTATAACAACTTTTGAAAACTGGAAAGGCAAAAAGTTGTTGACGACAACACAATCGGCCTCAAGTAATTATCTCCAGCGAGGAAATTGCGAAGATAATCATATTTCGTTTCACTTTTTCAATTAGAGCAAACCAGCCTTCACAGCACATGCTAGTCCATTTGTGTCGATGAAAGTTTTTTGTTTTCACCAGCTAGTTCCCTACCATAATTGTGCAGTTCGTTGTCCAGTTTTCATTATCTTTATTTCTAATGCGGAAACTCTATGATGTCCAGCGCCACATTAAAATTGCACTTTTGAAAGAGAAGAGAGCGAATGCTGTCGTATATCCATGAAATTGCACTGAAAAGATTGATTCGGTCTTTTTTTTTGGGGGTGGCGGAGGTGGAGGTGGCAAGGCTATTGCAGAGCTATTTGTAGATAGTACACATTGGCAATAGAAATTGCGCCACTTGTCCTTTAAATTTACAAGTGCCACCTGCAATTTTGGCAAAGCTTGGGTTTGCATGGGAATTAGCGTGACTTCTTCTATGAAGGACGTAGTGGCGATCCAAGAGATTTTGGAAAGGGGGGGGGGGGGGGGGGAGGAAACGAGATAAACACGCACTCCGAAAAATTTTTTTCGGATGCTTCACAAGATTTTTTCTGCTCCAGAACTTTGAAATGAAAGAATTTTCTACAAAGCTGATTTAATTTAGAAAACAATTGGAGAATAATTTTAGGCATTTTTCATAAGTGGAAACAGCTCGCTTGCACAATTTATAGCTCATATAAGTAACTTTCAAAAAATTTGCATGCCCCTTCCCCCGTCTCACTGGGGGCGTTTTAATAGGGTCTTTGACGAGTAGGGAATATCGCTGGAAGGACCCCCTAATAGGTTCTTGACAAGTAAAGGATACAACTGAATGTTGCTCGTAGTGGAATTGGCTGAGCGAACTTCCAGGGTCAGCACTTCTTTATTCGCTAACGTTTCGGCGCTTTCGCCTTCTTCAGAGCCTGCAAGCCTAAATCATATGAACTTACTCGCCCAGACGTCAACAAAAGACCAAAGTATCATCCGAAAACAAAGCTAATGCCAACAAAATCACATTCAACTGGACGTCCGCTTTGCTGTCGCGTTAAGGAGCACATAGACGGTTAGAATAAGCTAAAAGCAGCTACGCCATTAGGAGAACATCGTATTACGCGCCATGGCAAGGCTCCTATACAAGTTACTGTGAAGATCTTGTCGTTAGAACCCGAGATCCTCACGCGCAAAACTTTAGAAGCGTTTTGAATTAGCGCCAAAAAATCCAAAATGAGCCGAAAGGAGGAGTGTACCGCCATAAAGAGGAACTCGCGCCTTATCAATCCCTATGCAGATTTGAATATGAGTCCGGGTCATCAAGGCACGTATAAAAAAGCTGAGGTAATGTCTTGTGTATAGGTGGTCCTCGGACTCTGTCTTGTGCTGCTACGGTAGTACTTTGCTTGTAAATATGATTTTGTTGGCCTTAGCTTTGTTTTCGGATGATACTTTGGGTTTTCGTTGACGTCTGGGCGAGTGAGTTTATATGATTTCGGCTTGCAGGCTCGGAAGAAGGCGAAAGCGCAGAAACGTTAGCGAATAAAAAAGTGTTATCAACCTTGGAAGTTTGCTCAGCCAATTCCAGTACGAGTATCCACCATGCCAAGGTTAAGAGACAGCCGACCTGGACAATCCTGAACTAAAAGTTGCTGTTGAATCGTTTTCTCAACATTTTAAAGGATAATCCCAAACAAAGCGCATGTGAAGCAGGTGGACGCGGCAGTTGAGCATCAATAAACGTTGAAGAGCAGGAGATACGGCAAAGGCTGTCAACCGCTCGCTTCGCCTTCACGCCTCTCGGATGTAGGCCCCTCATCGAAGCTATTTTATCTGGGAAATATTTTGAAAATTTTGAGAATAAAGAATTTCTTTTCGTCCTAGCACGGAGAGTTCTTTGAACTTCAAATTCTTTTAGGCGAGATCCTTCCCGAGCAAAGCCATGGGAGTCACTTGTTGGATGTCTAATTCCAATTCTTGCCTTAATATCAACTACGGGACTGCTGAGTTGGTGTGGGTGGAAATTTCAGGTGATTTTTTTTATCGGTGGCAAACTCTCAAATCATTGACAATTTTTACATGATATTTTCCAACAAAAAATTTTCAGTCCATCATTGTTGCCGCCTTCTTCCTTGTCTTGTCGGTAGGAGTTGACGACGTATTCATAATTCTTCGAGCTTGGGACCGAACGAGCGCTGATGACGACGTTCCCGAACGAATGGCGTTGACTTTGGAGGAATCTGGCCCTAGCATACTTATAAGGTAAAATAGTTCTTACACAGGCTTCTTCCTCATTATTCAAATTCAGCTCGATTACCAACGCGATGGCATTTTTCATTGGAATGACCTCACAAACGCCTGCTGTGCGATCATTCTCGCTTTACTCAGCTATAGCAATCTCAATTTGCTTTTTATACCAGCTGATTATGTTCAGTGCGGTCCTATCGGCCAGCGGATATCGGGAAAGAAGAGGCATGCAGAGCTTCCTCTGCTGTAAAAAAGCGAATCCGAAGGTATGTCAGTAGATAGTGTTGGAAACATTTGTTACCGTAAACGAGCTGATAATTCGGTGCGCGACCCACTCTCAGGCCGAGTTGGTCGTTAGTCCTCTGCGTTACAAATTATTCGATATAGCTGTTTATGCATAGGAACACTAATTCTACAAGTAACTTATGATTCGACTGGCTTGGCGGCGAGGCTTTGGGACCTAGTTAAAGACGCCCGCGACGCATTCTGCATCTCACTAGCGCTAGCCTTGAAGGCACTGTCCAGGCAAATTTGGGCGCCTGGGGTTTCTGCCTGAAAACTGATTAGGCATTCTACTGACTCGCTGCCCAAACGGCAGCGCAAATGATTCATTCACGGTTGATTATGTCCTCAAACACATTCACGCCTGCTTCGTGACCGTAATTCGAAGCTGGCATCGCTCATTTCAACATCACGTTCGCGCTAGGAGGTCCTAAGCCACTCGCGAGTTACGTCAGGCGCAGGGCGAGATCTTTGGGAGTGGATTTCTCAGCCATGAGTGAATAATTTTCGCTGCCGTTTGAGGATTGCCTTGGTTAAGACCCCCGCATCAGTTTCCAGAGGGAAAAACCTATGCGCCCAGATTTGCTTGGGCACTGCTTCTAACTGGATCACGAAGCCCCGCCTTCCCCGCCAATTCAGGTTAATCAAAGGGTACAGTGATGACAGAGAGCAGAGGGAGAGCGACCAACTCGTCCAATACAGGCCGTTCCAAAAGTATATATAGGCTACTGCATAATGAAGGCCAATACCTTTGGGCGCGAACGCGGCTTTGTTGACCGCAGAGCGCCTGAGGCGCAGGATTTGCAACGGTGAAGATACGCGCGCGTCGCGTCACGCCCGCTCGACTAGCACTGCTTCTGCGCCTTCGTCCTGCAATAGCCTTTATACACTGTTTGATCGTTTCTATTTTCCAAGAAGTCCTTTGCCCACTTTCAGCTACCGCTTGGTAAAGCTGACTTTAACTTAGATTTACAGCATAGAGCAAATCACCGATCGCTCTTCAATATTGTAGGATTATGGTAGGAGCTTTCAGTTTACAGCACCATTGCGGATTAACCATGTTTCAAAAGAGTTTCCAGAAAATCTGAAAGTGGTGTACCAGGGTTTTTACCTCGCTGATTTCATTAGTCAACATTTTACGAGTTTGCAAAGCTTTCCAAATGGTGTAATCACGATTTTATAAAGCATTGTAAAAACAGCAATTGCTGTTTACCTGGCATAACTTAAGAAGGAAGCATTGCGGTCAAGTGTAAACTTCATATTTGGTTTTATCGGCTCGAATTAGCCCAGTGCAAAAGTTTTCAGGTTGTTTGGTTGCTCTGAGGCGGAATAGAGCCCCTAATGACACAAAACCCTTCTTGAAGTTCCTAATGCAATCACAGTAATGAAGAGCGATCGGTGATTCGTTTCATACGTGTAAATCTGGGTTGAAGCTAGCCTTACGAAATGGTGTCTGGAGGTAAGCAAAAAACGTCTTGGGAAAAGAGATATCAACGATCAAACTATGTATACATACTTTTGGGACACCTTGTAGTGTTGAGTATTGTTTTGCGGATCTTGCAGCGAAGTGCTGCGCTGTAGTGCACTACGTCAGACATCCCTGCATCCCTGCAAGGTCGTATAATGGAAAACCTTCCCAAATGGCATACTCGCTTATTTCAGGCTCGATCAGTTCTTGTAGAGAAAATTGTGCTCCTTCAAAATATTGTTATACGATTTTATTCGAGGATTATCTCCACATGGACAGCTAGGTTTGTTTTAGCTCTTTTGATAGGAATTGTGACATTAGCCTTCACCATCGGCATGATAGAGCTCCCGAACCACGACATTGAAATACAGTATTTTACAAAACTGATTTGGCGAAATCATCCAGAAAAGTTTTTGTGACTGATGTTGTTGACCTTAGCTGAGATGAAGCTTCTTTGATGACTGCTTAAAGGCGATATTAATGCGTACATCGATTATCATACTCTTAAGGGGGCTAAAGTAGTCAGGTCAAAAGAAAATCACAAATGCTTTTCACGATTTTCCTTGGGCTCATAAATTCTCAAGCAAAAGAGAATAGAGAAGGCTAATAAAGATGGACATTTGCTGCAATCGTTCTCTTCCAGGTTAATCTTGGCAGCCTTTATGATTGCTTACTACTATGCTAGTGTCGTCGGTATAACGCAGCTACGTACATGGATTGCTGTGGAGAAAATGGCATTGCCGGATTCTTATTTGCAAACTTTCCAAGATCATTACGAGGCTTCGTTGAAGAATATGCAACCGATCCAAGTGTTCATTCTCAATCCCGGAGATCTGAGGGATCCACAAAGGCTTGAAAGTATGCACAAATAGCTTCAATAGGGAGTATTTGAGCGAAAACATGATTTTTAGCCATCAAGCAGATTGTGAGGGATTACGAGAACGCTACATACAGTTATGGTCCCGAAAGTACTTTTTTCTGGCTTCAAGCCTACGAGGACTTCTTAAATGTATGTAACAGAGTCATGATTCAAACCAGTCATCAAACGTACAATTTCAGTTCTATGGAGAAACGGAAGACTTTACTTATGAAGAAATGCCTAGATTCTTCAAATCTACCACATATTTTTACCTTTCGTCATTCGTTAAGTATAACGAAACTGCTTGCCTGGAGAACGATCCTGCATGCATAACGTCATTCTTCTTTATGACCAATTTCCACGAAGTAAGCTCATAAAGTCCACTTTCATACGTAATCGTGTGCTCAAAATCTTTAAGCTGCTGTGCACCTGAGCGGTACAAAAGACCCTTCCCATAAACAAAGCACTTTACTGGCCTTTCGTTACAGCACATCAAATATCACGAACTGATCCCCGCGGTAAGAGATTGGCGCGCAATTGCTGCAAGATATCCCGATTACCAAGTATACGCCTACTCGGAACACTCTCCATTTGTTGACCAGGTATAATTAGCAAAGTTTTCTATTTTTCCTAAAATCATGTACTATTTCAGACTCTTGCGATCGACTCCACCGTTTGGGGATCAATGGGAGCTGCTCTGTTATGTACAGCAATCGCGTGCTTTATTTTCATTCCGAACATCGCATGTATAATCACCGCTTGCTTGTCGGTGTTGTCCATTGCAATTGGCCTCTTGGGAATGCTGAGCCTTTGGGGTAAGTTCAAAGGTTAATTAAGGTTTGTAGCAAGAAAACATTGGTATCTTGAATAAACAAAAAACTAAAACTGTAGGACTTGGTGAAGCTTTGCACGTGTAGATTGAATCTTGAAAATGAAATGCATGTCATCAATGGAAAGATGTTTGAATACAATGCACAAGGTTTGAATAAGTCGAAGACATATAAATCAGAGAGGAAATATAATTTGAAGGAGAACACGAACATTTTGGATAACAGCAGGAGTTATACAGTTTAGTACTAGTTAGTACTAGTTTATAGGAATAGATCTTGATCCTTTGTCAATGGCTGCTTTGTTGATGGCTGTCGGATTCTCCGTTGATTTCACTAGTCACATTGCTTATCACTTCTATAAATCTAAAGAGAAGGTAATCAACGAACCTTGCAATTTTACATCAAGAAAAGATTTTTGCTGCAGGATCCCGCAAAGAGGGTAGAGGACGCACTCACATGCATCGGATGGCCACTTATGCAGGTATTTATGTTAAGTCTTCAAAAAGTGAATTACTCTTTTCTATGTACAGGTTGGCTTGTCGACCATTGTGGCGATCCTGCCTCCGCTTTTGAAGCCATCTTACATGGTGCTAGTGTTTCTGAAAACGATCGTTGTGGTTTGCTCCTTGGGAATGTTCCATGGACTGGTCGTCATGCCTGCAGTATTGACTGCAGTTATTAAACGCAGTGATGACAGTTGGTAACTTGTCCCAGTTTTTCTACAGAATTCACGTGTGACATTACTAAATCAATCCAAATTAAGTTGCATTGCACTTAATCTAGATACTTCTAGCGATGTCTCCAAGTGTCACTGAAACGAGCATGGTGTCTCGGAAGTCGTCGCCTTGCAGTTCTGTTGACCGAAAAGGAAGCAAAAACAGTAGCTGTCTTCTTAGCAAGCTAAACTTGGATATATGGAAATCGAAAGCTGCTACGGTCGCTCCCGAAAATGGAAGTGCCGGTACAACGATTAAACAAGCTCTGCACTAAATTGCATCCTCTGCTGCTTGCTGCATCCAGCATCCTATAGTGGTCCACCGCAGAAAGAGGTGGTCGACTCGTAGGCGCAGTTTTATTTAGCGAGATCATTTCCTTAGAGCAAATTTTGCAGCAAACGGTATTGCCTGTTAGGGGATAGAAGCTTCCTCTTTTTAAAAATCAGTTTCATGTGCCAAGCATTCATTGTGAAGCTTGTTTGTGTGTATGCCTTTTTTCATCATCCTCCGAACTCACTTGCATGCTTTGATTTTTAACACCATTCTGTCTCTATCCGGATTGATTTTACGAGTATACACCTTTTTTATAACAGCGTAGGAAAAGATTGTTGAAAGCCTCAATCGAACCAAGACTTCACTTACTGCATATCCTCTTTTGTGTCCGGTCCTTTCCTTCGTTTGAGATCTCTTAGAGGCTTCCACTGTGATGCCATAATTATTTGCTTGTGTTGATGCAAACTTGTACTATAAATCATTGAACTTATTGCACTAATAAGCACGAAGAACATAGTTAGTTTTTATTGATATTGATACTTGCAGTAGTGATAAACTGCATCCAGTAAAAGCACTTGAGTCATTATTATTTAAAGCAAGTAACCACTGCATGAGCTTGCATCGTACGGGTTCCTCTTACATTATATACAGGATGTCCCACAAAGTGTACCTATTTTTTGATTGTAAATAACTCTCTTGTAATGAAGTGTTTCGAGAAGCTTTAGGTACCATTTTGTAGAGCGAGGTTGAACTTAGATTACAGTATAAAGCGAATCATAGATCGCTCTTCATTACTGTAGGATTACACTAAGAGCTTTCAGCATATGAAACCTTTGTGTACGCCATCTGACAAAATTTCTTTCAAAAAATCTGAAAAATCGTGTAGTAGGATTTTCGCGCTTGCTGATTCCCGTAGTATAAGAGATTTTTTCTTGTTTGATTTTATTCCGAGACAGAATATGGCCTCCAATGGTCTAAAATCCTTGTCGAAGTTTGTACTGTGATCCTACAGTACAAACTTCAACAAAGAGCGATAGGTGATTCGCTCCATTGTGTTAATCTAAGTTTTACCTCGCCCTACATAAAGTTACCTAAAGCTTCTCGAAACACTTCATTACAAGAGAGTTATTTATATGTACAATCAAACAGTTGGGACACCCTGTATTGCTGATTAGCCAACAATTCTTCACTTTCACACAGAATGCAAAAGAAATCAATAATCATTTATGCGTTGGGGCTCATGTTATGATACCCGCAGTAATTTCTGACATTTTGAAAGCCGCTTTCGCTACTGATCCTGACACAGTAGGCAGTGGCATATGCAAGGTTCAGTAAACCGCAAGGCGGCTACTCTTTACTGAATTGGCCACTTACTTTTTTTGATTGAATTTAGTGTGCAAACCTGTTATCGTGCTTTCACTGCTCACAAGAAAGGTTGCGAAAAGAGACCCGCAGGCACCTTATCATTCGCGCGCTATTCAAGTTACGGACTTTGTTGCAGCGCCTTGGGTATGTGAACCGCGAGCCGGCGCAGTAGTCACGATTTCAACAACTGGACCTGAGGTATTGGTCATACCTCGAGTGTTTTCACCAAATCGCGGTTGCATACGCACTCTTCTGTAAGCTGATGCAAATATGTCAAATCGTTGCTAACGCAAAGTGCGCTTGTGAAGTCTTATGAACGATACTGAGCAATTATCAAGACTAAACCCGCGCCAGAAATAACCGATGCCTAGGTTGAGGTTTATATTTTAATTTTCTTTCAATCGAAAACGTTTGACACATAGGGTAGGATTAGGATTTGCGTACTCACAAACCTGGTATTTTCCCATAGTCAAAAGATGAAATGATCACTCAGACAATTCGGAACTTCCGCAGAACAAGCAAACCTTGCAGCGGTTCTGCAGGATTTCGTTTTTTATTGCAAAGGTAGAAACGTTGAATATGAGAACTTCTGCAAGAATTTCACGTCAAACTGGTTGAAAGCGGGAACTTCCGCGGGACCTTTTACAAGGCGCTGCGGAACTTCTGAAAAATGCAAGCGCTTCCGCTGCACTTTGACATGCCGGTACTTCCGCAGGGTTTTGAATGTGTTGTCTCGTGATGTTGCCTCCCCAATAACTAGAGTGCATTATAGAACACTAGCTGGCTTACCCGGCTCCGCCCGGCCCTATCAAAACACTATATAAAAGAACACTATCCCTCTTCCTGTACTAACCTTTCCCTGTGCCCAAGGCCTACATGCCAAATCACTATTCCCGCTGTTTTAGTAATCCGCATGCTCGATTATCCCCCTGTGCCAACTCCCAGCCCCGTTGCTCAATCTTTGCAAAAAAATCGATAAAAGTGATAGAAGTAATCGACAACACTTAAAACTAATATTGTATTCGGAATCCCCATGCTCGATTACCCCCCCCCCCTGTGCCAACTCCCAGCGCTGTTGCTCAAACTTTGCAAAAAATCGATAAAATCGATAAAATTAACCGATAATCCTGAAAACTAATATTGTATTCGGAATCCCCATGCTCGATTACCCCCCTGTGCCAACTCCCAGCCCCGTAGGTGAACTCTGCAAAAAAATCGATAAAAATCGATAAAATCGATATCGATGATGACGAAAAGTAGCCTATGACACCTGCCGGGGCCCGAAGTGTATGTGTGCCAAGTTTGGTCCGGATCGGTTCAGAAATGGAATTTTCTATTCGGAACATACGTACAGACAGACATATACAGACAGACATACAGACATACAAAAAGACATTCAGCTTTATATATAAGATGTCAGCCGTAGTGCAGAGTATAGTAGGTGCCTCTCACAGTCAATAGATTGGGGTTCAAACCTCGCTTAGGTGTTCTCTTTTGCAGTTGTAATTCGCATTCTTCGGAACTTTTGCAGCACTTTATTTGGGAAGCAGCACGTTTACGGAACTCCCGCAGGTGACCCGGCGGAACTTTCTCAAATGTTCTGCGGAAGTTTCGGTCAGTCGTCTGAGAAGTGTACAGGATAGCCCTTCTACCGAATTTAACTCGATGGAAGGAGGGATCGTTACAATGACGATCAATGGGTGGAAGTCTTATCAGAAGAGCAGAGGAGTCCTAGTAAACACGCTTTTTCTGAGCACCAGATAACTCTCAAACGTCCCACGCGTGACTAACATGCATTTACACAATTGAAGTGCTTACATACGACATTGATGGCGCGATAGCAAGTTCTTCTTTGCACTTAGAAATAAACGATTTTTTTACAGTGCACGTATGAGGCCAAATTTGGTATACAAACGAACAAAGGCTAGGAGCAACAAACTGCAGAAAAATCTGGGTTTGTAGTAGACCTGTCGAAACTCAGAGTTATAACTCAGACTTAACTCTGAGTTATCTCTGAGCTAACGCGCAACTTTTTGACACCTTTAATAGGTGTTTGAACAGATCAAATTTGGAAAGCGATGATATGCAGGATTCTCCTTAACACGTAAATTATTCCTAGTAGCGGAAAATTGTCCAAATCGTCCTGCACAAGAAACAGCGCCACCAAACGCGCAACTAGTGTCTGCGATAACTCTGAGTTTGATGCGCGTTCCACTCTATCGCGGAACTCAGAGATAACTCTGTGTTTGGTCAGAGAAAGAGAAATAGTGCGCAAAAGAAGAGGGGCAACTAAAAAGACCTCCGGGGTACATTTTGCTCGTAGTTTAAGCAGGCGTGATGGGGGTATCGTGGTGCATAGTGATTTACAAAATTTTGAAAATTTGTAAAAACTTGGCCCAGGGGTTATTCGGTGTGCTGGTCAAGCATATTAGCAGCATATGGTACCCATTTTTCGCTATGGGGTCATGTAGAGGTGTTACGGTAGGTTTACGGTAGATATAAAAAAAAATCCGAAACTGATCGAAACTTGGTACACTGGGGTTATTCGGGCGCCGATAACGAATATGACATGTAGATTATACTGCAGTGTCATCTGACGAGGTTACTGTAGGTTTACGGTAGATGAATTAAAGCGGCGTAGCCGAAATTTGGTATACTGGAGTTATTCAGGATGCAGATTACGGACAATCTATCTGCTACATACACTGGTGACATATGGAACGGTTACAGTAGGTATATGGTAAGTAAGACGAAATCATGGAAGGGCAAACTTTGCCCGGAGGATTTATTCTGTGCGCAAATCCTAATAGTCAATTTTTATCATTGCGTATGCCATCCGCTTTCTCCATTGTTTGAAGCTTTCAGCTGCGCAAAAGACCTCGTGATGAACCATCACTGCCCGATAGAAATGGAAATGAGTGAGGCTTTGGTATAACTTGTTTTGACCTACTAAGTATTAATGGAATGAGTGAATACATTAGGGCAAAGCAATTTTAGGGTTCATGGGTGCGTCATGGTCTAGCGGTTTAGTGGTAGGATCTTTGCGCTAGACCATACAGGTTCGAGTCCCTACTTTAACGTCGCTTTTCTAGCAAAGTGCTTAACAGCTCCTCAAAGCAAAACTCCGAGCTTGAGAGTTGGAATTCGGAATTACGGAAGCGGAACTCAGAGTTTCAAAAACGGAACTCAGAGTTATCTCTGAGTTAACGCGGAGCTTCAAACTCGGAGTTTCGACCAGATTACTACCGACCCTGGAAATTAAGACCGAAAATAGCAGACATCCTAAATTCGCGGTGGCAAAACAGTGAAAAAGACTCCTTTGCAGCTTACAGATGTAAGATAGGGCTTCAAATTTGGTATAAATTTGCGCAATGGAAACAGGGACGAAGATGAGGTCACATGAAAGCATGCCCAATTTGTTTCCTAACACAGTGTCCAAGCAAAGGCCGCATGGGTTTTTCGCCTGAAGATTGATGAGGGGCCATAGCTAAGGCTCAGCCTAAGCGGCAGCGCTGATGATTCATTGGGAGAGAAATTCGTCCTCAAACCCTCTCTCCCCCCCCCCCTTCCTCCCTCCGTGACCGCAACCCGGAGGACTTCGCTCACTTCAACACTACATTTGCGCTGGGACTCACTCATGGGTTACGGTCACGGCGCAGGCCGAGTGTTTAGGGAATGGATTTCTCAGCCGTGAATAAATGATTTGCGCTGCCGTTTGGGCAGTGCTTTAGTTAGGATCCCTCGCCATTTTTCAGGCAAAAAACCATGTGCCCAGATTTGTGTGAACGCTGCCTTTAAGGGTGACAAGCCTTCTGTTTCGCACAATGTTACTCATAATTCTTTCATGAATCTTTTCTGCATTTGTTGTTTATTGGTATGGATCTGGTTTCAAAACTCATCATCTCATTTCTTTCAAGATACCGAGATAGCACTTATAGCAGCAATCGTCGGCCGAATCGAGAAAGAAAGCGCTCCAATTAAAGAACCTATGGAGTTGGCGCGGCTAAAGGAAAATTTTAGAGATTGTAGCGAAGGCAAATTCGATAAGAGTCCTCTAACTACTACGGTGCCGGTCTTTAGGAAGAATCCGTCAAGCTGTAATAATATTGAATTTTGCAGTGGGGGCTGACCTACTGTAACTCGTTTTCTTACCCGGGCTAGGTCTAGATGCATGATTGCTTGTTCGTTAGTTTATGTCGTACGAACAAGGGAACTTAGGGGAATAAAAAACGAAAAAGAACTAGCAACGAAGCACAAAAGTCCTAGTATCTACACTGATGTGTGCACTACACACATCGGTTTCATATTCGGGCGGCTGCGTGCAACATAAACGCAAGTGTGTCTCTCCGTAGAATCCGACAACACATCGCGAGTGCTTATTTTATAATTGTCATAGCCATTGTACAACTACGAAAAAGGTTGCGTTGAGAAATTAAACAAGCACTTACCATTCAGACCTACTTTTCTTGATAGTTCATGTGAACATGAAACGAGCTTTCTGCAGCATTTTGTGGAAGCTGTGTAGATCCTTGAGATGTAAAGAATGCGAACAGAAACGCTGCAGCGTTGAGCTTGTACAAATTACAGCTTGTACAAACTAATTTCATAATACCTCATTTCAAATAAAGGTTAAACCCAGCGAATGGCGGAAGTTTATCATGCGAAGCAATTGCGGATGCGGTGGTAGAGAGTTATCATCGTTCGAATGCGTAGGATGCAGATTCAGAGGCAAAAAGTGCTTGCGTGTCGCGTTTGCTTGCGCCAACCTAGAGCGTATGCCTTCGTCTAAGACTAACCTTCATCTCAGTGTTGGCCATAAACGGTTTGGCTTAAGATTTATGCCGAGACGTAGCCTATACATATATGAAGCTGAATGTTGGTAAATTAGTTAGTGCGTTTATTATAGAGACTGTGTGTGGACCAAACAGCGCAAACTATGCACACATATGGACACTTGTCCATCCGTAAGCTATTTTTCGCGGCGAAATCGCCATTCTTCCGTGACTTATCGACTTTGGAATAAGTTTTTATCGGTCAACCAAACCAATTCCAACTTTCTCTGGAAAAATGCACTAAAACTCGTTTCCGTTTTACGATGAGAGATGCGATAATTTAAGACGTTGCGGTTAGAAGGCATTTATACTTAGAATTACGCATCAAATTTTGTTGAGCCACTTAGACCCAAAGTGTGGGCAACCAGGCAGCCAATTAACAGAAAATAGATTGTTCCATTTGGAGCAAGATCTAACAAAAGTTGAGAAATGAAAACGATTGATGAGCTGATTACGATGGACGACCGTGCATTGTTGTTCTTCTACTCTTCTTCCATTCCATGAAGTTCCCTATTTATAAAATTCTGCAGTTTTAGTTTAGTGTTTTCCCTGAAATTGGGGCCGTTGAATAGTGGTTCGATTATATCGCCAAACATTCAACCTATTGAACAACTCCTCTGTTGCTCCGCCTTCCATGTTGCTGAGCCGATGCTGGCCAATCACACTAACCGGCACAAACGATTGCGAAGCGAACGGTTTGAAAGGTTTCAATATCTATGCATATATTAGGTCGTTCCATAAGTTCGTAGCGTTTTCATAAACCACAATAAAAACCAGCCAATAATGTATTCTTCAACGTAGCGCACGACCCTTTGCCACATTCCTGTCTGCTTTTCAGTCTCAATTTTCTGAACGGTAGCGCGCCGAGTCCCAAGAAAGTCATCTAACCAGCGCTCAAATTACTCACTGAAATAACATATATCATTTAAAATTTGCGATAGAGCAAAACAAATGATAATCTGATAGAACGAGGTTTAAGGAGTATTTTGGATACTGAAGTACCTCCTAGTCATTTCTTGCAGGACAGTTTTGATGGCATTTGCTGTATGAGGTCATGTTTCCTCATGCAGCAAAACTCACTGAATCTGTCTTTTGACTTTTTCTGCGGCATGACCTCGTTAAAACGTTGCAATTGGCTTGCATACGGTATGGTCGACCGTATTCTTCTTTTCCAGTCTTGTCCAATTTTTAGTGCAGGACGTCCTGCCCATCTGAAAAGTCTTGTGGGACACCCTGCTCAGCCCTTCGTCTTTTTGCAGTAATCCAAATTTTCTTCTCATAGTAATGATTGGCAAACGTCACCATAATAGGCAAGAATCTGTGCTTTTGCGCTTCTTTTTATGAAAAAAAAAATGCGCGAATGCCGAAACTGCTCCTTCTTGCTGTTCATATTGAAGAGATAATCAGACCTTTCTAATGATATACGTATTTTTCCTCATATCAGACGCTCCCCAAAAAAGTGAGGGCGAAGATGAAAACGCTACGAACTTATGGAACGACCTAATATAATGAATGTTGGTAAATTGTTGCTGTGTTCTTGATAGAAATTTTTGTGTGTGGACCAATCAACGCCAAACTTTGCACACATATGTTTTCGACACCGGTCTAATTTCCGCCCTCTTTTTGTTGATTTGATCAATCAATCAATAGAAAGAGTGGGAATATGATAAGACCAATTGGGTGGCAGCAACGTTTATTTGCAGGGAATAGTGACGAACAGGACAGGGCCGTAGTGGTGACTCCAGAACTTGGCATCTAGGCTCTTTTATACAGCCAAGCTGAGCGCGTTTAGCCTGAATACCAATCTCTGGCAAACAATGTCATCAATGCAACGTGAAGATCGCCTACGTAAAAGTAGGCGCCGCCGAGTGCAGTATCAGGGGCTATGAGGGTGACCTGACGGCTAGACAGGTGTATGGACAATCTGCAACTTGACAGAAAGAGAGAAAGAAGAATGCATATGTAGGTATTACAGAATAAAGATCTTTGATACCTATTATTTACGATAGGGAACTCCCACTCTTTCTATTGATTTATCTTTTGAAGAAAAATGAACTGTTATCGTTCATTATCAAACCGCCTCCAATATACGTGTAAACAATAGAACAATAGAACTCATTCTCATTCTACGATGAACGAGATGCGGTAATTCAAGACGATGCGGTCTGGAAGTATCTGCCCTGTGTTACAAGAATAACGGAAGATGGCCGAACGCAGATATGTGAAGCCTTTAGATTGCGCGCCAATCTTGCTCTTTCGTAAGTCAAAAACCTACGGTGCGCACGAAGCCGGACATGCCGGCTAGTAATCCATATCTTCCTATTATGTGCTAAACATCGTCTTGAATTCTAAATCCGAATTAACGTTACCGTAATAATGCCATCCTCAAAGACCTGAAAGAAAATCTTTCACTGTTCTGCACTGCACGATCAAATCTCTCTTTTCAACTAGCTTAGCTCGATGCCTCGGGAGCAAACGCTTCGAGACTTACAATGTAGGTAGCATACCGAGTTTCACCGACAGCGTGACGCAGACATTAATTGCGATTGGTGGTAAAGACTGTGACTAATTGATATGGACAGCTCAAGTGGTAATGGATATGATATCTGTACAGTCGAGTAGATTTCCCGCTTAATATAGTGTGCTTGCATTGAAGGTGAAATGCGGTAAAATTTGTACGCGAACAAATAGCTGCGCCTGTGACGCCGGCCAGTTGCGCGCGCGAAAGCCTGACATGGTTGGCAAGCTATCGTCCCCTCCACAGATCGTGCTACGCTTGTGGCGTCGCGGACGTGCCACGTGTGACTAACACATTGGCAACGTTGGCAGCAAACGTTGGCAACATGGAGCAACATGTTGGCGTGGCCAAAATGTTCTGCCAACATGTTGGGGCATGTTGCAAACATGTTGTTGCCACGTTGCCAACATGTTAGCCGCACGTGGCAGGTCTGAGACGCAGACCAAGGGTAGCACGATCTGTGGAGGGGACTATACTTGTTCACGCGCAAATTTCACCTCATTTCATCTTCAGTGCAAGCATACCATATTGAGAGGAAAGTCTGCTCTTCTGTAAAAGGCATCGATTCACTGATTTTAAAGAGCTGTTCATTCTTTCCGTTTAGCTTCGTTGGTGCGAGAGAATGTATACTGCTACAAGGGCTTTGCGAGCAGCTATCCCTAATTCGTAATCTGGAGTGATGTACTAGATATTGAAGTCATTGTCCTGGTGGTCTTTGATAATGTAAGTCCTTCCGTGGTGGTCTTTGATAATGTATCGTATGTATGAAAGGGTTCCAAATCAGGGAGTGCAAGGAAAGACGCATGATCTAGTTTTTAGACTGAAACCAGTATGCATAAAAATTCTTGTCACTTTTGCTTTCTTGGTCGGTGTCTTATATAATCCTAGTCTACTGCACTATGTTCCTGATTGCTAAGCGGATATGTCAACAATGCTACAATTCTTTCGACAGGTAAGGCAATGATCAAATCGTTGCGTAAGCCAGAGCGCAGTGCCATAACAAAAACTCGCATTCTACGTTACTCTACGTCTAGGTTACTAAACCGCAATAAATCATCTTGAACCAATTTGCAAATCGTCTCGGCCGCATTGCAAATTTCATTCGCGCTACTCGTAATGATTACCTCTTTCGATAGTGTGGAATTGCGCACGCTGTGCGTGTCTCTATGTTCGACACTACTGGCGTCTTGTTGAGGTGACCCCGTTTCTCTCGGAATGAGAAGGAAAAAATGGGCGATAGCTGGCTGCTGGGGTGAGTGCGGAACACAGCGGCTACTAACATGCGCTGCTATTATCGTCAGCTATTATGGCTCACATTGATTAGCATCACTGGGAGGAGCATGGCTAAAGGTTTGTTGAGCTTGATTATCAAAGTAGATTGCTTATCTTGTTTATTTTTTATTTCTTCTATTTTTCGACTTAGTCAGTCATATCCTGTCTACTCTCAGATATGACAGTTATCTTTTTATCTGCACGGGGCAATTCTCAGTAATTACTACTTTCAGAAAACCTGATAATCTCTTTTTCTAGAAAATCTACGAAAACTATTTGATTAACTAGCTTTCGAGAAATTAACCATCAATAATCTCTAGGATCTAATAACTGGATCTGAGATAAATTCAAAACAATGCAGGGTGTCCCGAAAAATTGTGACAAATGTTTGCAAAGACCTCTTTTCTTCATAGTTTTCCCGGACCATCAGGTACCAATTATTAGGGTGGCTTCAACTTAGTTTCACAGTACAAAATCAATAATTAAGCTTAGCTTCCTGTAGAAATACCATACATCCCGGCACAACATCGTCAGTGCAAATTAGCAGTTGAGAAGATTTTAAAAAGTGGTCGAACTTTTGCGGGGGATTTTTTAACAATTTGAATTTTTTGAATAACTTTCCATGCTTGTAGACTAATTTAGGTGGTATGTCAGATTTCAACATTATTGGGATCTATGGCTGTCATTGGCGCAAAATTCTCCCGAAGGCTCTTACCCTAACTTCATCAACAAGGAAAAGTTTCTCTGTTGTAAACCTTGTTGAATCCAGCCCTGCGATATGTTACCCAAAAGTATGGAAAAGCTGTTCACCCAATAGACTAGTTAGCAAACGTTAGAATAATTGATGGCAAATCAAATGTTGACTACTATAACAGACTTTCAAAACATCCATTTTGTATCATCTAAGATCCCAATGAGTACCGTACCTAAGGTGCACAGATACGGTAATCATGCATTTCAAACGTCTATGTGCAGTTTATCCACAGTTTTTCAAAGGGAACCCACAAGAAGCCTATAGAGAGTTTTGAAATAATCCCACACAAGCGCTAGGCGTGATCTGTTATTCGTACTAAAGGGTTTGAAAAAGGTGAGCGACAAATTCGCACTCGGTAATACTGTAGAAATGGGAATAATCATTTTAAAATTATGATAGTGTAACTCTCTTAATATAGTGAACACTTTACGAATCGATAAGAACTTCATACAATGTACACAGAATAGTTGATTGTTTATGTGAATTCTCGAACTATCCAGAACTTATTCTTACACTGTTCGAGTGTCTCTGTTTTTTGCCTTCTTCTGAATCCATTTTTCATAAATTGTCCTCATCTACAGCTTTCCAATGCGTTGCGAAATCATCTAGTATGAAAGTACCAACCAAACATTATTACTTGATCATTCGATTCGACGAAGCGATTTCGTCGCAAACGCTCAGTTCACTTGAATGATCATATTAGGTTCACCGATTAACCTAAATTGTCTACAAGCGCAGCAGGAACTTGCAAAAAAAAAACTCATGGAGAGTGCAATAGGACTTTCTTTCGTGGGAAATATGAGCGAAATTGCATCAGCGAAAATTTGGCGAAGCTTTATTTACTCTATCAAATTAGAAAGTGAGGAAAAAACCTGTTGAAGAAAACGGCTTACCCTTTAATTTTTTTCGAAGTTCCACCGCTAATTATTTTCGTTTTGAGCTCTAAATTTTCAGTTAAAGGAATCTTTCATTTTGACTCTTCCAAGATAATGGCACAAATCTCGTTCATGATGGGGCTAAACATTGGAATTACAATCCGCCAATTTGATTTTGAAGTTTATTATATATTCTGTCATTTTTTTTGCTAATTTTTTTCGTTCAAACTGTACTGCATATTTTGTCATTTTCCTGCTGATTCTTCACTCAAGCTGTTTATTCTAAAAAATTGTGCACTTCCTCCCTGCACTTTTTTTGATAACATCTGCTTCTCACATTTCATCCCCCTTATTTGCATTCACCCTAGAAAAACTTTAGATTTAATCGGAGCACCAGTCACCACACTCTATGTACCACCTAATGCGGAGGCAAACGATGAAATTCTTGCCGATCAACCGCTAACCGTTCTAAAGGTTTGTTAAGAACATTTTTTTTTCAAAATTGCTATCTTATGAGAAATGACACGATTGTTCTAAAAATTAATGTGCTACATTACATTGTTACAAAGTTATGCTTAATCAACATTTGCGAAGAATTGTGACCTACAAGGTGTCACATTTTTCAATACTTTGCGCAACATGTCCTTGAAAAATTTAGCGCAATCCCAGGCTTTGCTAAGGAAATGTGTCATTAGTATCGTTTTTGATTTATTGAAGGTGACCGAGTCAGAGTCGGGTCTATCAAAAAAAGAGATCAATTTCCAGAACCAATTACTCCAATTTTTTATGAGTATTTAGGTGTACCAGATAACTTTTTCATAGCCTAGATGGTTGATTTTGCGCAAAGAAACTTTTTTTTAGATCAATGAAGATGTAGCCATTTCTATTGAACCGCCATCAGAAACAGTGGCAGTCTCACCAAACGTAGTTGGTCCTGGTGCTCCAATACATCTACTGATTATGGATCCGCAAAAATTGCGAAGTAATGGAGGAGAAAAGCTACAAGTGAGAGATTTCTAGTTTTTTTTTTCCAAGATTCTAGTGAAAGATTATTGGGAAATTGAACGTCAGTGGGTTGGAAAGTTGTTTGACGCGTTGCCAGTTTTATTGCATTTTGGCTGTTACATGAAATTCTTTGCTCATATTTCTTATTACTTTTTAGAAAAAGGGGGAATTCTGAGTTTAGGACGACCCTCATAACATAAAAAAATCTTTACTATTAGTGCGCCAATGAAGATAGAAAGTCACATAAAAAATATAATCAGAAAGTTAAGTTATTAGGCAAATGTGCTAATGTTTGCACATTACCAAAGTTTGATCAAAGACGCACAAATTGCAGAAAATTGCTTGCAAATTGCAAAAAATTGCAAAAAATGCTTCTTCACCGCAGCAGCGCGCTGCAAAACTGACGCACGCAGAGAGGTAAGATGGAATTGAGATACGCAGGCAGCGAGACCGCAGCGCAACAGAAGGCGCGACTTCGCATTGTCTGCGTCACGATTCACCACCGCTCATCGGATCCCGTTTACTTCGTCTTCCTGTTAGTTGTGGTTAGGACTTATTCTTTTCAGTTAAAAGCGTTGGGATTGATTTCTGGTACGGAAGACGGTGTTTCTATAGAGATCAAACCAAGCAGCGAGTATGCAGCTACTAAACCGTCTACACTGTTATTTGAAAAAGAGAACTATGAGCTTCTTCTTGAGCACAACTTCAAGGAGAAAGAGGTCGCAATAGTGAAGGTTTGTGTGCTAAAGCTAGTAAGTTAATACAAGCAAAAACTCTTCTTTTCCAGCTGGCAGCAGCTCCACCTCCTGAAGCAAAGTTTACTTTGATAGGGCCTTTATCAGACCGATTTACTGTGACCAATCAAGGGGAAGCCATTTACCTAACCGCAAATCCTTGCACAAACTGTTCTACACCAAGCACATTCACATTGCTCCTTGTCGCAACCCATCAAGGATCGCACCAATATGCAACTCTCAACTTCAAGCAAGTGGTGGGTTTTACCCACATATTTGAGGAACAATTGCTTTTGGCATTTTCAAATTCTATGATGCTCAATTTTCAGAACGAAGAAGAATTTACTTTCGTGGGCGCACCCTATTCAGCAATTGTAGAAGAAGAAACCGGTGTCTTCAAAAGGGCTGTAAAAGTCATGACTAAAGGTGAATACTTTGTATTGGATGGATGATAGGGTACTCAATTTAGATTTGAACAGGAAGAGAGGAAAGATTTTAGGAAAAAACTTTTTTTTGCCCTTTTATCCGCTTCACTTTTCATGTTTCTGCTCCATCGTTTAAATTTTACTTACAAATCACTATCACAGGATCAGCTGGAGATGTGATGTACACGCTGCAGGATCCAAACGATCTTTTTTCTATAAATCCAAAAAGTGGAATACTCATAGTACAGGTTTGTTCGAGATCTTCGGCTACGTTAGGTAAAAGCATAACTGAAATATTCCAGCATCCTGAATTCCTTACCCTGAACACTTACGGGCGGAAAACAAATCTCGTAGTAGTAGCAACTGACAAAAAGACTTCAATTAAGACAGTAATAGACATTACTTTAACACCAGTGGCTGAAGGGTTGAAAGGGTTCAAATTTACAAAGGTACGTTTTTTGGAAGTTGCAAAAATACGATTTTTTGTGCAAGCTTAAAATAAATCTACAATCTTTGAATTAAGCCTAATATTTAGCTTCTCAGCAAATTTCAATAACTTCTTTTTGTCGCTTTCAAGCTTAAATGACACTTTCTCTTTTCCAGGAATCTTACACATTCACCGTGAAAACCGGGGAAACATTGATAGGCGTCGTGAGAGTGGCCGATTCTGGAAATCACACCCTTCATTACGACATCGCAGAAGGAGGCCAGGGTGCGATAGCCATCGATGATTTGGGAATGCTTACGTACCGTGGAAAACCCGAGAAGGATTCAAGGAATTTCACCACTTTGGTAATAAACTAAAAAAATTGGGGTAATCCTGAAAAAAGTTTTTTTTTTCAGGTGTCCGCCCAGACAACACAAGGGCAATTCTTGGTAGCTACTGCTTGGGTCGATATAGCTGTAGAAGGAATAAATTCTAATCCTGTCATCGTCGTGGGTCCGACCAAAAGAGCGGATGTTTTGAGCGCAAGTAAGTTTTCGTTGTAATGAATAGTTATCAGTTTTTCTTTATGTATTTATTCTATTCATTCATTCACTCATTCATTCAGTCATTCTATATACTGTTATCTCTTATATCCTCCATCTTTACCATATAATTACTTGATGTGTGGTCACTTATTTTGTCGTTATCAACCATCCATTTTCATTTCTCCCTTTGTTACCTGCTGATCATTCATCATCCAGTAAATTTCTCCGATTCCATCTAGATCGTCATTTAATCACTCTATTCATTCATTCATTTTTTTATTCATCTTCGTCAAATCATTCCTCATCATGTATCTATTCATTTTTTATTCGCACTTCAGCACTGTCTGTTCGTTTATTTACTTATTCGTTCAGCCACATAATAATTTATTTGCTCATTCTTACAATTTATTCATTCGTATACGTCTCTTCAACAATCAAACCATTCATCCATATATCAAATTATATACTCTCATTCTCTTTATATCCATCCAGCAGTGGCGGACCGAGGGTAGTTGGGGTGTACTCGCATGAGTTATGAAATTGTGCAAGTAACTTGCTTATTTTTGTAACTTAAAATTTCAAAATTTTTTGAAATCTAAATTGACCTTGTGAGAAAAATTCCTTCCCCAATTCTCAAACTTTTGGGGTTATGAGCGCAAAATTCTGAGATGTACCCCAAAAATTTTTTTGGAGGCGTGGCTGACGCCATACACCTTTATTCAAAAATAATTCCCCCCCCCCCGGATGGAGATTCCTGCGGCCGCCACTGCCATGCAGCTATACATTCTTCATTTATTCATTTAGCCATTCATTCTTCACTCTTCAGTATCTTCAAATCATTCATTTTCTAGGTGCCAAACGAGGTACGAGCGTTGCCACCATCGAAATGACCGATGACGATGAGGATGCGGCCCTTCAACTCTCAATAGAATCCATTTCTGGACTATACCTGAACGGAAGCGAGGCGAACCATCTTAGCCTAGAAATGTTCAAAATAAATACGAATGGAAGAAAAGCCGAAGTGTTGCTAAATGAGCCGATCTTTGATCTACCGCTGGCATCTTTATCCATTAGAATGCAAGCACAGGATCATGCACATCCGGCGGAACCATCTGTATTAGGTGAGTAACAATTACAAAGTTCGTAGAATTGCAAAAGAGACAAAAAAAAGAAAGAGAGGAGAGAAAAAATGAGAAAGGTGAGAGGCTTGAAATCTAAAGCAAAGTCTGTATTCATGCCCTAAAAATGGGACATAAATATTTTCATAAGTTAGATTCTCAAAATATTTTCATAAGTTAGATTCTCATTTCATTTTTTGCTCCTTCTCCTCCTACTCGTTGCATGAGATTCATTAGAGCGATTTTAGTCATCCAGCAATTAACCATCACAAGGAAGCATCCGTTGATCGTGCAAGAAGCTGTCCCATTCAAGCTTATTGAGGTAAACTAATTATTTTTGAAATTTGCGGGACGTAAGTCATTTTTTAGATTCCCGAAGTTATCCACATTCCTGCCGAGTCCCCAGTCGGCACCCTCGTCTACACTGCTCGTTTGCTTCGAAGTGTTATTTCCAACGAAACTAACTATGACTATGAGCTTGATTCATCTTTTGGAGCTTTCAGAATCGATAAAATTACAGGTAAAATATTCATTCTGGGAAAAAATTCTAGAAATTTGTAAAATTTAGGGGACATCACAACTGTTCGGCCCCTGCACGATCTCACTGAAGATGTACTTATCGTTACGGCACATTCACACACCGAAGAACAAAGTGCACAGGCTAATTTTACCGTAATTTTCACTCCTGCGCAAGTGCAGAAGACCTCATTCGTCAAGGGACACTATCAGGGTACTGTAGCCCAGTCGGATCCATTGGGTAGGTTCACAACTTACAACTTCATTTAAAAAATCTACCCTATCTCTTGTTACCTCTGCTATCATCGTTCAAAGAAGGAAAGGCCGAAGGTAGAATGCGGAGGCAAAAGAGATATTGAGAATAGCAAGCATTACCTAATTCAGGATGATGTGATCCCTTTCACATCGAATTTCCAATTTTTGCTATTTTTGGAACAAAAGTGTGAATGTTATAGATACAACTGTGCTTGTAGTGGAGGCTAAGACAGATCATGGTGAAAGAGTAAAAAAGTACAGCCTAGAAGGTGTCGATGCGGATTTCTTCAATATCGACAGCAAAGTGAGTTTCGAATTTAACGCAGTGAAAATCTGAGAATTGCTGAATAGAGAGTAGAGCGTTCTAGGAGTTGGAAAAATTATGATTTGTGAAGAAGTTCAAGAAGAAGTGACTGCACCGAATACTTTTTTCCATTTCAAAATTCCTTTGACCTTAGAGACTCAGGCTTAACCGCATCGTACTGTATTTCTGTGCGGTCTTCTTTTAGTATCCGCTGGTATAAAAAACCTATTTATTAGGGTGTAATCCGTCTGAAAGAATCCCTCGCAAAGATATCGAAACCATCCATGAGCTTCGCTACAATAGCTGGTGAAGGAATGGCAAAAAGTTCAGTACCAGTAAGTGATGTTTTTATAGTAAAGAAGCTAATGAATTCCCAATTATTTTTTCCTTCTGCCAAAAATAATTTCTATTTGATATAATTTAGGTGCATGTATTGATAAAGAAAGAAGAAAACGAAGAGATTTCTTTCGAGAAGAACTCATACGACATAAAGATTATGGAAAATGTACCATTGAATGGATATGTATTGCACCCGCAGGTGATTTTCAGCCTAAGAAAATTTCTTAACTCCTTCTCTTTTTTTAAAGAACGATCACCTGTTTTAGCTTATCAGCAACAATGTCAATGGTGTAGCATTCTCACTAAACTCACTTAATGATGCCACAGCTGTAATGAAACTGCTAGATATCGATGAGACGGGAAGAATTACTGTCAAGGACGAACTTTTAGGTAAAAGTCGTTTATTTGGCTCTGTGTAGTGCAAGTGCAGACCGTACAGCGTTCCAAAAGCTCGAAGGTCCTTGGGCGCGTGCAGAGTTGATCTCGTGCCAACACAGTTCCAGCGCCGCACCACGTCCGTGCCACCAGCGTGCTAGCACCGTGCCGAGGCCCAGGGCGCATCCACTACATGATCGTCAGACTGCGATGTTGGTCGAGTGCACAGTCCGTCCATGTGGGGACCCCGCACGGCGCTAGCACGACACTTAAAGGGTTGAAATGGCTCTAAAGGCACTGGCAAGGCAACCCTAAACTCAGATCTGAAGAGCTGCTCTAACTTATTTTTGAAATCTCATTACAATTTGTCTTTGAGTATTTGTCTATCTATCTGCTCGTCCTCTTTCGCTTACTTTCATTTCCCCGTCTCAGATTTTCTGGACTTGCTGCTGAATGTGTTGATGCACTCCTTCTTTTAACGCCTAATATTGAGTTTTACCTTCAATCAAATCTGTTCAGGATACGTTGGTGCCTATGAATTCCAAGTTCGAGCAATAAAAGGTGACCATCAGACGTATGCTGATGTTACTATGCATGTGTTACCAGCATACAGATGCGTTCCATCGTTCGTCGGAAACGAAAATCTTGAATTTTCCATCGATGAGGTAAAATGTCTTCACTCTCCCATAATTCTAAAGTACTACATCAGAAATTTTTAGAATATGCCACCCGGAAGTGTTATTGGCAGCGTTTTAGCAACGAAACTGAATGACAAGTGCGAGTTGAAATATCTGCTGTGGGATCCACTTTCTCATAAATACACCAACGAAACTAGTATTGCCTCGATTGACACAGTCACTGGTGAAATAAGAAGTCGCAAATCATTCGATTACGAAAAGCAGGCAATGTTCCCGGTGAGTGAATTGAGCGTTTTTTACAACCATATGTAGTATACGTTTAAAAACATTGATAAAAGTGGAAATGGGCTGGAAAAGATTGGTTCAAAATCTAAAAAGATCTAGGCGGCGTATAGACTAGCCCGTCCAGCTCCACGCCGTACGATTGGTCTATCAATGGGAGGATCGGCGTCCAGTTCCATAAAGGCGTCAGCACGGCTCTGGCACGGCGCTGGCACGGAGCTGACGCGCGCCTGCAGTCAGACTTTACGCACTGCCTTAGACAAAAAATCTCTAAACTCCTTCTTCTGCTAAGTCATCTCTGCACCTCAGATTCTTTAAGCCACATCATTTATTTTTTGAGTTAGAAGTGCTTCAGACAAATAGTATAGAAGCCTTAAAATATCATTTTCAGCTAATCTTGGGTCTTCAAGCTGGAGCTAGTCAATTTGCTCAAATGCCTAGCACAATACGAGTCGTAGATAATGACGACCATCCCCTTAAGGCTGTTTTAGAGAATCTCACCGTTGAGGTATTTTTCATTGATTTAAAAGATATCCAAAATTGAAAAAATAATTTCAACAAATTTTTCTTCAAGGTACCCGAAGACGCTGTTATGGGTGCGGTAATTGCCACCATGAGTGCCATCGATGGCGACGAGTCACAAAACATTTACTACCATCTACAAGAGCCATCAAAAGAGTTCTCGTTAAATTCATCTACTGGCGAAGTGGTGCTTACATCGAGTTTGGACAGAGAGACGAAGGACTCTTATATGTGAGGCACCAATTTCCTTGAGTCAGCGTTCAGATTCGTTAGTGCCAGCGCCGTTCCAAAGCCGTGGTGCTGGAGAGGCGACCCATCAACAAAAGGCGCGTCCAAGTGGATTTCGCACGGTGCTGGCATGGCGCTGGAACGGCACCGACATGCCATTGGCGACTTGAACGCAGTTTAAAATATCTTCAAAGATAATTTGTAAGATTAAGATTGAAAATTGGTGCCAGCAACGCTGAAAATGCTGAGACGGAGGATATCGAAGTATGGATGACACTAAATGTGATTGTAACCGACGTGTGAGTAGTGAAAATACAAAAAATTCGCGCAAAAATGCGGAATTCTGTCATAGGAATGATAATGGTCCGCTGTTTGAAGAAAGTCGCTATTTCATATTGTTAGAGAAGAACGCACTCCCCGGTGAGGAGGTACTGACTGTTCACGCATCCGATCCTGATCAACCAATGCCTGGGAATGGTATTTTCTGCATTTTCAAATTGATGATTCAAGTCGCAAAATCAGTATAATTTCAGATGTACAAGAAGTGTTTTATCGAATCAAAGAAATGCTATTCGATTATCGTGGAATGAATAGAGCCGTGGAAAGTATGTTTTCAATTGGTAAGACGACAGGGATAATACAACTCGAGCAGGAAGTTAGGTGTGTCCAATTTACAGATTGAAGTAAAGGAAAATGAAGTTGAAAGCACTCGTCTGTCTGCTGATTACCTTTACTATAATTGCAGAAGGAAAGATTGAAAAGAAAGAACCCAGCCAATTAGGTTTGAGCAATTCTGATTTTTCCCCAGAACATTTCTGTTAATCCTCCTGTTAGAAGTATTTGAAAATGCTTAGGTAGTGGAATAGCTTTAGCGTATAACTCAGAAAAAGCGTTCACAAGTTTCTTTTAGACTTCAAAATCACTAGAAATTTTAGCGAGTATGTTGGCGGTGCTTTCCATCTGCTTCTGGAATCGATGGACAGTTTGGACGAGAACGCACATCGAGATCAGTGCATTGTGAAAGTTTGTTAATCATATTTTTGGCTTCAATTACTATTCGCTTTTTTCACTAAAACGAAGAATTGAAAGTTCTTTCTTGTAGGTGTATATTCACGACGAAAGCGATGTCGTTCGGATGGAATTGCCCATACCACCAGCGGCAGTAACTTATGAAAAGATTTCCACAATGAGAGAGTGAGTATTTTATGGCAAAAATAATCAAAGGTGTCTTTCCTTGTACCTGCATAGAATAGCAGCCATATACGAAAAATGGGCGTGAAATGGGCGGGGCCAAAGGTTTATCTGTGTGTGGCCCTCTCTTTGGTTGCTCATTGTATTTTTCAGTACGATATCGAATGCAACTGGGCTGAAAGCCATGATCAAAGATTTGCGATACCACCACGAAGAGGGCAATCTCATCTATGACATGACAGATCTTCGCTTGGTCAGTTTTTCGGCTTGTTTCTTGGAATTTCCTGTGCAGATATTTTGGATTACATTCTTCTCCAGGTATTAGTAAATCGCACTACATCAGAAATTATCCCAGCTGAAAGGGCCATCGCTATCGCCGACAAGCGACGATCGGTAATGGGCGATAATATACCGAACATGACTAAAGCTCAGGTATGGCGATTTTGCCGAGTCATATGACGAATTTAAGGAGGGCCTGAAAGGAGTTCCACAAGTATTGGGTCGTGTAATAAGTCCTGTCCCATTTTTTGTTTTAGTTTTTTCTTGTCAATATTGACTATATTTGAGATAAAGTGTACATGCTTTGAAAGCTCTAAGTCTGCTCTACAGGCTCATACGCATCATTCCCTAACATAGCAGAAAATTGGAAAAGATTTTTGTCATTGAAATAAAAAATTCAAAAAGCCAAAAAATCAATTTTCGACATCTTTTTTCCTTCAAATTTTACTCGATTTTTATTGGTAAAACTTATGAAACAAGCTTGACAACAACCAGAACAATCTATTGAACTTTTACACTTATTCTATCATTGTTTGCCCTGTTCCCTTCCTTCCACCGGCTATTTAATGACATTTTTTTAGAAGTCGGCAAGGCAGGACTTTGTCACGGCGATGTCCGCCGTCTTGCGTACCCAAGCTGTGTGGCCTCCCAAAATTCAAATTTTGAGTATTTAACCTACGAATTCGATAATTTTGAAGCCACAAACCATCCCTTCTGACTTTTCTGGATGACCCACCTACCGTCTTCTCTTAGGATGCCTTCAGATGACGCCCAACACGAACGTTGAAAAGGCATCAGAAAGAAGAATTTTCTAAAATCTATAGAAATGATTTTCGAAAAGTTTCAGCACTCCTGAAGCGCAATAGAAGTTAGAACATTCTTTGCTTACGTGTAGCATATTCTTCGAGCTCATTCGTAGGCATTCTGACTATTTAGGAAGGCGACGTAAAGTAGTTGTCGAAAATGGAATTTTTCCCTGTTTGATTTTCCAAATTTGACGCTGTAAAACTTTTTCAAGTCACCTGATGTGGAAAACCGAAATGGAAGTTTTAATAGAGAAGACTTAGAGCTTTCGAATGCATATAAACAATTTACAAAACATCGCGCAAAATATTGAGAAAAAATTGAATGAAAAAATGGGACAGAACTTATTACACAACCTAATATTTGCGCAGTCCTTCAGCAAGTGCTGCGGAAATCCCGCTGCTAAATCAAACGGCGGAGTTTGAGCAAGGCTTCCAAGGAACTTCCGCAGATGATTGCGCACACTAAGTGCTGCGGAAGTTTGTATATCGTGCGAAATCTAGGCAGGACCTACAGGTCTTGCAGATGATTGAGCGGTTATTCAAAACTGCGGGGATTCCGAAAACTTGGGTAGTGTTAAGATGGTATGAGTTTAGGTAACTTCTTCACCAGTTATACACCAATCAATTCCGCCTGTAGCATATGTGCTATGCACATTTGCTATGTTGCTGACCATAGTGTTCCTGATATTCGCTTTCATGATGTGTCACTACAGAAACAGGTAATGAGAACTTTGTAGTTTTTTCAAAGAGATTTGAAATTTTTTGAAGATTCCAACGAGAAAAGAAATTGCGAGAAGACGATGCATCTATAGTAAATGCATTGAATAGACCTCCAATCCGGCCGATGAAAATTTCTCCACTGATTCCCACGCGGTATGCTTCGCATTTGTACCAGCTGTCCGGGTAAATATCAGCGTTTTCAGGGCATTATATGAACCACATCTTCCTGCTATTGAAAGCAACTATGCTGTGCAGGAAATGAAAATGGTTGTGGCAGGAGAAGACGATAGACGGCGTAATCCCTGGTAATGGCTTGTTCAGCTTCACCTTGCCTGGATTTTCTACTGCTCATAAACCCGGTGCCAAACGTCAGTCTGTGATTTTTTCTGTAGATAGGTGTAATAAATCGATATGAAACTAATAAATATTTATTCAGTATAACTTGTTGTACGTACTATCTGGATGATCAATTTATATATCAGTAATATACTAGGAATCATCATATTTGTTTGACAGTTATGCACAGTTAAGATGTAGCAGTCATTTTGAGATAATTTCGTCCTTGCCTTAAAAATATCTACCGCAGCCTTAAATCTTTTGCTCGAATCTTGCCACGCCCCATTTTTGCCTAGTAGGGTAGCTTAAAATCAGTTTCGTATCGTGGTTTCAAAACTGCAAAACAAAAAATGACTCAAATTGCAATACTTATCGTTGAGTCTGTAACATAATATGCGTGCTGCACACCATGCGCGCCACTTGACGACTTGTGATATTAGAACCTGCTCATTTCCAGTGTCTTCTCTTGTTTCCTTGTCTTGCTTTGACTGGATAGGTATTAGTTAGTAGCGCGCATTTCTACAATTTGTTACGCCGGAAAAGGCTTTGCTAAAGAGTTGCTTGTAAGAGTGTCGTCGATATGCGCGTAGTGTGCAAAACTCATAATGAGTCACAAGGATAATATAGTCCAGACTTTGTTCACCCCCGTGAGGGTGTGGGCCGATCCCTGCAGCAGTGCAACGCTGGGCCGACCCGTGATGAGGTGCGAGCAAGCCCGCAACCTCATCCGGTTTCAAAAATCAAATAACCTTAACGAGACTCATTCGAGACTCTATCGAAGGTTAATTCGATAAGAACAGAAACTAAACTTTGATCTTAGCCAAAAGGCCGAGAAGCGATACCAGTTTTACTCAACAAAGTGGGCAGCCGTACCAGTGCGTCGTATATCCCGCGGATTGCGATGTGCGCAGAGCATTTGAGAATGCCAGCTGTGCTATTAAGCTAACGCTAAAGTGAGCAATGTATTACAAGATATACGCGTTCTTGTACGATTATTATTATGATGTCATGTGACAGATTGCCTCCGTCCTGTGCCTTGCAGTTGCCAGAGATAGACAAAGAAGAGGAAAATAATTGAAAACTTTCTTCAAAGATCGTCAAGGAAACCGTCTCACTGTAGGCTACAAGTGAATCAGCGAGAACGTATTCCTACTGCTACAACTCAGTTGACGAACCATGCAGAAGCATAGAAATTGCCATTTTCGACCGCGATTTTGTAATTGATAGTCGTAACATCGACACAAAATGCCGATCTAAAATATGCACAAAATGAACTTTATTGGTCCATTCCGACGCTCCAACGGCGAAAATATTTGCCAGTGGCACTTTAGATGCACTCCGGCCGCAATCACTGCTAATTGAGGGTCACTCAAATCTGTAATATTCCCTACTCCTGAGTGAAAGATGAATTGTTTTACTCAACTGAGCATGTTGCTGAATCTGCATGATCTGTAATGACCACGGAACAGATTGCATGTATGGTAAATGATACTATCATAATAACTTATAAACCTGGGAAAGTTACCAATAAGTTTACTGAATTCAATATTTGGAAGTGTCCGAATTTGCCAACAATTCCTTCTTTTAAGACTTCATCGTATTTATGGTGATGGCTCACTTTTGCACTCGCTTTTGGCAGAACTGGACATTCTCACACGCTGTGCGCTCACTGCAACCCGCGCTATATACGACGCACTGGTAGGGCTGCTCTCCGTGTTGGGAAAGGAAAAGCGGGTATATGCCCGCTCGGCGGGCATATGCCCGCCTTTATTACCCAAAGCGGGCATATACCCGCTCGGCGGGCATATACCCGCTTGACGGGTATATACCCGCTTGCCTTACCTAAAATTAAAAGTTGCTTGTAATTCGTTTCAGAATAAAGCTTGGAGTCTGGTATTGTCCAAGTACATGACAAACGGTCGAGGGAAGCCATATGGCGAATTCGAGGAAATTTTATTCATCTTTGTCAGCGATACCATTTATTTATCTCTGACAACGTCATGAAATCCAATTGTTTTTAGGTTACCTTAAGAAAAGTAGCTTGAAAATCGCTGTGCGAAATTTGAGGTACAATTTACAGAAGGCACAATTTCAGAATTCAACAATATCTCAGCGAAACCATAGATTGGAAGGCCCAAACAAGGACTGAACGATAGTATTTCAGACGTAAAATAGAAATAATGCTGTTCCAGCTTAGCCCGAAGTGTGCAGGGCTTACAGCTGACAGCCAGTCTTATGTGATTTTACAGGAAAAGTCACAATTTCAGAATTCAATATCTCAACGAAATCATAGTCTGGAAGGCCAACATGGATTGAACGATAGTATACGCTTGGCTTTTCGCCATCTTTACTCTTTACTTTACTTCATGCGACGTTTTGCTCGATATTAACAATGGGCCTCAGACTCGGTCAATAAGGCCGAAACTTTTTGTTTCGTGTTAGATTCTCACGCTGTTTGTGCCGCCAAAATTTGAGCGCTGCAGCTTTACAAAAGCTTGAGTTAAAAAAAGACAATGATTTTTCTTAATGATTAATTCATTAAAATCTCAGATGCAAAGCACAATTTTCCCTTTCTGTGATCACGAAGTAGGCTCAAATTTACAGTTCTATTCCGTGAGCTAACATGTGCATGTGCATGCGGCACACGTCGAGCCTCTTGATGTTATACTATGAACCTTTGTAGACGTGCTTTCGTTTCGCTTTACTTTCTTGAGTATGCCGTTGATAACCGTCGAAGTAATGTTAGTCTTCCCGATTACATGATGAAGTTACTCATATCAGGTGATGCTCTGCTTTAATCCTGCCATCATCACTGTCTTTGTGCTTCTCTCCGAAAGCACACATGCCGTATTTTATGCGACGAAGATGGATGCTGTGTCGACCACAGGGTTGCCGCATCTGCCCGAATTGAATCAAAGAATTTTTCATGAAAACGGATTTCATGGTGAAGTGATTGGATTTGCAGCAAAGCGTGAGGAGGAATGTGGGATCGTGCTGCTAGGTGCATTACTACATAGATTATTTGAGATTTACTTTGACTTCTTTATGAATACCTGACATTGGCTTGAATTTTTGAGTGACTACCTTGAGCTGTTCAAGAACGAAAAGTGGCAAAATTCAGATTACGGAAGCTACACAAACGGAGATATGTTTAATCATATATTGGAGAAACTTGAAGACACTCTAAAAGATAACAATACACTGGATCAAGCTTTGCGCGCAAAGGTATTTCGCTATCGGTGATACCGAGATTAATGTCTTATAAACGCAGATTTTGATAATGATAAGTTTGTCAATAAAAAGGTGTTTGCTGCACAAAAGGAACAAGCCTTGAAAGAAAATATGGAAGAAATGAGCAAACTATTCGAAAGATATAGGAGTAACACGCCACATTACAAGTCAGTTTTATTAGTACGATCCTCCACTTTCACCGATGAATTCTTCGAATCCAGCACGGCGCAAGTAACATTCTTTGGCGGACTTGGGCTCATTGCTTTTGGAATAGGAATTGGGATCGGAAAACTTGTATATAATGGTGTGACAAGCCTGATGCGTAGTTTTGTAAAAGGCGAGCAACTGCAGGTGAGTACTCTGAGTAAAATTGGCTTGCGAAAGCAAATTTGCCGTTTTCAGCACCTGGATATGGAGCTCATAGCAATTTACAAGAAACTTGATAATTTGGCAAAGATATTGGAAGTACAAATTAACAAGTAAAAAAAATTGTGGAATCATTTTTCTCATCTTCATAAATCCAACACCTCTCTATTTAGGAATCGCTTTGAGTCCGTGTTTGCGCATGTCAGAACGCAGCTGGTCTTTGCAGTACAAAACTCACTAAATGACTTGTTCAGTCGTGGGCGTGTTGCAGATCAAATTATTAGTCATGGTGGTGACAGTAATCTGTTATCAGCTATCGCAAGACTTATGGGCGAGAAGCGTTTCAACGCATCCATGTTGAAGAATAGATATTTTGCCGCTGGCAACACTTTGATAGCTACAGTGATCTCAATGAACAAACACTTGATGGAAGTAGAGGCAAGCATAAATCATCTAATATAAAGATATTAAGATAGTTGCTTTCAGGTTTGCTATCCAATCACAAAAGAGCAGGATGTCGGATATCTATTGCGCATAGTGCCTTTAGGCAAATTTAGTGACGATGGCGAGACGTATACCACTCATGATCTTGGCGCGCATTTTATCTTGCCGCTGTCCATGAATGTCAGTAACATTAGCGCACTTGCAAGAGTCAATGACATTCGTAGAGACTGTGATAGAATGTCATCGGTATTCCTCTGCAAAACACAGCCCCAAAGCAACACTTGCACTTTGGACCGAAAAAATCGCGATGGCTGCGCTTTGTTAACGTACGATTCTACTAGAGAAGATGTAAGTTAAGCTGCTGCTCATAATTCATCTTTACATTTGTTATTTATATATGCATTTTAGTTTACGCTTGTGCAGCCACTGCTAAGAACCATAGTGCTCGCTACCCGTTTGAAAAGTATGCACTATCAATCAGTGGGTGAGACGATACACACCCCTGTTGAAGTTCCAGAGCCGGTCACCGTGGTAGAAATACCGAAAGGTGGAGTACTCTATGTGGGTCTAGCAGTGGTGGAGGCACGGGTGACAACAGACAATTTGACAATAGAGCTGCAAATTACGTTACCAGTGAGCGGACATACCATATGACTTAAATGATTTTACTAAAGCAGCTATCTCTCAGGTGTCAAATATGTCGTTTGAACCTATCGTTGGTCCTGACGATAATCACAATGATGGAGCAGCATGGTACAGCTATGGATGCCACTTGAATAGTCTCTTACTTGCGACTTTCAGTTTGTTAATTGCGCTTTCCTCATTATCAGTGAGCTTTTTCTTGTGGAGTAAGTTAAGAGCGATGCAGCGATGGGTTGAAATCCAAGAATTACTCAAAGAAGCTCAAAGAGAGCCAATAAAAATTGTTGCTGCTTGAATATAAAATATAATTGGATTAGAAGCTGAACATCTTTGTATATAATAAATATTAATGAACGAGTAGTGTATTGAACCAGAAAGTGTTTTCATCACGCTCAATATATCTCGCAATCTTGGTTGCAAACATAGTGATGTCATTTACATCGTTATGTTACCATAAGTGTTTCGTTTTGAAGCTTTGTAGGTCTTGATCCGATAATTTTTGAAACATCAAAAATGGCCGAACGTGTACGGGCACAAAAGTACAAAGAAGTTTTGGAGATTGGCAATGCAGCCAGGGAAAGTTTTGAAAGACTCAAAGAAGAACGTATCGTGAGATTTCTACCCCCAAAAATATTTGAAGGTAATGGATTTCAATTTGTTGCAGGAACTTGTTGTAAATAACAAGTACTTAAATTTTAGAAATGTTCTACCCTAAATTTTCAAATGAGGGGACTCATTTTTGCGTCGTCTGTGGAAAGCAAGGAGAATTCCGTCTGCGCGAACATTTGCTCAAGGCGCATAAAGATGAGCTCAAAAAAGGAACGATGGATTTTAAGGTAAGTTGAGTGGATGATTTCTGAAAATTTCAACCGTCTAATCTTAATTAATTTGTTATTTTTGTTATAGATTATCGAACAGCTAGGACGTGGCATCACACAATACATGGGCAAAGCAAAAATAGATTTATCTCTTGTGCGTAATCCAGCAACTTACGGAGAATGGTGCATTTATCGCGATTTCACACAGCAAATTAAGAATTGTGGAATACCAATCAAAGGGGCAAGTGAACAATGCATTGAATCTATTTGTATTATTTTCTTATCTGAGATTCAACTAAAAGTTATTCTAGGAATTTTATGAACGTGTTGAGAGAAACAAATATGCGCTTCGTGCGGAAATGGATGTGGGAATGCAAAGACTAGAAGAAAGCGTTCAAAAAGTAAGCATATTTAACGACAAATAATTGACATATATACATGTAATAAGGTATCCAAATATTTTGCAGATGGGGCGCAGATTAGAGTTAAGAGATGCGATGCAGCGTGAAGAAGAACCTGGTACATCTTACGCTCACATAGAAGAAGATGCCCTAGAAAGAGATAGTAGTGCGATTGATATGATGGAAGCCAAATCCACATCGAAGTCCCAAGCTATACAAAGTTACGAGGCTAGTAAAGCAGCGAAGCAAGGTACTTCACGAATGACTACGCCAAAGACAACAACGTCCGCTTTCTACACGCAGTTTGGAGACGCGACTTTCGAAGGTTGAAATTTAAATTGAAATTTAAAAAGCATTTTAAGAAACTAAGAAAATCACATACGAATACCTTTTATATGAATGTTATAGGTGGACCAGTGGAAAAAGTGTTCAAAACTGCGCCAAATGTCGAACTTATGTTCTGTTATGAAATGGATGATCAAGCACCAGGATACTATAAGGAGGACTACATTGTGCCAAAGAAACAAAAGAATAGTAAACATTGACAATTACTCGTGAATTATGCCATAACTATTGTATCACTGCACCTAACATTTCAGAATGGCAGGGAAAAGTGGACGTCGAATTGAAGTATTATCGTAAACTGGATGGAAGGATGCATCCCTTGCTTAGAGAATTTGAAGAATATATTTCTGAAGCACTGGTAAACACTATGTTGAAGCCGTCTATATGTTTACGAACAAGCGCTAACTCAAATTTCGTCTTTGTTTAGCCGGATGCTTTGGCAAGGAAAGGCAATCCATTGAAAAACGGTACATGGGGTTATGTGTCCTGTATAAATCGGTTTATGCTTGCAGCTATGAGAGCGCGAAAACGGTACGTTGTTTCTCGTAAATTAAGGAGCTTTTTTTGGCATTCCGGATTTTCAGAATAAACCAAACAGTAACAGTCGACGATGCAATCTATTCGTGCGAAATTGTGCATGCATATATGAAGCGTTTAAAAGAAGAAGGAGTTAGTGTGGGCTCTCGTAAAAGTATAATAAAAGCTCTTATTGCTTTTAGTAAGTTTATAGACCTACGACTTGAACCAGGTAAGTGACGGACTCGATGCTTTTGATACTTTGAGCATTTTGTTACTGATTTATTTACAAGCTTCTGTTATCGATTCGCAAAGATTTGACATGATTGCAGTAGCCGGACGTGAACGTCGCGATGTTTTAAAACATGGCAAAAAACTATTTCTGGACTATATGGCGAAACTGAATGTCGAAGAAAAACAAACGCTATCATTTCAGGGTATTGTACCCAGCGAAAAAAAAGTATGTCAGTTTATCTGCTTTTTGTAACTGTTCATTCATACATATAATTTGCAGAAAGGTGAACCCTACTGTGTTGCTAGAGCTGTGGTTGAGCATAAAGGAGTCGAAGAAGCTGTAGAGAAAATAATGAAGATTTTTGAACAAAAAGGGACTTTGCAGCCAGCACAATATAACTATGTGATGGGGTTTGTCTTTGTGCACTTTTGTGTCGCTGATTTTTACGATAACATAATTCTAGTGCACTTTGGTGCTACATTATTCACTGCAATACAAGCAGGAATGAGTGTATCTACAAAATGATGTATGGAAGTATTTGTCGGTCCGAAGAAGAAGATGTAACTTCGGTGAATGAATGGGAGCGAACAGGGCTACAAGAGTTCGTCATGGATTTTGGCGATGAAGTTGAAGAAAGGCTTTGGGTGAGTGCATCCGCTGTTGCACCATAGATCTACTGCATAGACTAATACTTACATACATGTTTAGATCAGCAGCTATCCTCTTCCAAAGAGCAGAGCTAGGGCTGCACAAGAAAAGATTCCATTTTATGGACAATATTTTGTTCTTGATGAAAAGTCGAAAAAATGGATGGATTATTATATAAAGTTACGGAATTAGTGAGTTAAAATTAAATCAAGTATATTTTCAAATATTAGCAGGGTGTTTGTCCTTTTTTGCAGCATCATTCGAAAGCAGCACTTAGAGGGAATGACGGAACCACTTGCACCGTTCTTTCTACAATATAGCGGAACGCGCGTTCATCAGATGACCGTTCCTCACGTAATGAAACAATTTCTGCGAGATAGTGGATTTGGAAACCTAAACCTTTCTTGTAACACGGTATGTTGCTAACACGGAGTTTGCGTTAAATTCGTACTCAAACTGCTCTCTATCGTTTCCGATTTTTTATGCTTCAGACAAGGCATGCTATAGCAGATTTGCAGTACGAAAATGATTATCAGCAAAAAATAGATGAGATGGCAAAAGTGCCAGGAGTGGATAAGGAATGTGCACATACGACAGGTACCTCAAATTTAGCATAACTTATATCATAATCTCTGCTACAGGACATTCGCAAGTAACCCAACTGATAAACTATCAGAAACGGTACCGATACAGCTGCGCTTACGGTTACGTAAAGATTCGGAATTTCGGACGAAAAGAGGCTGCTAAATATCCTGAATTAGTTCGAGAAGTAAAAAAAAAGTTCAAGCTTGCGAAGTAGGTGTAACACTGTGTCATCACAATTCTACATTCTGCTAAACTCATCTTACTGGATTGTTTCAGTTTGGAACGTCGTAAACATCTTGCCGACTTGGAAGAAGAAGATTTAGAAATGGATGACTTTGACGAGGATGATGTGGTGGAAGAGGAAGGCGATGAGGAAGAAGCAACGAGAATTCTTTTGGAAGAGAAAGGCGATGAGGAAGAAGCAACGAGAAATCTTGATGTCGCAGGAAATAAGGGAGATGGACAAACTGAGCCAATCCTACGTGCTGGTAAATTTGTGCATTTTATACGAAAATAAGCTCATATATTTTAAATTGTTGAATTCAGATACGAGACAACGAAGTTCGCGACCGCTTACGGAAACTGAGTCATCGCCACGGAAACGCCCGAGGGTATCGTTACCAGTGGAAGATGTGCCGGGAGAAAGTAAGTCGTTTGTTTTAGTAATTCTATCTTATGCTATGCATTGCAAGCTTGATCGAAAGCTCTGTATTGAACTTAGAGATGGAAAACGTTAGCTTGGAAGAAGGTGACATAGGGTCTTTTGTAGTGCAAGCATCGTCATCTTCATCACTCAAGCAATTCGATCGACCTCCAACGGACAACGATGAGGGACTGGTGCAGCATATCGTTATAGAAGATGAAGACGACCACGAAGAAGAAGAAGAAGAGAAAGAAAAAAAATCAGTAAGCTGAATTTCAAGGTTACGGCGAAAATTAGTGAAGCAAGTGCAGAGCCAATAATGAGTGATGTGACAAGAGCAACTGCAAGTGAAACCGTCCATGCCATCCATGATGTAGCTGACACCACTAGATACACGATTTCCGATCTCGAAAGACGGTTTGAGCCTCTTGATCCAAGTTTGCACCTAGAGGCTTTGAATGAAACACCTTACACGGGTGGTTTGACAAAGATCGCGACTGTGCCTCAGCAGAACCAGTTTCTACGTCGATCTCATGCACAGCCTGTACAGGTGCGTATCTTGAGAATTTAATCGTTTAATGGAAACGACAGCATGTTTAAGGACTTTCCGTGGCTTGAAGTGCGTGAGATGCCTACCATCAATAGACGAGGTGTTTACGCCAAGGTAGATATCGCTAAAGAAATGGCGGTTGCTGATGTTCGGTAAGAGCACTTTCTGAAATGATAGAGATTTTTGATTTGACGATAATATTGTTTGTATCTAGTGGCTATCAAGGAAAGGTGGAAGACATAAGAAATTCTCTCAAACAACTCAATGAAGAGGAACGCCATAAAGTGATCAAGTATTGGCATGGATTTAGAAGACGCGGTTGCGATTTTATCTTACTTGCACATTGCGACTCATACAAGGCAACAGTAACGCTTGGTCGACTTATCAACCAGTCGATAGAGCATGCAAATCTAGTCCTACGTTGTATTCGCTTTGGCGAACGTCGTGTTCGATGGTTGCATTGTTTGGTAGCCAAACGCGATATTAAGGTAAGTTTGAGCAAAATCATCTCATACATAATGAAAAGCTCTGCACAATGAAAATAGTTTTGCAGGCTGGTGAGCAGTTATTGTGGAACTATGGGAGAACGGAGAGAAATCCAAACATACCTAACTTCCCAGACAATTATCCGTGCATATGTCAAGTGTGCGATCCGGCTGCAGCAGAAGGTGAATATTCCGTTATTTATATATTTTATTCCGTTAATAATTTTTGTATGCACATTGATTCACACAGCTTCGTCTTCATTTCTACAATCGGCAAGACGGAGCATCCATGTCCAAAGAGTGTGGAATTTTGAGCGGTCTCTCTCAGAAGAGGATCTTAGCTTACATGAAAGGCCTGAATTCGACATTGGAGAACTTCTATTTCTGGTGACACAGAAAGCGCGCGCAGTAGGATTGCTACTGGAAAAAACTCCTGCTGCCGATCCAAGAGTTGCATTTGCAATAAGCAGGCGTACTGTTTTCACTAAAAGTGTAAGCATACACTTTTAACTCGTGTTCAGATATGAAATTACATCGATGTATTCAGGATGTATTTCCGGATCCTGCCATGTTTCTGGTAAAGGTTGCATCTCCTTTGGCGCAGTTGCTACAAATAGCGACGGAAGCTGCTTTTGAACACATGGAATCGGTTGTTCTTATTCTCTACCGAAAGCGGAACGATCCAAAACCGCTGGTTATCTTGTTGGGTTCACGCCATCTTGAGGATGACGGTCATCGTTACGGCTGCTGCGTAGCAGTTGTGGGCGAAGAAATTTACGCAGTGGTAAGCTGGATTGCATGCATAGTTTATAAAGGATTTCGTATGGTTTTGTTTGTAGGAATGTCAGGCGGAAGCCAGAGCTGACGAAATGCCATTGCACTTGGAGTTATTAGAAGCTGGCCCACTTACCCGTCATTTTCCATCACTAACAATAGAGCCGTGGGAGACGATACGCCGTAAGCCTAAGCTTACACATGAACAAATTATGCAGCTCTTGCAAAATAAATAGTTTCATAAGTACGTGTGCCTTGCAACCTGCACACTAGATAGTTGTTTGTATTATACAGTTGCCTCCTACTTTGTATCATATCTTATTTGTATCATACAGCTGTCTTTAGTGCGTCATACATAGTACCAAACTGAGTCTCACTTTCATATTTACCTCTTATGATCTCATATCAAGCTGCAAATTGGCAATAAATTTATATTGAACATGCGATCGAACAACAACTAGTAAATTTTTTAGCACATTTCGTCTCAACTATATGTCCTAAAGCTTTCTTCATCCAAAAATGGGGCATGTCGAAAGCAAGCATTAACATTGTTCATTTGTACCATCTCAAAAAGAAAATTTACTAAAAATCCGAAAACCAGAAACTCCAGTGCCTTAGTGGAACATTGTTCTAATAATAGTTTCATAAGACCAATACCTCTACGTTCGCTCTCCATAATTCCAGAAACAAATCTAAAAGTCTTTGTAACCACCAAGATGGAAAACTTGAAAAACTCACAAACAAACTCCAAAATGATAAAATCTGCCTGAAGATTCGCTATATTGTAAGTTTGTTGAGAATAAAATAGACTCAAAATTTCATAACTTTAGTATCACACCGAAATCAGTTTTGAATCTAAGAAAAACTTTATAAAAATATCTCGATTATTGGAAAACTTATTTGACATTGACCTTCCAAAAGTTTCAAAAACCTCACTAAAGCCTCTGACACGTCCTCAGCTGCATCCGCTTATCTACTTAATACTTTCACATGACCCTTACGGTTTTTTGAAAAAATTCGGAATTTTTTTCCAACTTTCGTAACGTTCAACGTCTTCTAGGTACTCGAAAACCTATCTGGCTTCTATTTTAAAAGTTTTTCAACCACTCAAGCAAACTACTTTCACATTTTAAAGGTTTTCGATTTTTTCCAGATATTCACCTATTTCGCTAGACTTTCTGAAAAAATTCTAAAGGTTTTCGAAGTTTCGGAACATCCAAACACCCGTAAACATTCGAAAACCCTCATTCTACCAGTTCTAAAAGACCTCAGCCACCTCAATCAAGATTTCAACAACTCTTAAACCCTTTTACGTTATCTTCGCGATACTCATCTATTATTCTATACCTTCTCTAAAAAAATCCTAGAATTTTCTGAATCCTCCCTTGCGAGCATTCAACATTCCTCAAAAACCACCTTAAACATTTTTTAAAAACCCTTAAGAACCTTAAATTAGTGCTTAACATGCTTGAATACCTTCCGCCTCATCCCCTTAACATTCATCTATTTTTTTAAACCTTATCAAAGAATCCTAGAAATTTTCAAATTCTTGGAATATACGAGCATTCAAAATCCTTCAAAAACCACTTTTAACATTTTTTAAAAGTCCCTAAGTACCTTGACTAAAGCCCTAATATGCTTAAATACCTTTTATCTTATGCCCCCAGCATTCCCCAATTTTTCCCGAATTTTTAAAAAATTTTTCGAAATTTTGGTCCGTCACTTACATAGTAATAAGTGATTTTTTCACTCCCAATGTATTCGCGTTGACCAGCAAAAATTCACCATTATAAGCTGTGCAATATATTGCACAACGATACAATATATTGCAAAATCTCTTATTTATTGGGTGAGACCCACTGGAAAATTCAGTAGGCTCAACCAGGAATCTTTACCCCGCCGTACCGGACCCCCCATCAACCCCTGCCCCTCGGGCCAAGTTCCCCCCGGACCAGTTTGACCCGGAGAATTTTTTGGTCATAGCCCCGCCCCCTTAGCCCCGCCCACTCTCGAGTTATGGCCTGGTCTTGAATCGGGTTTTTCAAAACTCGCTCCAGGGTGTTAAAATTCTGAAAAAATTATAGTTTAGTCAGGCACACACTAGATGCATATGTGCAAAATTGCAGACCCCTAGCTTTACCGTAACTCGAAATCCGAAAAACCGAGTTTTTGCCAATTTTTGAAAAATCGATTTTTTTAAAAACCATCCATAATTCACCAAAAAATCAGGTTAGGTAGATCTCCAATAAAGAAGACCCCCACAATTTTTTCAACCTTTTCTGTAATGTCTGAATATGATTTTTTCCGGTTTTCAAAAGTTTTAGGGGCGGGGCGCCGCGCGCAGATATCCGGCAAAGATGTGTCTACGCTGAAAAGAAAAACGGCCACGCAACCTTCCTTCAGAATGGTCGCCCGTAAGCTTTTATCACACTTTAGACGTGTTTCGTCTAAGTTTTTGAATTTTGAGGCAGGAAAACGCGAAGAACTCGAATTTTGACGAAATTTTAATGAAAATGCAAAAAATGGAAAAAATCCCAGTTATTTTCCTTGATAATTCAATTATACCCGTACACACCCAAAACGCCTATCCTCCAGGGCTAAGTCCTGAGATTCGTTTCATTATTAATAGGGTAGTCTAGGTATCGCTTCTCGGCCTTTTGGCTAAGATCAAAGTTTAGTTTCTGTTCTTATCGAATTAACCTTCGATAGAGTCTCGAGTGAGTCTCGTTAAGGTTATTTGATTTTTGGAACCGGATGAGGTTGCGGGCTTGCTCGCACCTCATCACGGGTCGGCCCAGCGTTGCACTGCTGCTGGGATCGGCCCACACCCCCACGGGAGTGAACATGACTTGAAACATACAGGTAAGGAGATACGATGTTCCCCAATCTACCACAAAGTCGGTGGTAGATTGAGGAACAGGTAGTACTGGCAGCACTCTACCATGACGTAGTCTTACTTTTGTAAATTTCGACTGGTCTGCCGTACAAAGAATGACGCACTTCAAGCTGCCAGTTCGCTACGGAAAGCCTTACTATGCCTGAAGGTGTGATAGTATACTCTGAGATCGTCTTTCTCTCGCAATCGATCCAAAACAAAAGTCGCATTAGGGGAGATAATGGAATTACGGGAGAGGCTTTAGTTCCCTTTTACCTAAAAAAAAAAACACCTCACAATGAACTGTTCGTGAGGTGGGGGAGAGAGGAGGGGGGGGGGGGACGTAGTAGGGTGAAAATATCGCCAATATGTCACACACATATGTTTTCGACACCGGTCTAATTTCCGCCCTCTTTTTGTTGATTTGATCAATCAATCAATAGAAAGAGTGGGAATATGATAAGACCAATTGGGTGGCAGCAACGTTTATTTGCAGGGAATAGTGACGAACAGGACAGGGCCGTAGTGGTGACTCCAGAACTTGGCATCTAGGCTCTTTTATACAGCCAAGCTGAGCGCGTTTAGCCTGAATACCAATCTCTGGCAAACAATGTCATCAATGCAACGTGAAGATCGCCTACGTAAAAGTAGGCGCCGCCGAGTGCAGTATCAGGGGCTATGAGGGTGACCTGACGGCTAGACAGGTGTATGGACAATCTGCAACTTGACAGAAAGAGAGAAAGAAGAATGCATATGTAGGTATTACAGAATAAAGATCTTTGATACCTATTATTTACGATAGGGAACTCCCACTCTTTCTATTGATTTATCTTTTGAAGAAAAATGAACTGTTATCGTTCATTATCAAACCGCCTCCAATATACGTGTAAACAATAGAACAATAGAACTCATTCTCATTCTACGATGAACGAGATGCGGTAATTCAAGACGATGCGGTCTGGAAGTATCTGCCCTGTGTTACAAGAATAACGGAAGATGGCCGAACGCAGATATGTGAAGCCTTTAGATTGCGCGCCAATCTTGCTCTTTCGTAAGTCAAAAACCTACGGTGCGCACGAAGCCGGACATGCCGGCTAGTAATCCATATCTTCCTATTATGTGCTAAACATCGTCTTGAATTCTAAATCCGAATTAACGTTACCGTAATAATGCCATCCTCAAAGACCTGAAAGAAAATCTTTCACTGTTCTGCACTGCACGATCAAATCTCTCTTTTCAACTAGCTTAGCTCGATGCCTCGGGAGCAAACGCTTCGAGACTTACAATGTAGGTAGCATACCGAGTTTCACCGACAGCGTGACGCAGACATTAATTGCGATTGGTGGTAAAGACTGTGACTAATTGATATGGACAGCTCAAGTGGTAATGGATATGATATCTGTACAGTCGAGTAGATTTCCCGCTTAATATAGTGTGCTTGCATTGAAGGTGAAATGCGGTAAAATTTGTACGCGAACAAATAGCTGCGCCTGTGACGCCGGCCAGTTGCGCGCGCGAAAGCCTGACATGGTTGGCAAGCTATCGTCCCCTCCACAGATCGTGCTACGCTTGTGGCGTCGCGGACGTGCCACGTGTGACTAACACATTGGCAACGTTGGCAGCAAACGTTGGCAACATGGAGCAACATGTTGGCGTGGCCAAAATGTTCTGCCAACATGTTGGGGCATGTTGCAAACATGTTGTTGCCACGTTGCCAACATGTTAGCCGCACGTGGCAGGTCTGAGACGCAGACCAAGGGTAGCACGATCTGTGGAGGGGACTATACTTGTTCACGCGCAAATTTCACCTCATTTCATCTTCAGTGCAAGCATACCATATTGAGAGGAAAGTCTGCTCTTCTGTAAAAGGCATCGATTCACTGATTTTAAAGAGCTGTTCATTCTTTCCGTTTAGCTTCGTTGGTGCGAGAGAATGTATACTGCTACAAGGGCTTTGCGAGCAGCTATCCCTAATTCGTAATCTGGAGTGATGTACTAGATATTGAAGTCATTGTCCTGGTGGTCTTTGATAATGTAAGTCCTTCCGTGGTGGTCTTTGATAATGTATCGTATGTATGAAAGGGTTCCAAATCAGGGAGTGCAAGGAAAGACGCATGATCTAGTTTTTAGACTGAAACCAGTATGCATAAAAATTCTTGTCACTTTTGCTTTCTTGGTCGGTGTCTTATATAATCCTAGTCTACTGCACTATGTTCCTGATTGCTAAGCGGATATGTCAACAATGCTACAATTCTTTCGACAGGTAAGGCAATGATCAAATCGTTGCGTAAGCCAGAGCGCAGTGCCATAACAAAAACTCGCATTCTACGTTACTCTACGTCTAGGTTACTAAACCGCAATAAATCATCTTGAACCAATTTGCAAATCGTCTCGGCCGCATTGCAAATTTCATTCGCGCTACTCGTAATGATTACCTCTTTCGATAGTGTGGAATTGCGCACGCTGTGCGTGTCTCTATGTTCGACACTACTGGCGTCTTGTTGAGGTGACCCCGTTTCTCTCGGAATGAGAAGGAAAAAATGGGCGATAGCTGGCTGCTGGGGTGAGTGCGGAACACAGCGGCTACTAACATGCGCTGCTATTATCGTCAGCTATTATGGCTCACATTGATTAGCATCACTGGGAGGAGCATGGCTAAAGGTTTGTTGAGCTTGATTATCAAAGTAGATTGCTTATCTTGTTTATTTTTTATTTCTTCTATTTTTCGACTTAGTCAGTCATATCCTGTCTACTCTCAGATATGACAGTTATCTTTTTATCTGCACGGGGCAATTCTCAGTAATTACTACTTTCAGAAAACCTGATAATCTCTTTTTCTAGAAAATCTACGAAAACTATTTGATTAACTAGCTTTCGAGAAATTAACCATCAATAATCTCTAGGATCTAATAACTGGATCTGAGATAAATTCAAAACAATGCAGGGTGTCCCGAAAAATTGTGACAAATGTTTGCAAAGACCTCTTTTCTTCATAGTTTTCCCGGACCATCAGGTACCAATTATTAGGGTGGCTTCAACTTAGTTTCACAGTACAAAATCAATAATTAAGCTTAGCTTCCTGTAGAAATACCATACATCCCGGCACAACATCGTCAGTGCAAATTAGCAGTTGAGAAGATTTTAAAAAGTGGTCGAACTTTTGCGGGGGATTTTTTAACAATTTGAATTTTTTGAATAACTTTCCATGCTTGTAGACTAATTTAGGTGGTATGTCAGATTTCAACATTATTGGGATCTATGGCTGTCATTGGCGCAAAATTCTCCCGAAGGCTCTTACCCTAACTTCATCAACAAGGAAAAGTTTCTCTGTTGTAAACCTTGTTGAATCCAGCCCTGCGATATGTTACCCAAAAGTATGGAAAAGCTGTTCACCCAATAGACTAGTTAGCAAACGTTAGAATAATTGATGGCAAATCAAATGTTGACTACTATAACAGACTTTCAAAACATCCATTTTGTATCATCTAAGATCCCAATGAGTACCGTACCTAAGGTGCACAGATACGGTAATCATGCATTTCAAACGTCTATGTGCAGTTTATCCACAGTTTTTCAAAGGGAACCCACAAGAAGCCTATAGAGAGTTTTGAAATAATCCCACACAAGCGCTAGGCGTGATCTGTTATTCGTACTAAAGGGTTTGAAAAAGGTGAGCGACAAATTCGCACTCGGTAATACTGTAGAAATGGGAATAATCATTTTAAAATTATGATAGTGTAACTCTCTTAATATAGTGAACACTTTACGAATCGATAAGAACTTCATACAATGTACACAGAATAGTTGATTGTTTATGTGAATTCTCGAACTATCCAGAACTTATTCTTACACTGTTCGAGTGTCTCTGTTTTTTGCCTTCTTCTGAATCCATTTTTCATAAATTGTCCTCATCTACAGCTTTCCAATGCGTTGCGAAATCATCTAGTATGAAAGTACCAACCAAACATTATTACTTGATCATTCGATTCGACGAAGCGATTTCGTCGCAAACGCTCAGTTCACTTGAATGATCATATTAGGTTCACCGATTAACCTAAATTGTCTACAAGCGCAGCAGGAACTTGCAAAAAAAAAACTCATGGAGAGTGCAATAGGACTTTCTTTCGTGGGAAATATGAGCGAAATTGCATCAGCGAAAATTTGGCGAAGCTTTATTTACTCTATCAAATTAGAAAGTGAGGAAAAAACCTGTTGAAGAAAACGGCTTACCCTTTAATTTTTTTCGAAGTTCCACCGCTAATTATTTTCGTTTTGAGCTCTAAATTTTCAGTTAAAGGAATCTTTCATTTTGACTCTTCCAAGATAATGGCACAAATCTCGTTCATGATGGGGCTAAACATTGGAATTACAATCCGCCAATTTGATTTTGAAGTTTATTATATATTCTGTCATTTTTTTTGCTAATTTTTTTCGTTCAAACTGTACTGCATATTTTGTCATTTTCCTGCTGATTCTTCACTCAAGCTGTTTATTCTAAAAAATTGTGCACTTCCTCCCTGCACTTTTTTTGATAACATCTGCTTCTCACATTTCATCCCCCTTATTTGCATTCACCCTAGAAAAACTTTAGATTTAATCGGAGCACCAGTCACCACACTCTATGTACCACCTAATGCGGAGGCAAACGATGAAATTCTTGCCGATCAACCGCTAACCGTTCTAAAGGTTTGTTAAGAACATTTTTTTTTCAAAATTGCTATCTTATGAGAAATGACACGATTGTTCTAAAAATTAATGTGCTACATTACATTGTTACAAAGTTATGCTTAATCAACATTTGCGAAGAATTGTGACCTACAAGGTGTCACATTTTTCAATACTTTGCGCAACATGTCCTTGAAAAATTTAGCGCAATCCCAGGCTTTGCTAAGGAAATGTGTCATTAGTATCGTTTTTGATTTATTGAAGGTGACCGAGTCAGAGTCGGGTCTATCAAAAAAAGAGATCAATTTCCAGAACCAATTACTCCAATTTTTTATGAGTATTTAGGTGTACCAGATAACTTTTTCATAGCCTAGATGGTTGATTTTGCGCAAAGAAACTTTTTTTTAGATCAATGAAGATGTAGCCATTTCTATTGAACCGCCATCAGAAACAGTGGCAGTCTCACCAAACGTAGTTGGTCCTGGTGCTCCAATACATCTACTGATTATGGATCCGCAAAAATTGCGAAGTAATGGAGGAGAAAAGCTACAAGTGAGAGATTTCTAGTTTTTTTTTTCCAAGATTCTAGTGAAAGATTATTGGGAAATTGAACGTCAGTGGGTTGGAAAGTTGTTTGACGCGTTGCCAGTTTTATTGCATTTTGGCTGTTACATGAAATTCTTTGCTCATATTTCTTATTACTTTTTAGAAAAAGGGGGAATTCTGAGTTTAGGACGACCCTCATAACATAAAAAAATCTTTACTATTAGTGCGCCAATGAAGATAGAAAGTCACATAAAAAATATAATCAGAAAGTTAAGTTATTAGGCAAATGTGCTAATGTTTGCACATTACCAAAGTTTGATCAAAGACGCACAAATTGCAGAAAATTGCTTGCAAATTGCAAAAAATTGCAAAAAATGCTTCTTCACCGCAGCAGCGCGCTGCAAAACTGACGCACGCAGAGAGGTAAGATGGAATTGAGATACGCAGGCAGCGAGACCGCAGCGCAACAGAAGGCGCGACTTCGCATTGTCTGCGTCACGATTCACCACCGCTCATCGGATCCCGTTTACTTCGTCTTCCTGTTAGTTGTGGTTAGGACTTATTCTTTTCAGTTAAAAGCGTTGGGATTGATTTCTGGTACGGAAGACGGTGTTTCTATAGAGATCAAACCAAGCAGCGAGTATGCAGCTACTAAACCGTCTACACTGTTATTTGAAAAAGAGAACTATGAGCTTCTTCTTGAGCACAACTTCAAGGAGAAAGAGGTCGCAATAGTGAAGGTTTGTGTGCTAAAGCTAGTAAGTTAATACAAGCAAAAACTCTTCTTTTCCAGCTGGCAGCAGCTCCACCTCCTGAAGCAAAGTTTACTTTGATAGGGCCTTTATCAGACCGATTTACTGTGACCAATCAAGGGGAAGCCATTTACCTAACCGCAAATCCTTGCACAAACTGTTCTACACCAAGCACATTCACATTGCTCCTTGTCGCAACCCATCAAGGATCGCACCAATATGCAACTCTCAACTTCAAGCAAGTGGTGGGTTTTACCCACATATTTGAGGAACAATTGCTTTTGGCATTTTCAAATTCTATGATGCTCAATTTTCAGAACGAAGAAGAATTTACTTTCGTGGGCGCACCCTATTCAGCAATTGTAGAAGAAGAAACCGGTGTCTTCAAAAGGGCTGTAAAAGTCATGACTAAAGGTGAATACTTTGTATTGGATGGATGATAGGGTACTCAATTTAGATTTGAACAGGAAGAGAGGAAAGATTTTAGGAAAAAACTTTTTTTTGCCCTTTTATCCGCTTCACTTTTCATGTTTCTGCTCCATCGTTTAAATTTTACTTACAAATCACTATCACAGGATCAGCTGGAGATGTGATGTACACGCTGCAGGATCCAAACGATCTTTTTTCTATAAATCCAAAAAGTGGAATACTCATAGTACAGGTTTGTTCGAGATCTTCGGCTACGTTAGGTAAAAGCATAACTGAAATATTCCAGCATCCTGAATTCCTTACCCTGAACACTTACGGGCGGAAAACAAATCTCGTAGTAGTAGCAACTGACAAAAAGACTTCAATTAAGACAGTAATAGACATTACTTTAACACCAGTGGCTGAAGGGTTGAAAGGGTTCAAATTTACAAAGGTACGTTTTTTGGAAGTTGCAAAAATACGATTTTTTGTGCAAGCTTAAAATAAATCTACAATCTTTGAATTAAGCCTAATATTTAGCTTCTCAGCAAATTTCAATAACTTCTTTTTGTCGCTTTCAAGCTTAAATGACACTTTCTCTTTTCCAGGAATCTTACACATTCACCGTGAAAACCGGGGAAACATTGATAGGCGTCGTGAGAGTGGCCGATTCTGGAAATCACACCCTTCATTACGACATCGCAGAAGGAGGCCAGGGTGCGATAGCCATCGATGATTTGGGAATGCTTACGTACCGTGGAAAACCCGAGAAGGATTCAAGGAATTTCACCACTTTGGTAATAAACTAAAAAAATTGGGGTAATCCTGAAAAAAGTTTTTTTTTTCAGGTGTCCGCCCAGACAACACAAGGGCAATTCTTGGTAGCTACTGCTTGGGTCGATATAGCTGTAGAAGGAATAAATTCTAATCCTGTCATCGTCGTGGGTCCGACCAAAAGAGCGGATGTTTTGAGCGCAAGTAAGTTTTCGTTGTAATGAATAGTTATCAGTTTTTCTTTATGTATTTATTCTATTCATTCATTCACTCATTCATTCAGTCATTCTATATACTGTTATCTCTTATATCCTCCATCTTTACCATATAATTACTTGATGTGTGGTCACTTATTTTGTCGTTATCAACCATCCATTTTCATTTCTCCCTTTGTTACCTGCTGATCATTCATCATCCAGTAAATTTCTCCGATTCCATCTAGATCGTCATTTAATCACTCTATTCATTCATTCATTTTTTTATTCATCTTCGTCAAATCATTCCTCATCATGTATCTATTCATTTTTTATTCGCACTTCAGCACTGTCTGTTCGTTTATTTACTTATTCGTTCAGCCACATAATAATTTATTTGCTCATTCTTACAATTTATTCATTCGTATACGTCTCTTCAACAATCAAACCATTCATCCATATATCAAATTATATACTCTCATTCTCTTTATATCCATCCAGCAGTGGCGGACCGAGGGTAGTTGGGGTGTACTCGCATGAGTTATGAAATTGTGCAAGTAACTTGCTTATTTTTGTAACTTAAAATTTCAAAATTTTTTGAAATCTAAATTGACCTTGTGAGAAAAATTCCTTCCCCAATTCTCAAACTTTTGGGGTTATGAGCGCAAAATTCTGAGATGTACCCCAAAAATTTTTTTGGAGGCGTGGCTGACGCCATACACCTTTATTCAAAAATAATTCCCCCCCCCCCCCCGGATGGAGATTCCTGCGGCCGCCACTGCCATGCAGCTATACATTCTTCATTTATTCATTTAGCCATTCATTCTTCACTCTTCAGTATCTTCAAATCATTCATTTTCTAGGTGCCAAACGAGGTACGAGCGTTGCCACCATCGAAATGACCGATGACGATGAGGATGCGGCCCTTCAACTCTCAATAGAATCCATTTCTGGACTATACCTGAACGGAAGCGAGGCGAACCATCTTAGCCTAGAAATGTTCAAAATAAATACGAATGGAAGAAAAGCCGAAGTGTTGCTAAATGAGCCGATCTTTGATCTACCGCTGGCATCTTTATCCATTAGAATGCAAGCACAGGATCATGCACATCCGGCGGAACCATCTGTATTAGGTGAGTAACAATTACAAAGTTCGTAGAATTGCAAAAGAGACAAAAAAAAGAAAGAGAGGAGAGAAAAAAAGAGAAAGGTGAGAGGCTTGAAATCTAAAGCAAAGTCTGTATTCATGCCCTAAAAATGGGACATAAATATTTTCATAAGTTAGATTCTCAAAATATTTTCATAAGTTAGATTCTCATTTCATTTTTTGCTCCTTCTCCTCCTACTCGTTGCATGAGATTCATTAGAGCGATTTTAGTCATCCAGCAATTAACCATCACAAGGAAGCATCCGTTGATCGTGCAAGAAGCTGTCCCATTCAAGCTTATTGAGGTAAACTAATTATTTTTGAAATTTGCGGGACGTAAGTCATTTTTTAGATTCCCGAAGTTATCCACATTCCTGCCGAGTCCCCAGTCGGCACCCTCGTCTACACTGCTCGTTTGCTTCGAAGTGTTATTTCCAACGAAACTAACTATGACTATGAGCTTGATTCATCTTTTGGAGCTTTCAGAATCGATAAAATTACAGGTAAAATATTCATTCTGGGAAAAAATTCTAGAAATTTGTAAAATTTAGGGGACATCACAACTGTTCGGCCCCTGCACGATCTCACTGAAGATGTACTTATCGTTACGGCACATTCACACACCGAAGAACAAAGTGCACAGGCTAATTTTACCGTAATTTTCACTCCTGCGCAAGTGCAGAAGACCTCATTCGTCAAGGGACACTATCAGGGTACTGTAGCCCAGTCGGATCCATTGGGTAGGTTCACAACTTACAACTTCATTTAAAAAATCTACCCTATCTCTTGTTACCTCTGCTATCATCGTTCAAAGAAGGAAAGGCCGAAGGTAGAATGCGGAGGCAAAAGAGATATTGAGAATAGCAAGCATTACCTAATTCAGGATGATGTGATCCCTTTCACATCGAATTTCCAATTTTTGCTATTTTTGGAACAAAAGTGTGAATGTTATAGATACAACTGTGCTTGTAGTGGAGGCTAAGACAGATCATGGTGAAAGAGTAAAAAAGTACAGCCTAGAAGGTGTCGATGCGGATTTCTTCAATATCGACAGCAAAGTGAGTTTCGAATTTAACGCAGTGAAAATCTGAGAATTGCTGAATAGAGAGTAGAGCGTTCTAGGAGTTGGAAAAATTATGATTTGTGAAGAAGTTCAAGAAGAAGTGACTGCACCGAATACTTTTTTCCATTTCAAAATTCCTTTGACCTTAGAGACTCAGGCTTAACCGCATCGTACTGTATTTCTGTGCGGTCTTCTTTTAGTATCCGCTGGTATAAAAAACCTATTTATTAGGGTGTAATCCGTCTGAAAGAATCCCTCGCAAAGATATCGAAACCATCCATGAGCTTCGCTACAATAGCTGGTGAAGGAATGGCAAAAAGTTCAGTACCAGTAAGTGATGTTTTTATAGTAAAGAAGCTAATGAATTCCCAATTATTTTTTCCTTCTGCCAAAAATAATTTCTATTTGATATAATTTAGGTGCATGTATTGATAAAGAAAGAAGAAAACGAAGAGATTTCTTTCGAGAAGAACTCATACGACATAAAGATTATGGAAAATGTACCATTGAATGGATATGTATTGCACCCGCAGGTGATTTTCAGCCTAAGAAAATTTCTTAACTCCTTCTCTTTTTTTAAAGAACGATCACCTGTTTTAGCTTATCAGCAACAATGTCAATGGTGTAGCATTCTCACTAAACTCACTTAATGATGCCACAGCTGTAATGAAACTGCTAGATATCGATGAGACGGGAAGAATTACTGTCAAGGACGAACTTTTAGGTAAAAGTCGTTTATTTGGCTCTGTGTAGTGCAAGTGCAGACCGTACAGCGTTCCAAAAGCTCGAAGGTCCTTGGGCGCGTGCAGAGTTGATCTCGTGCCAACACAGTTCCAGCGCCGCACCACGTCCGTGCCACCAGCGTGCTAGCACCGTGCCGAGGCCCAGGGCGCATCCACTACATGATCGTCAGACTGCGATGTTGGTCGAGTGCACAGTCCGTCCATGTGGGGACCCCGCACGGCGCTAGCACGACACTTAAAGGGTTGAAATGGCTCTAAAGGCACTGGCAAGGCAACCCTAAACTCAGATCTGAAGAGCTGCTCTAACTTATTTTTGAAATCTCATTACAATTTGTCTTTGAGTATTTGTCTATCTATCTGCTCGTCCTCTTTCGCTTACTTTCATTTCCCCGTCTCAGATTTTCTGGACTTGCTGCTGAATGTGTTGATGCACTCCTTCTTTTAACGCCTAATATTGAGTTTTACCTTCAATCAAATCTGTTCAGGATACGTTGGTGCCTATGAATTCCAAGTTCGAGCAATAAAAGGTGACCATCAGACGTATGCTGATGTTACTATGCATGTGTTACCAGCATACAGATGCGTTCCATCGTTCGTCGGAAACGAAAATCTTGAATTTTCCATCGATGAGGTAAAATGTCTTCACTCTCCCATAATTCTAAAGTACTACATCAGAAATTTTTAGAATATGCCACCCGGAAGTGTTATTGGCAGCGTTTTAGCAACGAAACTGAATGACAAGTGCGAGTTGAAATATCTGCTGTGGGATCCACTTTCTCATAAATACACCAACGAAACTAGTATTGCCTCGATTGACACAGTCACTGGTGAAATAAGAAGTCGCAAATCATTCGATTACGAAAAGCAGGCAATGTTCCCGGTGAGTGAATTGAGCGTTTTTTACAACCATATGTAGTATACGTTTAAAAACATTGATAAAAGTGGAAATGGGCTGGAAAAGATTGGTTCAAAATCTAAAAAGATCTAGGCGGCGTATAGACTAGCCCGTCCAGCTCCACGCCGTACGATTGGTCTATCAATGGGAGGATCGGCGTCCAGTTCCATAAAGGCGTCAGCACGGCTCTGGCACGGCGCTGGCACGGAGCTGACGCGCGCCTGCAGTCAGACTTTACGCACTGCCTTAGACAAAAAATCTCTAAACTCCTTCTTCTGCTAAGTCATCTCTGCACCTCAGATTCTTTAAGCCACATCATTTATTTTTTGAGTTAGAAGTGCTTCAGACAAATAGTATAGAAGCCTTAAAATATCATTTTCAGCTAATCTTGGGTCTTCAAGCTGGAGCTAGTCAATTTGCTCAAATGCCTAGCACAATACGAGTCGTAGATAATGACGACCATCCCCTTAAGGCTGTTTTAGAGAATCTCACCGTTGAGGTATTTTTCATTGATTTAAAAGATATCCAAAATTGAAAAAATAATTTCAACAAATTTTTCTTCAAGGTACCCGAAGACGCTGTTATGGGTGCGGTAATTGCCACCATGAGTGCCATCGATGGCGACGAGTCACAAAACATTTACTACCATCTACAAGAGCCATCAAAAGAGTTCTCGTTAAATTCATCTACTGGCGAAGTGGTGCTTACATCGAGTTTGGACAGAGAGACGAAGGACTCTTATATGTGAGGCACCAATTTCCTTGAGTCAGCGTTCAGATTCGTTAGTGCCAGCGCCGTTCCAAAGCCGTGGTGCTGGAGAGGCGACCCATCAACAAAAGGCGCGTCCAAGTGGATTTCGCACGGTGCTGGCATGGCGCTGGAACGGCACCGACATGCCATTGGCGACTTGAACGCAGTTTAAAATATCTTCAAAGATAATTTGTAAGATTAAGATTGAAAATTGGTGCCAGCAACGCTGAAAATGCTGAGACGGAGGATATCGAAGTATGGATGACACTAAATGTGATTGTAACCGACGTGTGAGTAGTGAAAATACAAAAAATTCGCGCAAAAATGCGGAATTCTGTCATAGGAATGATAATGGTCCGCTGTTTGAAGAAAGTCGCTATTTCATATTGTTGACATATGTCACAGGTGAGGAGGTACTGACTGTTCACGCATCCGATCCTGATCAACCAATGCCTGGGAATGGTATTTTCTGCATTTTCAAATTGATGATTCAAGTCGCAAAATCAGTATAATTTCAGATGTACAAGAAGTGTTTTATCGAATCAAAGAAATGCTATTCGATTATCGTGGAATGAATAGAGCCGTGGAAAGTATGTTTTCAATTGGTAAGACGACAGGGATAATACAACTCGAGCAGGAAGTTAGGTGTGTCCAATTTACAGATTGAAGTAAAGGAAAATGAAGTTGAAAGCACTCGTCTGTCTGCTGATTACCTTTACTATAATTGCAGAAGGAAAGATTGAAAAGAAAGAACCCAGCCAATTAGGTTTGAGCAATTCTGATTTTTCCCCAGAACATTTCTGTTAATCCTCCTGTTAGAAGTATTTGAAAATGCTTAGGTAGTGGAATAGCTTTAGCGTATAACTCAGAAAAAGCGTTCACAAGTTTCTTTTAGACTTCAAAATCACTAGAAATTTTAGCGAGTATGTTGGCGGTGCTTTCCATCTGCTTCTGGAATCGATGGACAGTTTGGACGAGAACGCACATCGAGATCAGTGCATTGTGAAAGTTTGTTAATCATATTTTTGGCTTCAATTACTATTCGCTTTTTTCACTAAAACGAAGAATTGAAAGTTCTTTCTTGTAGGTGTATATTCACGACGAAAGCGATGTCGTTCGGATGGAATTGCCCATACCACCAGCGGCAGTAACTTATGAAAAGATTTCCACAATGAGAGAGTGAGTATTTTATGGCAAAAATAATCAAAGGTGTCTTTCCTTGTACCTGCATAGAATAGCAGCCATATACGAAAAATGGGCGTGAAATGGGCGGGGCCAAAGGTTTATCTGTGTGTGGCCCTCTCTTTGGTTGCTCATTGTATTTTTCAGTACGATATCGAATGCAACTGGGCTGAAAGCCATGATCAAAGATTTGCGATACCACCACGAAGAGGGCAATCTCATCTATGACATGACAGATCTTCGCTTGGTCAGTTTTTCGGCTTGTTTCTTGGAATTTCCTGTGCAGATATTTTGGATTACATTCTTCTCCAGGTATTAGTAAATCGCACTACATCAGAAATTATCCCAGCTGAAAGGGCCATCGCTATCGCCGACAAGCGACGATCGGTAATGGGCGATAATATACCGAACATGACTAAAGCTCAGGTATGGCGATTTTGCCGAGTCATATGACGAATTTAAGGAGGGCCTGAAAGGAGTTCCACAAGTATTGGGTCGTGTAATAAGTCCTGTCCCATTTTTTGTTTTAGTTTTTTCTTGTCAATATTGACTATATTTGAGATAAAGTGTACATGCTTTGAAAGCTCTAAGTCTGCTCTACAGGCTCATACGCATCATTCCCTAACATAGCAGAAAATTGGAAAAGATTTTTGTCATTGAAATAAAAAATTCAAAAAGCCAAAAAATCAATTTTCGACATCTTTTTTCCTTCAAATTTTACTCGATTTTTATTGGTAAAACTTATGAAACAAGCTTGACAACAACCAGAACAATCTATTGAACTTTTACACTTATTCTATCATTGTTTGCCCTGTTCCCTTCCTTCCACCGGCTATTTAATGACATTTTTTTAGAAGTCGGCAAGGCAGGACTTTGTCACGGCGATGTCCGCCGTCTTGCGTACCCAAGCTGTGTGGCCTCCCAAAATTCAAATTTTGAGTATTTAACCTACGAATTCGATAATTTTGAAGCCACAAACCATCCCTTCTGACTTTTCTGGATGACCCACCTACCGTCTTCTCTTAGGATGCCTTCAGATGACGCCCAACACGAACGTTGAAAAGGCATCAGAAAGAAGAATTTTCTAAAATCTATAGAAATGATTTTCGAAAAGTTTCAGCACTCCTGAAGCGCAATAGAAGTTAGAACATTCTTTGCTTACGTGTAGCATATTCTTCGAGCTCATTCGTAGGCATTCTGACTATTTAGGAAGGCGACGTAAAGTAGTTGTCGAAAATGGAATTTTTCCCTGTTTGATTTTCCAAATTTGACGCTGTAAAACTTTTTCAAGTCACCTGATGTGGAAAACCGAAATGGAAGTTTTAATAGAGAAGACTTAGAGCTTTCGAATGCATATAAACAATTTACAAAACATCGCGCAAAATATTGAGAAAAAATTGAATGAAAAAATGGGACAGAACTTATTACACAACCTAATATTTGCGCAGTCCTTCAGCAAGTGCTGCGGAAATCCCGCTGCTAAATCAAACGGCGGAGTTTGAGCAAGGCTTCCAAGGAACTTCCGCAGATGATTGCGCACACTAAGTGCTGCGGAAGTTTGTATATCGTGCGAAATCTAGGCAGGACCTACAGGTCTTGCAGATGATTGAGCGGTTATTCAAAACTGCGGGGATTCCGAAAACTTGGGTAGTGTTAAGATGGTATGAGTTTAGGTAACTTCTTCACCAGTTATACACCAATCAATTCCGCCTGTAGCATATGTGCTATGCACATTTGCTATGTTGCTGACCATAGTGTTCCTGATATTCGCTTTCATGATGTGTCACTACAGAAACAGGTAATGAGAACTTTGTAGTTTTTTCAAAGAGATTTGAAATTTTTTGAAGATTCCAACGAGAAAAGAAATTGCGAGAAGACGATGCATCTATAGTAAATGCATTGAATAGACCTCCAATCCGGCCGATGAAAATTTCTCCACTGATTCCCACGCGGTATGCTTCGCATTTGTACCAGCTGTCCGGGTAAATATCAGCGTTTTCAGGGCATTATATGAACCACATCTTCCTGCTATTGAAAGCAACTATGCTGTGCAGGAAATGAAAATGGTTGTGGCAGGAGAAGACGATAGACGGCGTAATCCCTGGTAATGGCTTGTTCAGCTTCACCTTGCCTGGATTTTCTACTGCTCATAAACCCGGTGCCAAACGTCAGTCTGTGATTTTTTCTGTAGATAGGTGTAATAAATCGATATGAAACTAATAAATATTTATTCAGTATAACTTGTTGTACGTACTATCTGGATGATCAATTTATATATCAGTAATATACTAGGAATCATCATATTTGTTTGACAGTTATGCACAGTTAAGATGTAGCAGTCATTTTGAGATAATTTCGTCCTTGCCTTAAAAATATCTACCGCAGCCTTAAATCTTTTGCTCGAATCTTGCCACGCCCCATTTTTGCCTAGTAGGGTAGCTTAAAATCAGTTTCGTATCGTGGTTTCAAAACTGCAAAACAAAAAATGACTCAAATTGCAATACTTATCGTTGAGTCTGTAACATAATATGCGTGCTGCACACCATGCGCGCCACTTGACGACTTGTGATATTAGAACCTGCTCATTTCCAGTGTCTTCTCTTGTTTCCTTGTCTTGCTTTGACTGGATAGGTATTAGTTAGTAGCGCGCATTTCTACAATTTGTTACGCCGGAAAAGGCTTTGCTAAAGAGTTGCTTGTAAGAGTGTCGTCGATATGCGCGTAGTGTGCAAAACTCATAATGAGTCACAAGGATAATATAGTCCAGACTTTGTTCACCCCCGTGAGGGTGTGGGCCGATCCCTGCAGCAGTGCAACGCTGGGCCGACCCGTGATGAGGTGCGAGCAAGCCCGCAACCTCATCCGGTTTCAAAAATCAAATAACCTTAACGAGACTCATTCGAGACTCTATCGAAGGTTAATTCGATAAGAACAGAAACTAAACTTTGATCTTAGCCAAAAGGCCGAGAAGCGATACCAGTTTTACTCAACAAAGTGGGCAGCCGTACCAGTGCGTCGTATATCCCGCGGATTGCGATGTGCGCAGAGCATTTGAGAATGCCAGCTGTGCTATTAAGCTAACGCTAAAGTGAGCAATGTATTACAAGATATACGCATTCTTGTACGATTATTATTATGATGTCATGTGACAGATTGCCTCCGTCCTGTGCCTTGCAGTTGCCAGAGATAGACAAAGAAGAGGAAAATAATTGAAAACTTTCTTCAAAGATCGTCAAGGAAACCGTCTCACTGTAGGCTACAAGTGAATCAGCGAGAACGTATTCCTACTGCTACAACTCAGTTGACGAACCATGCAGAAGCATAGAAATTGCCATTTTCGACCGCGATTTTGTAATTGATAGTCGTAACATCGACACAAAATGCCGATCTAAAATATGCACAAAATGAACTTTATTGGTCCATTCCGACGCTCCAACGGCGAAAATATTTGCCAGTGGCACTTTAGATGCACTCCGGCCGCAATCACTGCTAATTGAGGGTCACTCAAATCTGTAATATTCCCTACTCCTGAGTGAAAGATGAATTGTTTTACTCAACTGAGCATGTTGCTGAATCTGCATGATCTGTAATGACCACGGAACAGATTGCATGTATGGTAAATGATACTATCATAATAACTTATAAACCTGGGAAAGTTACCAATAAGTTTACTGAATTCAATATTTGGAAGTGTCCGAATTTGCCAACAATTCCTTCTTTTAAGACTTCATCGTATTTATGGTGATGGCTCACTTTTGCACTCGCTTTTGGCAGAACTGGACATTCTCACACGCTGTGCGCTCACTGCAACCCGCGCTATATACGACGCACTGGTAGGGCTGCTCTCCGTGTTGGGAAAGGAAAAGCGGGTATATGCCCGCTCGGCGGGCATATGCCCGCCTTTATTACCCAAAGCGGGCATATACCCGCTCGGCGGGCATATACCCGCTTGACGGGTATATACCCGCTTGCCTTACCTAAAATTAAAAGTTGCTTGTAATTCGTTTCAGAATAAAGCTTGGAGTCTGGTATTGTCCAAGTACATGACAAACGGTCGAGGGAAGCCATATGGCGAATTCGAGGAAATTTTATTCATCTTTGTCAGCGATACCATTTATTTATCTCTGACAACGTCATGAAATCCAATTGTTTTTAGGTTACCTTAAGAAAAGTAGCTTGAAAATCGCTGTGCGAAATTTGAGGTACAATTTACAGAAGGCACAATTTCAGAATTCAACAATATCTCAGCGAAACCATAGATTGGAAGGCCCAAACAAGGACTGAACGATAGTATTTCAGACGTAAAATAGAAATAATGCTGTTCCAGCTTAGCCCGAAGTGTGCAGGGCTTACAGCTGACAGCCAGTCTTATGTGATTTTACAGGAAAAGTCACAATTTCAGAATTCAATATCTCAACGAAATCATAGTCTGGAAGGCCAACATGGATTGAACGATAGTATACGCTTGGCTTTTCGCCATCTTTACTCTTTACTTTACTTCATGCGACGTTTTGCTCGATATTAACAATGGGCCTCAGACTCGGTCAATAAGGCCGAAACTTTTTGTTTCGTGTTAGATTCTCACGCTGTTTGTGCCGCCAAAATTTGAGCGCTGCAGCTTTACAAAAGCTTGAGTTAAAAAAAGACAATGATTTTTCTTAATGATTAATTCATTAAAATCTCAGATGCAAAGCACAATTTTCCCTTTCTGTGATCACGAAGTAGGCTCAAATTTACAGTTCTATTCCGTGAGCTAACATGTGCATGTGCATGCGGCACACGTCGAGCCTCTTGATGTTATACTATGAACCTTTGTAGACGTGCTTTCGTTTCGCTTTACTTTCTTGAGTATGCCGTTGATAACCGTCGAAGTAATGTTAGTCTTCCCGATTACATGATGAAGTTACTCATATCAGGTGATGCTCTGCTTTAATCCTGCCATCATCACTGTCTTTGTGCTTCTCTCCGAAAGCACACATGCCGTATTTTATGCGACGAAGATGGATGCTGTGTCGACCACAGGGTTGCCGCATCTGCCCGAATTGAATCAAAGAATTTTTCATGAAAACGGATTTCATGGTGAAGTGATTGGATTTGCAGCAAAGCGTGAGGAGGAATGTGGGATCGTGCTGCTAGGTGCATTACTACATAGATTATTTGAGATTTACTTTGACTTCTTTATGAATACCTGACATTGGCTTGAATTTTTGAGTGACTACCTTGAGCTGTTCAAGAACGAAAAGTGGCAAAATTCAGATTACGGAAGCTACACAAACGGAGATATGTTTAATCATATATTGGAGAAACTTGAAGACACTCTAAAAGATAACAATACACTGGATCAAGCTTTGCGCGCAAAGGTATTTCGCTATCGGTGATACCGAGATTAATGTCTTATAAACGCAGATTTTGATAATGATAAGTTTGTCAATAAAAAGGTGTTTGCTGCACAAAAGGAACAAGCCTTGAAAGAAAATATGGAAGAAATGAGCAAACTATTCGAAAGATATAGGAGTAACACGCCACATTACAAGTCAGTTTTATTAGTACGATCCTCCACTTTCACCGATGAATTCTTCGAATCCAGCACGGCGCAAGTAACATTCTTTGGCGGACTTGGGCTCATTGCTTTTGGAATAGGAATTGGGATCGGAAAACTTGTATATAATGGTGTGACAAGCCTGATGCGTAGTTTTGTAAAAGGCGAGCAACTGCAGGTGAGTACTCTGAGTAAAATTGGCTTGCGAAAGCAAATTTGCCGTTTTCAGCACCTGGATATGGAGCTCATAGCAATTTACAAGAAACTTGATAATTTGGCAAAGATATTGGAAGTACAAATTAACAAGTAAAAAAAATTGTGGAATCATTTTTCTCATCTTCATAAATCCAACACCTCTCTATTTAGGAATCGCTTTGAGTCCGTGTTTGCGCATGTCAGAACGCAGCTGGTCTTTGCAGTACAAAACTCACTAAATGACTTGTTCAGTCGTGGGCGTGTTGCAGATCAAATTATTAGTCATGGTGGTGACAGTAATCTGTTATCAGCTATCGCAAGACTTATGGGCGAGAAGCGTTTCAACGCATCCATGTTGAAGAATAGATATTTTGCCGCTGGCAACACTTTGATAGCTACAGTGATCTCAATGAACAAACACTTGATGGAAGTAGAGGCAAGCATAAATCATCTAATATAAAGATATTAAGATAGTTGCTTTCAGGTTTGCTATCCAATCACAAAAGAGCAGGATGTCGGATATCTATTGCGCATAGTGCCTTTAGGCAAATTTAGTGACGATGGCGAGACGTATACCACTCATGATCTTGGCGCGCATTTTATCTTGCCGCTGTCCATGAATGTCAGTAACATTAGCGCACTTGCAAGAGTCAATGACATTCGTAGAGACTGTGATAGAATGTCATCGGTATTCCTCTGCAAAACACAGCCCCAAAGCAACACTTGCACTTTGGACCGAAAAAATCGCGATGGCTGCGCTTTGTTAACGTACGATTCTACTAGAGAAGATGTAAGTTAAGCTGCTGCTCATAATTCATCTTTACATTTGTTATTTATATATGCATTTTAGTTTACGCTTGTGCAGCCACTGCTAAGAACCATAGTGCTCGCTACCCGTTTGAAAAGTATGCACTATCAATCAGTGGGTGAGACGATACACACCCCTGTTGAAGTTCCAGAGCCGGTCACCGTGGTAGAAATACCGAAAGGTGGAGTACTCTATGTGGGTCTAGCAGTGGTGGAGGCACGGGTGACAACAGACAATTTGACAATAGAGCTGCAAATTACGTTACCAGTGAGCGGACATACCATATGACTTAAATGATTTTACTAAAGCAGCTATCTCTCAGGTGTCAAATATGTCGTTTGAACCTATCGTTGGTCCTGACGATAATCACAATGATGGAGCAGCATGGTACAGCTATGGATGCCACTTGAATAGTCTCTTACTTGCGACTTTCAGTTTGTTAATTGCGCTTTCCTCATTATCAGTGAGCTTTTTCTTGTGGAGTAAGTTAAGAGCGATGCAGCGATGGGTTGAAATCCAAGAATTACTCAAAGAAGCTCAAAGAGAGCCAATAAAAATTGTTGCTGCTTGAATATAAAATATAATTGGATTAGAAGCTGAACATCTTTGTATATAATAAATATTAATGAACGAGTAGTGTATTGAACCAGAAAGTGTTTTCATCACGCTCAATATATCTCGCAATCTTGGTTGCAAACATAGTGATGTCATTTACATCGTTATGTTACCATAAGTGTTTCGTTTTGAAGCTTTGTAGGTCTTGATCCGATAATTTTTGAAACATCAAAAATGGCCGAACGTGTACGGGCACAAAAGTACAAAGAAGTTTTGGAGATTGGCAATGCAGCCAGGGAAAGTTTTGAAAGACTCAAAGAAGAACGTATCGTGAGATTTCTACCCCCAAAAATATTTGAAGGTAATGGATTTCAATTTGTTGCAGGAACTTGTTGTAAATAACAAGTACTTAAATTTTAGAAATGTTCTACCCTAAATTTTCAAATGAGGGGACTCATTTTTGCGTCGTCTGTGGAAAGCAAGGAGAATTCCGTCTGCGCGAACATTTGCTCAAGGCGCATAAAGATGAGCTCAAAAAAGGAACGATGGATTTTAAGGTAAGTTGAGTGGATGATTTCTGAAAATTTCAACCGTCTAATCTTAATTAATTTGTTATTTTTGTTATAGATTATCGAACAGCTAGGACGTGGCATCACACAATACATGGGCAAAGCAAAAATAGATTTATCTCTTGTGCGTAATCCAGCAACTTACGGAGAATGGTGCATTTATCGCGATTTCACACAGCAAATTAAGAATTGTGGAATACCAATCAAAGGGGCAAGTGAACAATGCATTGAATCTATTTGTATTATTTTCTTATCTGAGATTCAACTAAAAGTTATTCTAGGAATTTTATGAACGTGTTGAGAGAAACAAATATGCGCTTCGTGCGGAAATGGATGTGGGAATGCAAAGACTAGAAGAAAGCGTTCAAAAAGTAAGCATATTTAACGACAAATAATTGACATATATACATGTAATAAGGTATCCAAATATTTTGCAGATGGGGCGCAGATTAGAGTTAAGAGATGCGATGCAGCGTGAAGAAGAACCTGGTACATCTTACGCTCACATAGAAGAAGATGCCCTAGAAAGAGATAGTAGTGCGATTGATATGATGGAAGCCAAATCCACATCGAAGTCCCAAGCTATACAAAGTTACGAGGCTAGTAAAGCAGCGAAGCAAGGTACTTCACGAATGACTACGCCAAAGACAACAACGTCCGCTTTCTACACGCAGTTTGGAGACGCGACTTTCGAAGGTTGAAATTTAAATTGAAATTTAAAAAGCATTTTAAGAAACTAAGAAAATCACATACGAATACCTTTTATATGAATGTTATAGGTGGACCAGTGGAAAAAGTGTTCAAAACTGCGCCAAATGTCGAACTTATGTTCTGTTATGAAATGGATGATCAAGCACCAGGATACTATAAGGAGGACTACATTGTGCCAAAGAAACAAAAGAATAGTAAACATTGACAATTACTCGTGAATTATGCCATAACTATTGTATCACTGCACCTAACATTTCAGAATGGCAGGGAAAAGTGGACGTCGAATTGAAGTATTATCGTAAACTGGATGGAAGGATGCATCCCTTGCTTAGAGAATTTGAAGAATATATTTCTGAAGCACTGGTAAACACTATGTTGAAGCCGTCTATATGTTTACGAACAAGCGCTAACTCAAATTTCGTCTTTGTTTAGCCGGATGCTTTGGCAAGGAAAGGCAATCCATTGAAAAACGGTACATGGGGTTATGTGTCCTGTATAAATCGGTTTATGCTTGCAGCTATGAGAGCGCGAAAACGGTACGTTGTTTCTCGTAAATTAAGGAGCTTTTTTTGGCATTCCGGATTTTCAGAATAAACCAAACAGTAACAGTCGACGATGCAATCTATTCGTGCGAAATTGTGCATGCATATATGAAGCGTTTAAAAGAAGAAGGAGTTAGTGTGGGCTCTCGTAAAAGTATAATAAAAGCTCTTATTGCTTTTAGTAAGTTTATAGACCTACGACTTGAACCAGGTAAGTGACGGACTCGATGCTTTTGATACTTTGAGCATTTTGTTACTGATTTATTTACAAGCTTCTGTTATCGATTCGCAAAGATTTGACATGATTGCAGTAGCCGGACGTGAACGTCGCGATGTTTTAAAACATGGCAAAAAACTATTTCTGGACTATATGGCGAAACTGAATGTCGAAGAAAAACAAACGCTATCATTTCAGGGTATTGTACCCAGCGAAAAAAAAGTATGTCAGTTTATCTGCTTTTTGTAACTGTTCATTCATACATATAATTTGCAGAAAGGTGAACCCTACTGTGTTGCTAGAGCTGTGGTTGAGCATAAAGGAGTCGAAGAAGCTGTAGAGAAAATAATGAAGATTTTTGAACAAAAAGGGACTTTGCAGCCAGCACAATATAACTATGTGATGGGGTTTGTCTTTGTGCACTTTTGTGTCGCTGATTTTTACGATAACATAATTCTAGTGCACTTTGGTGCTACATTATTCACTGCAATACAAGCAGGAATGAGTGTATCTACAAAATGATGTATGGAAGTATTTGTCGGTCCGAAGAAGAAGATGTAACTTCGGTGAATGAATGGGAGCGAACAGGGCTACAAGAGTTCGTCATGGATTTTGGCGATGAAGTTGAAGAAAGGCTTTGGGTGAGTGCATCCGCTGTTGCACCATAGATCTACTGCATAGACTAATACTTACATACATGTTTAGATCAGCAGCTATCCTCTTCCAAAGAGCAGAGCTAGGGCTGCACAAGAAAAGATTCCATTTTATGGACAATATTTTGTTCTTGATGAAAAGTCGAAAAAATGGATGGATTATTATATAAAGTTACGGAATTAGTGAGTTAAAATTAAATCAAGTATATTTTCAAATATTAGCAGGGTGTTTGTCCTTTTTTGCAGCATCATTCGAAAGCAGCACTTAGAGGGAATGACGGAACCACTTGCACCGTTCTTTCTACAATATAGCGGAACGCGCGTTCATCAGATGACCGTTCCTCACGTAATGAAACAATTTCTGCGAGATAGTGGATTTGGAAACCTAAACCTTTCTTGTAACACGGTATGTTGCTAACACGGAGTTTGCGTTAAATTCGTACTCAAACTGCTCTCTATCGTTTCCGATTTTTTATGCTTCAGACAAGGCATGCTATAGCAGATTTGCAGTACGAAAATGATTATCAGCAAAAAATAGATGAGATGGCAAAAGTGCCAGGAGTGGATAAGGAATGTGCACATACGACAGGTACCTCAAATTTAGCATAACTTATATCATAATCTCTGCTACAGGACATTCGCAAGTAACCCAACTGATAAACTATCAGAAACGGTACCGATACAGCTGCGCTTACGGTTACGTAAAGATTCGGAATTTCGGACGAAAAGAGGCTGCTAAATATCCTGAATTAGTTCGAGAAGTAAAAAAAAAGTTCAAGCTTGCGAAGTAGGTGTAACACTGTGTCATCACAATTCTACATTCTGCTAAACTCATCTTACTGGATTGTTTCAGTTTGGAACGTCGTAAACATCTTGCCGACTTGGAAGAAGAAGATTTAGAAATGGATGACTTTGACGAGGATGATGTGGTGGAAGAGGAAGGCGATGAGGAAGAAGCAACGAGAATTCTTTTGGAAGAGAAAGGCGATGAGGAAGAAGCAACGAGAAATCTTGATGTCGCAGGAAATAAGGGAGATGGACAAACTGAGCCAATCCTACGTGCTGGTAAATTTGTGCATTTTATACGAAAATAAGCTCATATATTTTAAATTGTTGAATTCAGATACGAGACAACGAAGTTCGCGACCGCTTACGGAAACTGAGTCATCGCCACGGAAACGCCCGAGGGTATCGTTACCAGTGGAAGATGTGCCGGGAGAAAGTAAGTCGTTTGTTTTAGTAATTCTATCTTATGCTATGCATTGCAAGCTTGATCGAAAGCTCTGTATTGAACTTAGAGATGGAAAACGTTAGCTTGGAAGAAGGTGACATAGGGTCTTTTGTAGTGCAAGCATCGTCATCTTCATCACTCAAGCAATTCGATCGACCTCCAACGGACAACGATGAGGGACTGGTGCAGCATATCGTTATAGAAGATGAAGACGACCACGAAGAAGAAGAAGAAGAGAAAGAAAAAAAATCAGTAAGCTGAATTTCAAGGTTACGGCGAAAATTAGTGAAGCAAGTGCAGAGCCAATAATGAGTGATGTGACAAGAGCAACTGCAAGTGAAACCGTCCATGCCATCCATGATGTAGCTGACACCACTAGATACACGATTTCCGATCTCGAAAGACGGTTTGAGCCTCTTGATCCAAGTTTGCACCTAGAGGCTTTGAATGAAACACCTTACACGGGTGGTTTGACAAAGATCGCGACTGTGCCTCAGCAGAACCAGTTTCTACGTCGATCTCATGCACAGCCTGTACAGGTGCGTATCTTGAGAATTTAATCGTTTAATGGAAACGACAGCATGTTTAAGGACTTTCCGTGGCTTGAAGTGCGTGAGATGCCTACCATCAATAGACGAGGTGTTTACGCCAAGGTAGATATCGCTAAAGAAATGGCGGTTGCTGATGTTCGGTAAGAGCACTTTCTGAAATGATAGAGATTTTTGATTTGACGATAATATTGTTTGTATCTAGTGGCTATCAAGGAAAGGTGGAAGACATAAGAAATTCTCTCAAACAACTCAATGAAGAGGAACGCCATAAAGTGATCAAGTATTGGCATGGATTTAGAAGACGCGGTTGCGATTTTATCTTACTTGCACATTGCGACTCATACAAGGCAACAGTAACGCTTGGTCGACTTATCAACCAGTCGATAGAGCATGCAAATCTAGTCCTACGTTGTATTCGCTTTGGCGAACGTCGTGTTCGATGGTTGCATTGTTTGGTAGCCAAACGCGATATTAAGGTAAGTTTGAGCAAAATCATCTCATACATAATGAAAAGCTCTGCACAATGAAAATAGTTTTGCAGGCTGGTGAGCAGTTATTGTGGAACTATGGGAGAACGGAGAGAAATCCAAACATACCTAACTTCCCAGACAATTATCCGTGCATATGTCAAGTGTGCGATCCGGCTGCAGCAGAAGGTGAATATTCCGTTATTTATATATTTTATTCCGTTAATAATTTTTGTATGCACATTGATTCACACAGCTTCGTCTTCATTTCTACAATCGGCAAGACGGAGCATCCATGTCCAAAGAGTGTGGAATTTTGAGCGGTCTCTCTCAGAAGAGGATCTTAGCTTACATGAAAGGCCTGAATTCGACATTGGAGAACTTCTATTTCTGGTGACACAGAAAGCGCGCGCAGTAGGATTGCTACTGGAAAAAACTCCTGCTGCCGATCCAAGAGTTGCATTTGCAATAAGCAGGCGTACTGTTTTCACTAAAAGTGTAAGCATACACTTTTAACTCGTGTTCAGATATGAAATTACATCGATGTATTCAGGATGTATTTCCGGATCCTGCCATGTTTCTGGTAAAGGTTGCATCTCCTTTGGCGCAGTTGCTACAAATAGCGACGGAAGCTGCTTTTGAACACATGGAATCGGTTGTTCTTATTCTCTACCGAAAGCGGAACGATCCAAAACCGCTGGTTATCTTGTTGGGTTCACGCCATCTTGAGGATGACGGTCATCGTTACGGCTGCTGCGTAGCAGTTGTGGGCGAAGAAATTTACGCAGTGGTAAGCTGGATTGCATGCATAGTTTATAAAGGATTTCGTATGGTTTTGTTTGTAGGAATGTCAGGCGGAAGCCAGAGCTGACGAAATGCCATTGCACTTGGAGTTATTAGAAGCTGGCCCACTTACCCGTCATTTTCCATCACTAACAATAGAGCCGTGGGAGACGATACGCCGTAAGCCTAAGCTTACACATGAACAAATTATGCAGCTCTTGCAAAATAAATAGTTTCATAAGTACGTGTGCCTTGCAACCTGCACACTAGATAGTTGTTTGTATTATACAGTTGCCTCCTACTTTGTATCATATCTTATTTGTATCATACAGCTGTCTTTAGTGCGTCATACATAGTACCAAACTGAGTCTCACTTTCATATTTACCTCTTATGATCTCATATCAAGCTGCAAATTGGCAATAAATTTATATTGAACATGCGATCGAACAACAACTAGTAAATTTTTTAGCACATTTCGTCTCAACTATATGTCCTAAAGCTTTCTTCATCCAAAAATGGGGCATGTCGAAAGCAAGCATTAACATTGTTCATTTGTACCATCTCAAAAAGAAAATTTACTAAAAATCCGAAAACCAGAAACTCCAGTGCCTTAGTGGAACATTGTTCTAATAATAGTTTCATAAGACCAATACCTCTACGTTCGCTCTCCATAATTCCAGAAACAAATCTAAAAGTCTTTGTAACCACCAAGATGGAAAACTTGAAAAACTCACAAACAAACTCCAAAATGATAAAATCTGCCTGAAGATTCGCTATATTGTAAGTTTGTTGAGAATAAAATAGACTCAAAATTTCATAACTTTAGTATCACACCGAAATCAGTTTTGAATCTAAGAAAAACTTTATAAAAATATCTCGATTATTGGAAAACTTATTTGACATTGACCTTCCAAAAGTTTCAAAAACCTCACTAAAGCCTCTGACACGTCCTCAGCTGCATCCGCTTATCTACTTAATACTTTCACATGACCCTTACGGTTTTTTGAAAAAATTCGGAATTTTTTTCCAACTTTCGTAACGTTCAACGTCTTCTAGGTACTCGAAAACCTATCTGGCTTCTATTTTAAAAGTTTTTCAACCACTCAAGCAAACTACTTTCACATTTTAAAGGTTTTCGATTTTTTCCAGATATTCACCTATTTCGCTAGACTTTCTGAAAAAATTCTAAAGGTTTTCGAAGTTTCGGAACATCCAAACACCCGTAAACATTCGAAAACCCTCATTCTACCAGTTCTAAAAGACCTCAGCCACCTCAATCAAGATTTCAACAACTCTTAAACCCTTTTACGTTATCTTCGCGATACTCATCTATTATTCTATACCTTCTCTAAAAAAATCCTAGAATTTTCTGAATCCTCCCTTGCGAGCATTCAACATTCCTCAAAAACCACCTTAAACATTTTTTAAAAACCCTTAAGAACCTTAAATTAGTGCTTAACATGCTTGAATACCTTCCGCCTCATCCCCTTAACATTCATCTATTTTTTTAAACCTTATCAAAGAATCCTAGAAATTTTCAAATTCTTGGAATATACGAGCATTCAAAATCCTTCAAAAACCACTTTTAACATTTTTTAAAAGTCCCTAAGTACCTTGACTAAAGCCCTAATATGCTTAAATACCTTTTATCTTATGCCCCCAGCATTCCCCAATTTTTCCCGAATTTTTAAAAAATTTTTCGAAATTTTGGTCCGTCACTTACATAGTAATAAGTGATTTTTTCACTCCCAATGTATTCGCGTTGACCAGCAAAAATTCACCATTATAAGCTGTGCAATATATTGCACAACGATACAATATATTGCAAAATCTCTTATTTATTGGGTGAGACCCACTGGAAAATTCAGTAGGCTCAACCAGGAATCTTTACCCCGCCGTACCGGACCCCCCATCAACCCCTGCCCCTCGGGCCAAGTTCCCCCCGGACCAGTTTGACCCGGAGAATTTTTTGGTCATAGCCCCGCCCCCTTAGCCCCGCCCACTCTCGAGTTATGGCCTGGTCTTGAATCGGGTTTTTCAAAACTCGCTCCAGGGTGATCTTAAAATTCTGAAAAAATTATAGTTTAGTCAGGCACACACTAGATGCATATGTGCAAAATTGCAGACCCCTAGCTTTACCGTAACTCGAAATCCGAAAAACCGAGTTTTTGCCAATTTTTGAAAAATCGATTTTTTTAAAAACCATCCATAATTCACCAAAAAATCAGGTTAGGTAGATCTCCAATAAAGAAGACCCCCACAATTTTTTCAACCTTTTCTGTAATGTCTGAATATGATTTTTTCCGGTTTTCAAAAGTTTTAGGGGCGGGGCGCCGCGCGCAGATATCCGGCAAAGATGTGTCTACGCTGAAAAGAAAAACGGCCACGCAACCTTCCTTCAGAATGGTCGCCCGTAAGCTTTTATCACACTTTAGACGTGTTTCGTCTAAGTTTTTGAATTTTGAGGCAGGAAAACGCGAAGAACTCGAATTTTGACGAAATTTTAATGAAAATGCAAAAAATGGAAAAAATCCCAGTTATTTTCCTTGATAATTCAATTATACCCGTACACACCCAAAACGCCTATCCTCCAGGGCTAAGTCCTGAGATTCGTTTCATTATTAATAGGGTAGTCTAGGTATCGCTTCTCGGCCTTTTGGCTAAGATCAAAGTTTAGTTTCTGTTCTTATCGAATTAACCTTCGATAGAGTCTCGAGTGAGTCTCGTTAAGGTTATTTGATTTTTGGAACCGGATGAGGTTGCGGGCTTGCTCGCACCTCATCACGGGTCGGCCCAGCGTTGCACTGCTGCTGGGATCGGCCCACACCCCCACGGGAGTGAACATGACTTGAAACATACAGGTAAGGAGATACGATGTTCCCCAATCTACCACAAAGTCGGTGGTAGATTGAGGAACAGGTAGTACTGGCAGCACTCTACCATGACGTAGTCTTACTTTTGTAAATTTCGACTGGTCTGCCGTACAAAGAATGACGCACTTCAAGCTGCCAGTTCGCTACGGAAAGCCTTACTATGCCTGAAGGTGTGATAGTATACTCTGAGATCGTCTTTCTCTCGCAATCGATCCAAAACAAAAGTCGCATTAGGGGAGATAATGGAATTACGGGAGAGGCTTTAGTTCCCTTTTACCTAAAAAAAAAAACACCTCACAATGAACTGTTCGTGAGGTGGGGGAGAGAGGAGGGGGGGGGGGGACGTAGTAGGGTGAAAATATCGCCAAGACGATTTATATTAGGTGGGTCCGAAAGTTCTGTCGTTTCATTTTCAAAAATTTGTAACTTTGCGCTCTTTCAACTTTGCTTGCTTGTATTCTTATAAGAAAGAATAAATCTTTCGCTTTCAAACGCTGTTTTGTGGAGCTTTTGTTTCACACCGTGTGCGGAGATAATGGAAAACTAAGACCATATAAGTTTTGGCCATTTTAAGCTAGGTACCAAAATTTCGGAATGCTGCAGAAAAATCTGAAATCGTCAGTACATATGTTTTCTAGCCTACCCTTCGCAGCTGTGAAAAGTTTGTGCTGTTTGGACGTGTCTGTGAGAAGTTATGAATATCGAGTTTACTATGGAAAACGCCAAAAATAATTAAATTGTCAATTTTCGCGAAAATGATAACTTCTCACAGAGACGTCCAAACAGCACAAATCTTTCACAGTTGAAGAGTAGGCCAAAAAACGTACGTGCTGATGATTTAGATTTTTTGCAGCTTTCCAGATTTCTAGTGATCCAACTCAAAATGGTCAAAGCTTATATGGTCTTATTTTTCCATTTTTATCTCCGCACTCAGTACGGAACAGAAGCTCGGCAAGGCGTTGTCTGAAAGTGAGAGAATTTTTTTTCTAACAAAATTAAAAGCAAGCAAATCCGTTGAAATTTTGCGAAGTTACAAGTTTTTGAAAATGAAACGACAGAACTTTCGGGACCCACTAATATTATCTGCGCAGGAAAAATTGAGCTCGTGGCAAACTACATTCATAACAATGGAATGGAAGGTTTTTGGCTGATATGCTTCTTCCTGCCATGACTTCCGGGAAGAATCCTTGATTTATCAAACTCTAGTATTAATCTCAGTCACTGTAATTATACGTGAAAAGACGACTGCCTTGTATTGATTATATGCGATGCATACTGTAACAGAGGGTTCAGGCATCTTTCATTTCACAGTTGTTGCAATCCCTCATTATGTTAGGTTGTCCCAAAAGTCAATCGTATTTTTAAATAGATAAATCAAACTATTTTTGTGTTTTTAGCAGACATGGGTTATCATCCGACAGAGAGCAAGCTCTACGTAGTGACCTCCAAAGATCCACCTAAGTTATAGTCCATGTAAAGTTTGGAGGCAAAAACTAAAATTTTTCAATTGCCCTTTAAGAAAGAACCTCAAAATTGGTATCGTACAGTATACATATAGTAGTATTCATGAATAATGCTGGATTCTTTCCACATTTCATATTTAAGAAACAAAAATGCTTGATTTTTTTTCTCAAAATGCCAAAATGTCACTTTTTTCGGGTTTTCTGTGCTGAGCTTTATATTTCTCGATTATAAGGGCACATACAGAAATATAGGTTTTGAAAACAGACAACCACATATGTGGGAGGAGCCGAGAGTGGAATTTTCCATTTTTAGACATTCTTTTTTTTTTCAATTTCTATGCCCGAAAAAAATCCAGCAAATGCATTTATGGATACTCAAGGCTGCTCTAGAAAATCTGACCGTTGAGGTGATTGCCAAAAATTCAAAAATCTGATACGGCCAAATTCACTTTTGAAAACATAATTTTTTCTTTGAGGCGTTCTGAAGATGCTATTATGGGTGCTGTCATTGCCACTATGAGCGCCATCGATGGCGACGAGTCACAGGAAGTTTATTACCGCCTACAAGAACCATCAAAAGAGTTTTCGCTGAATTCAACTACTGGGGAAGTGGTGCTGACGTTAGGTTTGGACAGAGAGACGAAGGACTCATATATGTGAGGCACCAATTTTCTCGAATCAGCGTTCAGACTTGTTAATGCCAACGCCGTTCCAATGCACTGTTAGTGCCGGAACGTCGACCCATCAACAACAGTCAACAAAAGTCGCGTCAACAAAAGGCGCGTGTGGGTTTTGCACGGTGCTAGCACGGCGCTGGGACGGCACTGTCACGCCATCGGCGACTATAGACGCAGTTCAAATCATCTTCAGGGGTAATTTGTAAAATTAAGAGCAGAAAATTGGCGCCAGCAATGCTGAAAATGCAGAGATGGACGATATTGAAGTATGGATGGCACTAAATGTGATTGTGACCGACGTGTGAGTGATGAAAATACATAAAATTCGCGCAAAAATGCACAATTCTGTCACAGGAATGATAATGGTCCGTTGTTTGAAGAAAGCCGCTATTTTATGTTGTTGGAGAAGAATGCAATCCCTGGTGAGGAAATACTGACTGTTCGAGCATCCGATCCTGATCAACCAATGCCTGGAAGTGGTATTTTGAAAATTTTTTGAGGTCTATATCTTTTTTCGCTCGGTTGAATATACTTCAGATGTACAAGAAGTGTTTTATCGAATAAAAGATATGCTATTCGATTATCGTGGAATGAACAGAGCCGTGGAAAGTATGTTCTCAACTGATAAAACGACGGGGGTAATACGACTCGAGCAGGAAGTTAGGTGGGTCAAATTTACACACTGAAGTCAGGAAAAATAAAGCTGAATGCACTCGTTCTGTTTGCTGGTTTTCAAATTTTGTATAAATGCACGAGAAAAAATTGGAAAAGGAAGAACCCAGCCGATCAGGTTTGAGCAATTCTGAGTTTTCCCCAGAACATTTCTAGTCCTGCTGTTAGAAGTATTTGAAAGTGCTTAGGTAGTGGAATTTGCTCAGATTTAGCGTAAAACTCGGAAAAAGCGTTCAAAAGTTTCTTTCAGACTTCAAAATCACCAAAAATTTTAGCGAGTATGTTGGCGTTGCTTTCCATCTGCTTCTTGAATCAATGGACAGTATCAGTGCATTGTAAAGGTGACTGTGGGACATTTTACTTTTTTGCTTCGATCATTATGCTGGTTTTTTTACTAACCGAACAATATCAAAAACTAGCTGGCTTACCCGGCTCCGCCGTATGTTCCGAATAGAAATTTCCATTTCTTAACCGATCCGGACCAAACTTGGCACACATACCTTCGGGCCCCGGCGGGTGTCACAGTCCACTTTTCGTTATCGATCGATGTCGATTTTATCGATTTTTTGCAAAATTTGAGCTACGGGGCTGGGAGTTGGCAGAGGGGTGTAATCGAGCATGCTGGTTACGAATACAATATTAGTTTTCGAAACCGTGCATTACTTTTATCGATTTTATCGATTTTTTGCAAAATTTGAGCTAGGGGCTGGAATTTGGCAGAGGGGTGTAATCGAGCATGCTGATCACCCCCACGGGGGTGATCAGTGGGGGTGATCACCCCACGGGGGTGATCAGCATGCTCCATTACCCCCCTGTGCCAAATCCCAGCCTCGTAGCTCAAATTTTGCAAAAAATCGATAAAATCGATATCGATCGATACGAAAAGTAGCCTATGACACCCACCGGGGCCCGAAGTGTATGTGTGCCAAGTTTGGTCCCGATCGGTTCAGAAATGGAATTTTCTATTCGGAACATACGTACAGACAGACAGACAGACATACAGACAGACAGACAGACAGAATACATACAAACAGACATTCAGCTTTATATATAAGATTACAAATAGGTTTATATCCACGACGAAAGCGATGTCCGGATGGAACTTCCCATCCCACCAGCGGCAGTAACATATGAGAAGATTTCCATTGTGAGAGAGTGAGTACTGAATGCCTAAAACAAGTTCTCTCATTTTTTCCTTAGACAAGAAACAGTCATAACCAAGAAATGGCGTGGAAATGAGTGTACCTAAAAGTCTGGCCCTTACTAATTTTGCTGTAAGCTGCTGCAAACCAAATTATTTTTTTGCACTATGGCCTCCCTCTTTCCTGTCGCCAGTAAATTTTACTGACACTGGGATTTTTTTTATTTTTCAGCACAATTTCGAATGCAACCGGACTCAAAGCCATGATCAAAGATCTACGTTACCACCACGAAGAGGGAAATCTCATTTATGACATGACCGATCTGCGCTTGGTCAGTTGGTCTATGCTTTTTGGATTTTGCACAGATATCTCGAATTAACCTTAGCCTTTATCTTCGGGTACTAGTAAATCGCACCACCTCAGAAATCATCCCAGCCGAAAGGGCCATTGCTATCGCCGACAAGCGACGATCGGTGAGAATATACCGAACTTGACTAAGGCTCAGGTATCAATTTTGCTTCATATAGTAACTACAATCGAATACGACCATTCCCACAGAACTCACGGGATTTGTATTAGGGTGATCACTAAAAAATGGGACAGCTTGATTTTTGTCAAATTTTGAGATTTTGTTTCGATCAACAACAAGCAGGCTGCAACGTAAACGTCGCTTATATAAGCGACCTTCGCCTATTATTCTGGCAAAACGTCAACGCTCCTCTCCCACAACCCTACGCGTGGCGCCCTGAAGAACTCGAACAGGGTTTTTTGAACCTCGCTCATTCTTGCGCTGCCATACCGTAAAGTTATAGAGCAATTCATATATCATTCGAAAGAGCTCTTCATGCACTTTCAAATACCGCATTGAACATACAAAATTTCTTTCTATTTCTGATTAAAAAAAGCGAAATACCTGGAAAATCGCGATTTTTTGGCGCAACAAAAACCAGTAAATCAAGTTTCAATCTGTATTTTCCGAAGATAGAAAAAATGTGAGGTAAACTGCATATGGATGGATAGAGCGTAAAAAGCTCTTTCAGATGGTACCTATAGAACATGCGTTCACCTGCAAAGCACTGAATAGCACGTATCTTTGTTCTCAAAGCTGCTAATGGCCATATCTCCTGAATTTGAAAGTTTATACCAGCAACCCATCGTGGGTCTGGTGACTGTACCTTCACGCATTGCAGCAGTAGTACTTTGGATGGTTTCGCATGTTTCACTGCGCAGATACTGCTCGAAGTTTATAATTTGCCAAAGTGACTAACTTTGCATTTCAGCCACTATAAAAACATTAGTTATGTAAATGACCTTATATAGATATTTTCTGAAAGAGAATAATCTATTCTAACATCTATCAAAATTGGGAAGTTTAATCATCTTTTTTGAGAAATATACATTTATTCTCTAGGTGTCCCATTTTTTAGTGATCATTCTAATAATATTTTGCGCGATTCGCGTGATTTGCGATGTTCGCAGGATTCGGCCACAACTTTTTTTAGAACAAGATGTTTGGGAATATTCTAAACAGACCGTAATTCGCGACGATACAGTAGGCCTACGGTGGAATGTGTGCGGATCCCATATATTTCCACTTCAACAAAAGTTATATCAAAACCGCGCAAGTTCCGAGTAACCTGCGAATCCCACGAAAGTGGTTGTATTAAATAGTCATGATTATATTGTAAGCTTGGGTCAGAGCAAGTTACGCAGGTAATTGCGCATTTCCAATAAGTGCCGCAGAAGTTCTGCAATCTGGCTAAGACGGTGAAAGTCTTTTTGACTATATTGAATAGCTTTCAGGTAACTTCTTAAGCAGTCATACACCAATCGATCCCACCTGTAGCATATGTGCTCTGCACATTTGCTATGTTGCTGACTATAGTCTTTCTAATATTCGCTTTCATGATGTGTCACTATAGGAACAGGTAAAGAGAACTTTCTAATTTTTCTCAGAGAAGTTGGATTTTTTTTGAAGATTCCAACGAGAAAAGAAACTGCGAGAAGATGACGCGTCTATCGTGAATGCATTGAACAGACCTCCGATCCGGCCAATGAAAATTTCTCCCTTGATTCCTACACGGTATGCTAAGGATTTGTACCAGTTGTCCGGGTAGCCATCAGCGTTTTCTAGAGCATTATATGAACCACATCTTCCTGCGATAGAAAGCAACTATGCTGTACAAGAAATGAAAATGGTTGTGGCAGGAGATGATGACAGACGGCGTAATCCCTGGTAATATTTCTCAGCTCCATCGTGCCTTGTGGATCCTTTGCTGCTCATAAACCCGGTGCCAAACGTTCAGTGTATTTTTTCTGTAGATAGGCGTAATAAATCTATGTGAAACTAATAAATGTCTATTTCATGGAATCTGTTATCTTATATATCGGTAATATACTGGGAATCAGCAGATTTATTCGGCAGCTATGCAAAATTGAGATATAGCAGTCATTTCGATATAGTTTCATCCTTGCCTCAATCTGCCGTACCCTTGAATCTCTTTCTCGATTCTTGCCCCGCCATATTTTTGCCTACGACAACTGCGTAACCTAAAAAGCGGTTTTGCACGTGATTTCAAAACTGCCAAACATTGAATCATTTGAATTGTAATACATATAGTCGAGTCATTTGTAGCTTAATATGCGTACTGCACACAATGCGCGCTACTTCACGACTGTCAGATCAAAACCTGCTCCCTCTCAGTGACTTCTCGTTGTTTCCATGTCTCTTTTGTTTTGACTGGATATGTATAAGTTACTAGTGCGCATTCTTACAGTTCATTGCGCTAGAAAAGACTTTACTGAGGAGTTTCTGTCAAAGTGTCGTCGAATGCCGCATAGTGTGCAGACTCGATTATTGAAGTACAAATGCTCGGGGATGTGTTTTAGAGTAGTTTGTTCACCCCCCGTGGGGGTGTGGGCCGATCCCTGCAGCAGTGCAACGCTGGGCCGACCCGTGATGAGGTGCGAGCAAGCCCGCAACCTCATCCGGTTCCAAAAATCAAATAACCTTAACGAGACTCATTCGAGACTCTATCGAAGGTTAATTCGATAAGAACAGAAACTAAACTTTGATCTTAGCCAAAAGGCCGAGAAGCGATACCTATTCTACTCAACACAGTGGGCAGCCCTACCAGTGCGTCGTATATCCCGCGGATTGCGATGTGCGCAGAGAATTTGGGAATGCCAGCTGTGCTATCAAGCGAGCGCTGAAGTGAGCAATGTATTACAAGATACACGCCTTCTTGTACGGTTACTGTAATGATGTCATGTGGCAGATTGCCTCCGTCTCATGCCTTGCAGATTAGTGAGAGCCAGAGATAGACAAAGAAGAGGAAAATAATTGAAAACTTTCTTCAAAGATCGTCAAGGAAACCGTCTCACTGTAGGCTACAAGTAAATCAGCAAGAACGGTATTCCTACTACTACAACTCAGTTGACGAGTCATGCAGAAGCACAGAAATTGCCATTTTCGACCGCGATTTTGTAATTGATAGTCGTAACATCGACACACAATGCCGATCTAAAATATGCACAAAATGAGCTTTTTTGGTTCATTCCGACGCTCCAACCGCGAAAATATTTGCCAGTGGCACTTTAGATGCACTTCGGCCCTCAACCACTGCTAATTGAGGGTCACTTAAAGCTGTGATATTTCCTGCTTCTGAGCACAAGATGAATTGACTTTTTTAGCTGAGCATGTTGCTGAATCTGCATAACCTGTAATGACCACGAAACAGATTGCATGTATGGTAGATGACACAATCATAATAACTTCTGAATCTAGTATAATTACCAATAAGTTACTGAATTCAATATTTGGAAGTGTCCGAATTTGCCAACGATTACTTCTTTCAATGCTTCGTCGTATTTATAGTGATGGCTCACTTTTGCTCTCGTTTTTGGCAGAACTGGACATTCTCACATGCTGTGCGCTCATTGCAACCCGCGCTATATGCGACGCACTGGTAGGGCTGTCTTTCGTGTTGGGTAACTTAGGTATCGCTTCTCGGCCTTTTGGCTAAGATCAAAGTTTAGTTTCTGTTCTTATCGAATTAACCTTCGATAGAGCCTCGAATGAGTCTCGTTAAGGTTATTTGATTTTTGGAACCGGATGCGGTTGCGGGCTTGCTCGCACCTCATCACGGGTCGGCCCAGCGTTGCACTGTTGCTGGGATCGGCCCACACCCGCACGGGGGTGAACATGAAGTGTACCTCACCGGTAAAGAGATGTGATCCCAATGCACTAGATCGCTACGAAAAGCCTTATCACGCTTGAAGATGTGATAGTATATCCTGAGATCGCCTTTCTTTCACCATTCAAGCCAAGGTCCAAGTAATCGAAATGCTACGGAAAAAACTCCACTTCCCATTTTACTTAAACGATCTCAGCAAAGAACCGTTCCTGATGCGTGGGGTGGGGGGGGGGGGGGGGGGGGGGGGAGAAGGGAGAAAAAATCACAAAGGAAATTTATACCACTATTGTCGTTGTCGCGGGGCAGAATTGAGCTCGTGACAAACTGCACTCGTAACAATGGAATGAAAGATTCGGCGAATATGCTCCTTTCTGCCATGACTCCTTTTGATTAGAATTTTCTTTAAAGAAAGCAGACTCATCTCACGGGATGTTTTGACTTATCAAACTAAAACCGTCGGTGACACCTCTGCTATTTGACGTCTTACCTTTGCTCGGCGTAAGCTCCAAACTGCGTAAAAAGTGCCCGAGCGCTCACTGAAAGAAATTATTTGACGACCGTTCAGAAAATTCTGTTTTGCTGCCCGCTGGCAGAACATGCGATATCAAAAGTACCCTTCGCTGAAGGTTTGGCCACGCCCCAAAATTCTGAGTCCGCTTGCAAGAAAGCGCGAGTTTGCGGACCGCCTGCCCCCAGCGATTGTCGTCTGAGTATTTGCACATGTACAAAGATCAGTCTCAGAAGTTGTGCTTCGATGGAGCGTCATGGAGTAGTTAATTTGATAGATGATTTTTGAGCGGTACATCCTACGGCATTCTATTTATCCATCCATAAAATCACTAAGTCATCAGTTTTTTCTATTTTTCAACGTAAATATCCCAACTCGGAAAATTCTTAGAAAGATTTATAATTTTGATTAGAGATGGGATCAGCCAGCATGTTTATTCAAAAGAAAATTAATCTAAGCATTCAGTGATAAATATAACAGAAAGATACACAAGAAACTCAACAATCTTTACTTATGTTCAAAACGTCGTTTTGAAGACCGTCACATAATAAATGCAGTTGACACTGCGCTTTGATTTGTTTCGCATTTTAACTCAATTGTAGTCGACAGCCTAGTGCTAGACTGTTTTCAGATATCTGAGAAGGAAATTCGATTATGGCATGCGTAAACATTTACATACAAAAGTAGCGTGATTAATTGATGTTGACGGTTCATTTCCAAGAAATATTTGCAGGAAAAAACCTAAATTGTGAAGATAAATTAAAGCCATTACCTCGAATCACCTCAAACTCACCCAAACGCAGAAACATACCTTATTAGAACGGATGCGGATCACGATTGCTAATGATTGAATTTCAAAATAAGGTTTGCCCACTAATCGATTGAGTTATCATTCGCGGCTTACACATTTCGCGAAGTGACTTGTTGAAGAGAATGAGAACAATGCTTAAGTTGTACATAGTCTAAGATCCCTTTCAAAGTGTTAATCTTACGCATTGCTGGTTTGGACTGTCTCCCATATAACCGAGTTTATTAGCACAAACTGGACTTGTGAAGTACGAGTAGGAGTAGGTAGAAAATTAAACCCAATGAGAGCAATTACAAGGATTGCTGCACTAACACATCCCTGAATGAGTATAATATGAAAAGTATAAATAATTTCAGAAGCGTTCACCTGCACATAAAACTTTATTTGCAACTTTGTTCGTGCACTATGAGAATCATCTCTTTCCGCATTTGCATTATATAAATGCTTTAGTATCTTGAATCACGATATCTCAGCAACGCAACAGAAAAGCAGATAAGAACCAACCCTTGCTTGCTTCTGCAATCCAAATAGGGTCAGTGTGTTTATCAACACTATCAAACCAGACATGGACAGACCAAAGATATAGGTCATGCGCGAAGTTATCTGCGTGCATAACGTTTGCCGATACATCCAAACTGCTATTTTATCATCGTACCATGTAGAGCAGTCATCTTGAATTCTTTGTTCATATATAACAAATGATCAAAAAAGCTACGTATAGTCAAGTCATTTTCTAACTTGGTATGTGTAATGCACTGCACAAGCATCTCTCATGATTTCTGTGATCAGAAGCTGCCGATCTCCACTAATTTTTCCTTGCCTTTACTGCCTTAGTGGTAAGCAGGGTAACGGACACAATAATCACTTCATAAAATGTTTAATGGTTCAGCTTTCTTGTCGCTAATAGGGAAAGGATGGTTTGAAGTGGCCGAAGTTTCACTGCTTTATTTAAGCGCTATGAAAATTGTTTACAACACCAATAAACGCTCATAACTTCTCAACCAGAAATGCTCCGCAGATAAGGAAAATGGATTTGGAATCAGCGTTTTATGCCCTCCAAGCTGTTGAATCTTATCTTGAAAAGTCACTTTGACAGACCATGCTTTCCTTGTAAGTATTCGTGATGGAATTTCGGTATACCATCTCACATATTGAGTTACTGAAACCACTAGATACTTACACAACCAGTACATAGAAGTGTGAAGCATGGATAACAGCCATGTTATAGATATGATAACCATCAGATTTCTTCTAGTGAATATTATTCTAAATTATCAATTTCAAAAAATTCTCTTCATTCTTACATTCTTAATTCATCAGTAATGCTTCGTAGTACAGAAAAGTTGATATCGCTCTTAATTTCCGTTTTGTTCTCCATCAGGCTTGGCAAAGAAAATAGGTCCTCCCCGGAACTACTCGGAGAGGAATGACGGTCAACTCAAATTGTCCCCCTTGACAACTCTTGACTTTGAGATAAAGTTGAAGCAACGATTGGCCGAATTAAGCTACATCTTTACTGCGATGGATGATCTCGCTATTGGACAATTGGAGGAAGCAGAAAAAACTTGAAATGACGAAAAATACGGAGGTTTCATGCAACTACCGAGGCACACATAATCTGACAGGCACTTATACTAATAAATGTTAATTGTAAGCTATAAATTGTAAATTGTGAATTCTCACAAGCAGAAAATTGCCAAATACCACATCATCTTTCTGTTTCACATATCGTACATCTCTTTTTTCGAAAAATCTTTGAAATTATCATTACGTGAGTAATTGCAACCTCACCTGTATGACAGTGGCCATGTAACGGCCATCATCCTGTTGATAGCAAGAAGTAGGTGGCAGTAGATAGACTCATACCAAAAGAAGTGTGAGAGCTGACCCACTCTGGCTGCAAAGTACCCTTTGGTGATGGATTCATCCGGGTTGCTAAACAACTTTTAACTTTGCGCTAAAATGCTCATATTCAGTAGAACCAACAAAAGCGTAACAGGCCCAGTCCAGAAGACGTTAGGAAAGACTGCTCCAAAATCAGCGATAAGGTGGCAGAAACATATATAACCGAATGAGTTGTGGAACATTGAAGTCTTGATTATCATAACCATAACAATAACGTTCACCAGCGAAGCCGCACTTCCGGTCTAAATTCTTCTTTTATCATTTTTAGTACAGTCAAATCCGTCTCCAATCTTCATTCATCAAACAGAGTTTCTGAACCAATCAATCTTAGTTGTGACAGTGAAAATGATTTGTAGTGAAATCATTACAGTCGAGTAGATTTCCCGCTTAATATAGTGTGCTTGCAGAGAAGGTGAAATGCGGTAAAATTTAAGCGCGAACAAACGGTTTCGACTGTGACGCCGGCCAATTGCGGGCGCAAAATGCCGGCAGTACTGGCGTGGCTACTCCTTCACGCGCGAATTTCACCGCATCTCACCTTCTGTGCAAGCACACTGTATTAAGCGGAAAATCTACTCGACTGTAGTTCCCACAAAATTGAGAAACTTATAAAAGTCGTTTCACTACCTTTTTTCTTTTGATCGATATGAAACAATGATCACGATTTCTAGATTGCACTAAAAGCAAATATCATAGACTATTTTTAAGGAATTACAATCTGTGTTGAGAAAAACAGGCGACTCTGGGAGCAGTCTGAAGTTATAACAAGTCAAAAACCAGTGTGAGACTGTCCAGACCTTTGCCAAAGATTGCTCCCGAAACATTCGGCTGAATGAAGCAAGTAACAAATGTTTTGGATGACTTCGCCAATCTTTTGTAGATGAAAACAACGTAAGCTGCAACATGGCACATAAAATGCCGTCTTCACAAAGGAAGTAGCTCATTCTCTTTGCATATGGGCTTCCTAGATAAGCAGTCTTCCAGAAAACTATCACTGCGGTCACAAGCAGTAGCGGCCTTGCTATGGAAGAGCGTTTAAGACCGACATTAGTTATGGTATTTATAGGCTGTATCACCCACGATCGGTCGCAGAAATCCACGAGACCAGGCTGCGCGAAAGTCGCATGCGGAAATGGAACTCGGGCGCGGAATCTGGTTCTATGCAGATTCGTGATCATCCCTTGCTTACCCTTTTTTCTCTGTAGGTTTTGTTTTCGTTCTCGCTTGCCTCAAAAGGACAAACCGTTTGCATATAAACTATTCGAGCAGGAGTAAAGTTAAGCTTTTTTATCCGAGCGTAAAAGTTGATCATCAAACATTCTGTACCGGGAGAGTCGGAAACGCTTTGCACAAGTGTGATTGACTCCTTAGTACTTTTATCCTGTCACATGATAGTGTTATCATCATAGTTTGCTCTACATAGTGGAAAACACGTACGAGATTGTTAAAGATTGTGTGCAATGCGTTCTCGAGCCTTTAAGCTTATAGACGATATGTTGGGGTCGACTGATGAGCTTTCAACACAATTCTAGTTCTGTTAGCAATGGGAAAGCAAGAACATTGAAGGTATGCCGATGCTGATTACCTTGCCCGATATGGAAAACATTTTATCTACTCCCGCATGCATTCAAAATGATAATGGAAAGTTGCGAGTTGTTTGAATTATTTTCTGAAGGAAAGTCCCCGTAAAGATGAACAAGAAACAACTCATATGAAGTATGAATCGCCTAGCTGCAGGACTGATCATCAAACGCTTTCGCGCTCGAGTACAATTTTCGCTGCTTGCGCCGCGCGCATAAAGCCTCATCCTTTGAACCCAAGACCGACGGTGGGTGGTACAGCTTACATCTTACATGTAAAGCTGAATGTCTGTTTGTATGTCTGTATGTCTGTATGTCTGTACGTATATTCCTAATAGAAAATTCCTTTTCTGAACTGATCCGGACCAAACTTGGCACACATACACTCTGGGGCCGGGCGGGTGTCATATGCTACTTTTCGTCATCGATCGATTTTTATCGATTTTTTGCAGAGTTCACCTACGGAACTGGAAGTTGGCACAGGGGGATAATCGAGCATGCTGATTACGAGTACAATATTAGTTATTGAGATTATCCATTACTTTAATCGATTTTATTGATTTTCTGTGACCTTTGAGCTACGGGGCTGGGAATTCGCACAGGGATAAGTGAGCATGCTGATAACTAATACAGCGGGACTAGAGTTGGAGTTGGTATGCAGAAGTGGGCACAGGGAAAGGTCGTACAGGGATAGGGATAGGAGCTTTATCATAGTGTTCTGACAGAGCCGGGCGGAGCCGGGAAAGCCAGCTAGTATCCAATACAAATTCTGAGAGACTCCCGTAGTCGCGAAAAAACATTCTACACACAACCTAGAAAATTCCGCAATAACAATTTTTCACTCCGCTAAGTGGACAATTGTGCCCTGTATATCCCACTCAAGGAAGGTGTATCTCTGATTCAGCAGTTTCAACCAGAACTCTCCTCACAACAAGATAACATGCAAGAAGTCTAATGAGAGTCGGCTGATTTGAATGTCGAAATCCAGCTCTCGCTCACCGTGACTCGAGACAGTGGTTGCTAAAAATGTGTACAAAACAGTCGAAGGTCTCTTCTGGCACTTGATAATCTTTTTATGGCAGGTAGCCAATCGCAGTCGTAAGCAGACACTTCTGCAAAATTAGTCAGATTTAGGGCAATGAGGTTGCAGAAGCGGATGGAAATATCACGACCTGCCTACATCAAAGCCCGGCACGCGTCGTCTCCTAGCCTTCTTGAAAACAAAGTCCTCTCGAAATTCAAAAAGTTTAGGAGATTCTCCTGATAAGTAGCGACGCACCTTTAATTCAATGGAAGTGGCGGCTTGAAGGCGAACGCTCGCAGCTACGACGCAGTCTGCGTCTCTCTCGCAACGTGCTCTTTGATTAGCCTTAATTAGGCCTTGAAGCCTCCCCCCTCCAGCCGCCAATGGGGCTGGAGGTACAGTCGAGTAGATTTTATTTTTTTGTATCAAGTACAGTCGAGTAGATTTTCCGCTTAATAGAGCATGTTTGCGTGTGGGTGAAATGCGGTAGAATTTGTGCGTGAACAGTCAGCCACACCAGTGATGCGGCATTCTGCGCGCGCAGTTGAAAGGCGTCATAGACGTAGCTATGTCTTCACGCGCAAATTTAACCGCAATTCACCTAGTGCAAGCACACCATATTGAACGGAAAATCTGTTCGACCGTACCTCTGTTTTATTAGTAGTGGTGGGGGCCGCGGCCCCATGGGACCGCCTCGCTTGGCCTCACACCTCTTACGCGATCGTACTCTCTAACCATTTTCTCACGCTCATTTGCGACTGAATGTTGGCCTTTCCCACTCTCAGTATGGCAAAACGATCAGAGAGCACGTACGAAAGAGGTCAGGGCCCAGGCGAGGCGGCCGCGTAGGACCCGAGTAACGAGCCCACATCACTTTCAATAAAACAATGGTACATACAAAATAATACATTACGGAAATGCAAGATGCAGAAAAGAATTTTTGGCTTGTTCACGATATCAACCGAATAAATATGAGTAATAAGCAAATGTCGTGAGAATGCATTAGGAAAGAAACAGAGGAAGGGAAAAGAGAGAGGGAAGGAGGAAGTAGATATCTAAATGAAACTTCGAGTTACCCGCGTTTGTAAAGTTGTTATAATGGAGCACAGCGCTATCAAAGTAGGTACTCGTTTAATTTGAAGAGGAGATGAAAAATACAAATTGCTTCTTGCTCGGATAGATTTTTGACAAGGAAAGTAGTCAACGATGAAAAACCAAAACTCATGTAAACTTACATGGTTGATTTTGAGACGACGCAGTTTCATATGCCTGCTACTGCGTCGTAGCATATTTTACGATACTTTTTTGCTTTCTGTCCTCCCTTTCTGCCCAACTTTCTGCCTCATTCTGACTTCGAATCTGTATGCCGTATCTGCTTAACGCATTTGCGGGCGAGGTTATGAGTCGTAGGGCTATTCTGCTAAGAAATCGTGCATGCAAAGCGCAAACTTGGCAGTACACAGCTATGTTCGGCTTGATGCTCGGCCGAAACATGCAGCCAGATTACTTTATATTTATAAAGCTTAAATGTGAGCTGGAAGTGCAGCAATGTGCTCAACTTTGCATTTTTTAGGCACGATTTTTTCGCAACAAAACTTATGACTTCGTCTACAGATGCGCTAAGCAGATATGGAATACAGACTCGAATCAGCGTTGAATGCTGCATCGATGGTAGGCAGCTTGCTTTTGGCCACTGACTTCTGATCATTCCCTCGCTAGCAATACGCACGTTGGTACAGAAAACGGAGCTGCAGAATTGGGTAAGGTAATAATCCAGGTTCAATCTCCATGAGCCTTAATTAATAAAATATTGTACCAAGCTTGATTTGCTGCTCAAATACATCTGAGGTGAATAAGAATGGTTAACACATTGATGACCATGCAAATTTTGAATTGTCTGCCTTTTGGGACCAGGGCCGTCGCGGATCAGCCAAATTTTTGAGATGATATCAAGTATACTGCCATCTAGAGTATATATACCTACCCCGTGAGGCTGATAAAATAGATGAAGACTTCTACATATGGCGCGAAAGAATACTCTTGAAGTGAGTTTGTTCCAAGCTAGCCGTCATTTTACTAAATTCAGGCCTTGACACACCCTGTGTCAAGCGATTCCACGTGATAGTCATTACTTGACACTCCATGAGTGTCAAGCGGTCGTCAATGTGTTTATTAGGTTGGCACATAAGTTTTGCAACTTTTCCCGTAACTTTTTTACTTTATGTAGCAATCTCGTTTTGCGGCTTCACGTAGATCGTGACGTAAGCTGCAAGTCTGCGCAAACCGTTTGATTTTTGATAACGTAGTACAAAAATTCTAAGCATTCTTTGAAAACAGCTGAAAATCGAGGTTTCACGATTTTTTGGCAAACATGAAGCCCTACGAAACCTGATCCAAACATATGAAAATGCAATTATAGGCAACATGTAGCTGGAAGTTGGCACTTAGACTCAGTGAAAAAGAAATGAAATTTAAACACAAATTAAGGTGGGGGCGCATTTGAGAAGTTGAACAAGTAAAATGCGTCAAGTTTTGAAGGCAGTTTGTCAATAACTAAGCTGCGAAAAGTCAGATTTTTCTATAACTTTGCACTATGGGGTAATCCTATGCGGTAAACATGAATATCATATTCATTTGTCGCCAAAATGAAATTCATCTGTTGATCTCACGAACGAGGCCTTTTCATGCGGAACGGATCTCATTTTTGTGATCAGCATGTCAAATAAGCCTTATAGGCCAAGTTTCAGCAAAATCTGATGCATTCTAGAATTTTTCCCATAGTACCGTAAACCTACCGCAATCATAAGATGGCAAAATTCGGCAAAAATGTGTGCATTAGAAGCTTACATCATATTCCTTATATTGCCAAAAAATGAATGCGCTACGTTCAAATAGACAAAAGTTATATAAAAAGTTGCATTACCTATGTGCCAACCTAATACATACCTCCTAAGAATCTCAAGCGTCTGCAATTACGCGGGTATGCGTTAGACTTTGCATGCTTCTAGGATGCATCTTTGCTGGCCAAAAAGGGCGATTATATAGGGAGAAAGGCAGTGGTTTATGCCTTATCAATCGTGAAGGTAGTATAGGCGTTAAAAACACCAAACGGACTCAAACGAACCCTGCAACTTGCAAGCGTCGCAGAATGTGGTGGTCGGCCGAGACGCATATCTCTAAGATTTTTGATCACTGGGCTTTTTTTGAGTTTTTGAGAATATTTTGGTAGCTAGTTCATTCATGCTTCGACACTTCCGGACTTTGAAAAAGGCGACATAATCGAGACGTGATAAAAAAAATCGCTACTTCCGATGTATAGCTCAGCAAGTCACAACTAATCGTTTTTCGAGTGTTTATTTGAATGACAGATTTTTTTTACGGACAGAGTATATAGTGATGGTCTACAGATGTATGAAAGCTTCTATAACCAAATTTCGCAACATTTCTTACTGCGTTCAAATAAAAGTCATTTGTTCAATTTCAGTAAATGTACACTGTACAATTCAGCTGTTACAGGCTCAGTCTGTTGAAGCAGTTCACCTACGATTTAGCAAAATGACCAGAACTTACCATAACCAATATTGCTCCCGACCAGATATGTTCTTTAGAGTCATTAATTGGTAGTGCAAAAGAGGCATTATAGTTTGTAGTCATCTTTTGCTAGATGGTAAGGGTCCTTGATGGCTAAGCGACTGAGGGAGAGCAGTCAAACAATTTGTGACGCTTCAGTTCGCTTCAATTATTATTTCACAACAGGCGGACAATCAGAGCGAATGATAAACATTACGTCACTGCCATTGTTGCTCGTTTTGTTTGAATTTACTGGACCAAGTAGGCGCCCACTACAATCTACCATTCTCTCGCTCAGATATGTTAAATGCTACGCCCCCATATCCAAGGATCTATGGTATTTCTAGTAAAGGAAGGATAATACTTAGCGACCGTGGTCTTTTGAATTGAAAACGTATACAATTGGATGCCTACCGAAGCGATAATTCCAAATCTCCTGCACGCTCTTCCAAAAGATGTTATGAACATTTTTGCCATTGAAATTTGCACTGTTTTGACGACATGATTCACCAACATCGCTGAATGTTCACGTACGCACTACTAAAGAGCGTCCAAATAAGATAAAGCTTTATGTTAAGCTTCAGCTGTCTCCGATATATCGGAGTTTAAAAAGCATGAAAACTGACGATTCCGACTGCCCACTTTTTTCGTGAAATCGAAAGAAGTCCATAACCTCGTTCAGAGAGTTGGAATCAGCGTTTCAAGGCGCATCTAATGGTATACATCTTACTGCAAAAGGCCACGGTCACCAAGTCATCCTTCAGTTATAAGTAAGGCAGTTCAAAAAAGGTTCTCTGCAAATCTCGATATTTTCCACAAATCATGAATAAGGCTTAACACAGGCTATATGAAACGCTGGGTATCGCTGGAATAGGAACAAGAGTGTATTTTATGATGGAGTTGGAATGAAATACATATGTTGCCGAATTTGGTAGAGATCTTGGGAAACTACAGAGGTTGTACAGCGTAATAAAACGTTACTAATGTATCGTATTGATCACCAAGCTCCCTTTTCCAAACAGCTTTCGCGAAGCATTAGGTAGCTTCCTGTAGGGTTGGCTTTAATTTAGATTCACAATAGAAACGAATCATACGTTGTTTTTTGTTACTGTAGAGTATGTACTGTAAGCCACTTTCAGCATAATATCCTGTTGTAAATTCTGCAAGTGAAAAATTGCAAAACTTTCAAAACTTTTGTGATGGATTTTTATTGAGACGCAATTTTGTAATTGCTGTCGCATTATACTTGTTGTGACAATGAGATGTCAGGATTGAGCGAAGAGCTCATATATGGAATCAGCAACATTTATTTATTTTATTAGCCTAGTCCATAATTTCCAGCTCTTTGGACAATTTCGTAGAGGCCATCTCCTGCTGGCCCAATCGGGCCAAAAAATCCTGGTTTTTTAGTAAAAGGACCGTCGGCCATTATAAGAAATCTAAGCTGAAGCCAGCCCTACATTATGGCACCACAAGATCAGCGAAAGCTGTTCATACAAGAGAGTTAGCAGCGATCAAACGCTTGAACCATTTTTGGCACAAAAATCATGATTTATCAAGGTGCGTATTTCAAAAGGAACATTGTCCTTATAATTATCGCAAAAAATAGACAAGACATCATCTACAGTACCCAAACTAATTATTCGACAGAAAAAACCATCAGCGTTTTTTTCGTTTTCTTCATAACTTCCTTCAAATTGCATAAGATGTGAATCCGAGAAAAGCACTCTACTCAACTCGTCAAAACGAGTCCTTCAATTTACTACGCTATCTCGCTATTCCGCTTTCAGTCTGCTTGATTTTTTGTGAGGATGTATTCGCAGTGGTGTAACGCAGCGCAAGACACAAATGGAAGACTCTAGTAAGCAGATTTCGGTGGAGCTGATAGATTATCACACACTAATCGGAGATCTCTTTTTCAGAGAGAAAGATAAGCCGGTTGATTTTGAGAATATTCACGCCTCCCAACCTTTATCTACCGTAACCCTACAGTAAGACGCTAATTTGCAAAGCAGTTGTGTTTTTCGTAATCAGCAGGCTATTAACCTCTATGCACAAGTTTTCCAAGAAATTGGGTCCTTCAATTTTTTTTCTTGTTGCAAAGTTTGGAAGTCAAGTTGCTGAATTTGAGTGCGCTTTTCGCGTATATGTTGACAACTTACCTGCTTCCTTATGTAGATTGAAGTCATTTGAAACAGCGCTATCGGAATATTCTCAAGCAATTTCTTTATCTTTATTGTTGACCGAACTATGACATTACGAACTAGCGATATAGAGCAATGATTCTGTAACGGCATACTCGCTTACAGCTTGTGCCAGCTCTTGCCCAGTAGCTCAAATTTTGCGAAAAATCGATAAACACGGCAAAGGTAAGTGATAGTTTATAAACTGACATTGTATTCGTAATCTACACTTTCACTTGCTCCTCGACCAACTCGCAGCCCCGTAGCTCAAATAATCGATAAAATTGATATGATGACGGAAACTAGCCTACCACATCCGCTCCGCCCCGAAATTATGTGCAAAGTTTGGTCTGAATTGGTTAAAGATGCGATTTTCTGCTGAGAACATACGTACAGACACGTAAACACGCTGACAGTTTATCGACGTTTAGGATGGTACAGATAAATAATTACAGTCACAGTTGGAATTCTAAATCAATTAATCATATATTTGAATCGTTAAGTCAGCGGCTACTTGCACCCACGTGCAGTCTCAC